CTTGTCTGGATGTTTTCTATGCATATTATATACACATTTACAAAATAAATCTATGTATCTATCCATTTTCCAGTACTTATAACACAAGCTCTGTATAGCTTGGGACTAGATGGCGGTGTGTGAAGGACAATTCATTATTATTATTATTACTATTCTACGTGGACGAAGTCGCAGGCACAGCTAGTATATAATAATTTTAAACAATCACATCGTTTGTAGTATAGAAATCTGCGTATCATAGTAGGTGTACTAATACCTAATATGATAAGTAAATTTGTACATTCTTATCTATAGATATACATATATATAAGTCATGGTAACGATAACTACGTACTGTGTAATAATTTACACACTATATATTGTCTATTAATATACAGAAAAAAAAAGTAATCCAATTGAGTTTCTTGCCAGTTCTTTTCAATTGGATCTATACACTGAATTGGACGGTAGGGAAAAAAATAAAATATAAAAAAAAATACTTTCATAAGCGGGTAAAATGTCCTACATGAATAAATGATTTTTGAATTTGAATATATGGCCGCCCAGTGGTCGAAAATCTGCCATATTTAATTTAATATTCAGTGAAACCATAGACAAGTAATACTAAAAACAACCAATATTAATCTATTCTCAATTTGACTATAGACTTTATTAATAAACAAACGTGTATATGCGCATGTTTTATACAATTTTTGTCTGTCTGTCTGTTCCGGCTAATCTCTGTAATGGCTGGACCGATTTTGACGTGACTTTTTTTGGTAGGTAGCTGATGTAATAAGGAGTAACTTAGGCTACTTTTATTTTAGAAAAATAAAGTTAAATTCCACGCGAACGAACTCGCGAGTACAGCTAAACACAAAATAAATCTTTTACAAAATAAAATTGGAGTGTTTTTTTTTACTACATGTATATGAATATAAATACGGTACATACACCAAAATAACATTTTATACAATTTTTGTCTGTCTGTCTGTTTGTTTGTTCCGGCTAATCTCTGAAATGGCTGGACCGATTTTGGCGGGACTTTTTTGGCAGGTAGCGGATGCAATAAAGAGTAACTTAGGCTACTTTTAATTTAGAAAAAATCTTTTATTTTAGAAAAATAAGGTTAAATTCCACGCGGACGTAGTCACGGAGTGGGAGTAACTTAGGCTACTTTTAATTTAGAAAAAATCTTTTATTTTAGAAAAATAAGGTTAAATTCGCGGACGAAGTCGCGAAACGGCTAGTAGACAATATTTACATAGAGTGAGAGAAGGTACGAGGCTAAACACACATCATAATAATGCGGAATCAGAACCGATTGGTTATGATTATCATTTTATCGCAACACTTTGATAAAATTGAAATCACTTATGTTCACATGTGAACCATTTCATAAATAACCACTAAATAGATTGTCGTAATACTTACCTATATTTATATCGTGTGATATTTTTGAGGTTATGTTTATTTTTTATTGAATTATATAAGGTAAGTACTATTTAATTTTTATTGTAATTTATAATATATTCTTTTCTTTCGTTCGCTTTTTACGTGTAAACGAATCGTAATGAAATTTGACATGTATATATGTAGCTTGTATCTTGATGACGGACAATCCGATCGTTATTACAAAAACAGCAAAGTCGCAAGTAGAATAATAACTTTATTGTCAAAGAAAAAAAAACAAATAGAAAAAGAGACTTAACTAAGGTTTTACAATTTCCCCTTCAATCGAATAATACTAATGTATTCTTAAATCGTTTTAAGAACTATTATATATATATGTATATATGAATTAATATAGATATATAGACTTAACTAAGGTTATATATCTATATTAATTCATTCTTAAAACTATTGTGTCTAATGTGGAGTAATGTTCCCATTGCTAGCAATGTACCATGTCAGGTCGACCTCCACTGGAGCCCCGCCAGCGTAAACCGATAGCGCAGGCGGGTGCACCATTCCATTATCATCCTTTAAAAAAAAAACACATTTACAAGATTTGACAATTGTAGAATTTCATAGTCCATGTTGTTGAAAATTAAAACTAACTATATCTTCTTTTTGTTATTCCAATACCTTTCATTACATAGTGTGTACAATTCAGTTAAAGACAATTTTATAATAAATGAATGAATGAATGAATGAATGAATGAAAAACACTTTATTGTTCCTCTCACAGAAAGAATAATTACATAAATTAATATGTACATCAAATATAATAATAAAAACAAAATAATTATAATATAGAGGTAATAATACTGTCAGAGCATTTAATTTTTAAACAAAATTTATAAGCTAGGTATTGCTTTCTAATAAATAAACGTGGTATACAAAGCTCACTCTCCATCACATGTATAGGAGCTGATTTGATAAAATACGCAAAGCTTGATTTTGAAGTTTATCCAATTTGGATAAGTTATTTTTCGGACCACTCTAATGCTGTTGGCCGCAGCTGGCCTTTACAGCTTCACCGGACGATAGGGGGCGAGTGCAGATGGCACTCCAAACCACGGAAGGACTTATGGAGCGGCTGAAGGCCAACTCCCGCCTGACAGATACGACTTTAGTCTGAGGGCACCACTAGGGGTTCGAACCTCGGCTCAGGACGTCGTAATTTCGATCCCCGTTTAAATTGGACGGGGGATCGATCGGAGGGGCATGTAATCAGGTGTCGCTATTTCAGTTAATTCAGTTGAGTTTCTTGCCAGTTCTTCTCAATATTAATACAATTTCATAAGCGGCAAAATTAATAATGATTTTTTATTTAATTTGATTGTTACCAGCCAGCATGAAGACTTTGTGGTTGTTGATGGTGTGGTGTTTGACGGTGGGTGGTGTGGTGGGGTACAATATACTGGGCGTGTTCCCCATACCGTCCCGCAGTCACAATCACCTCGGGAAGGGCATCGTGGATGCACTACTCAAGGCCGGACATCAGGTGAGTCGAATTAAATGTTGACTAACTTTGATTAATAATAATAATCTCAGGACAATTCACACAGCGCCATCTAGACCCAAGTTAAGCTAGCTAAAGCTTGTGTTATGGGTACTAGATAACTGATACAAATAGATATTTTTTTTTTATAAAAAGTGGGAAGGAATTGTTAATAATATGGGGTTTTTAGTCCATATTATTTTACTATTGCTAGCAATGTACCAAGTCAGGTTGCTCTCCGCGCGTTTTTCCCTGGAAACCGTGATAAATTCATAGTGAATTTACCACGATGGGCTAACTGACCTGATCTCATCTTATCATCGTTAACTGGTGATCTGGTAATCAATGCCAGCGTAAACCGTTAGCGCAGGCAGACACCATCCATCTATACATATAAATAAAATTCGAGTGTCTGTTTGTAAATCGAAACAACCGTTTTTTACTACATGCATATGAATATAAATACAGTATATATATAAAAAAAAATTTTTTTGCTATTTTGTCTGTCTGTCTATCTGTCTGTTTGTTCAGGCTAATCTCTGAAATGGCTGGATCGATTTTGACGGGACTTTTCTTGGCAGGTAGCTGATGTAATGAGGAGTAACTTAGGCTACTTTTATTTTAGAAAATTCTGTAATTTACTTTGTTATTTAATTCCACGCGGACGAAGTTGCGAGTACAGCTACTCATACATAAGAACCGACGGAATATAGCGACTCTTTTTGTAATATTATCGAATGCGAATGAATAAACGTTTAATTAAATATATCTTTACTTTCAGGTGACATGGATCACTCCATACCCGTTTGAAAATAAAAATAAAAATTTAACAGTGATTGGTGTAGAGTTGAGTTCGATTGTTGAGGGTAGGTATTTCAATTTGATCCAATGCATACAGCGCCATCTAGTTCCAAGCTGAACAGAGCTTATTATATGGTTACTATACACTTGATACAAATATTTAAACTTATTCAATCATGCTCATAGATACAAGAACTGAATACACTACCATTGTAAGTAAAGCGGTGTGCTAAATCGCTACACCAGCAAGGATGCTGTATTAATCTATGTAGACCGTCAATACGTCTTATAGGTAATGGAAATCGACATAGCCAAAATTGAGTTTACCGTCATCTTTTTGCTTTATTATCGGCCGAATTCGAACTTACACTTTTCAGAGTAACCATTGAGTAACGATACTCTCATAATTAGTAAAAATCACGGGACGTTTCAACCACCGAAAGTCGGGAGTGTTTCAACAACCATGATCACGAGTTTACCCGTGATCATGGTGGTTGAAACACTACCGAAATATCGGAAACTCAGCAAATAAATATAAAACGTGGTAAGATCCCGTGATTTTTACTAATTATACGTATAAATAATGACCGCGTCAAGTTTAAAACGATACTCTCATAAATTCAAATTCAAATTCAAAAATTATTTATTCATGTAGGACATTTTAGCCGCTTATGAACGTCAAGTTTTTACATTAGAAATTTTTTCCCTACCGTCCAGTTCGGTATATAGATCCAATTGAGAAGAACTGGCTAGCACTTCATTAGCAAGCGCTTTAGTGCTGCATGTATTTATATAGCGTTTCTACCTTTACTATAATCATTATATGTAATAGCTACTTGTCCAAGTAATCGTGCTTCGCTCAGTGTATGCATTATACCCGTCCTAGACAACTGATACATAAATTCATTTTTATGGAAGTACATAATATACATAGAAAACTTATAGACTAATACAAAGAATCATGGTCATGAATACAAATGTTTGAAGCGACCATTGGATTCCTGAAACACCAGGGGTTCTTCGTGACGTGTTCCCGAATCTTAAGAACCCCTTAATATACCCTTCATGAAAAACCCCATTGACCTATAAATGAAATATCTCCTTTGGGAAGTATACACTACATCCTGAGGAGATAAAAACCATCGCTCCTAAGAATATCCTTCAATTCTTGTCCCTGGCGGGTCTAGGTGGCGAACTCTGAAAAAGGGCGAGCACAATAGATCTACATAGGTCGCAGTGCTACAGGTCTTCACACAACAGCCCAAAACCGACCACCGAGACATTTTACCATTCCAGCACTCAACATGAACGACCCTGAGGTAGCAAAGAAAGGTATAGGCTTCCTGAGGGAGTGTGCTGTAAACGTAACAACAATTACTGTGAACACGCCGGCCGTGAGAGACGCTGTGATCAACACGCAGTACGACGCGGTTGTATCGGAGTGGTTCTTCTCTGATACTGATGCTGGGTGAGTGATTTCATCTCGAACTTGCAACCCGACTTGACTACGCACGGTCCCAATAAGCTTATCTATCTGTATATAAAATTGGAGCGTCTGTTTGTAATATTGAAAAAACCTTTTTTACTACATGCATATGAATATATGTACATACACCAAAATAACATTTTTTACAATTTTTGTCTGTCTGTTCGTTCCGGCTAATCTCTGAAATGGCTGAACCGATTTTGATGGGACCTTTTTTGGCAGGTAGCTGATGTAATAAGGAGTAACTTAAGCTGCTATTAATTTAGAAAAATTGTTTTATTTTAGAAAAATAAAGTTATATTCCACGCGAACGAAGTCGCAGAAACGTATATTCATATGCATGTAGTAAAAAACGGTTATTTCAATATTACAAACAAACATACCAATTTTATGTATAGATAAGTTATTATTTGTGATTTATAACAATTGAATGTACGATTTAATTATCTATTACATCCATAAGATATGCTTTTTTTATACATTAAAAGAGAATACTTACAAAACATTCATCAACACGATTGCATAAAATCATACAAGAGACAGCACTTCCACTAACATGCTCTTCATGCAGCTACGCAGCAGTACAGCAAGTGCCTTGGCTGATGCTAGCAGGTTCTACATACAGTACGATCTTTGAGGAGATGGTGGACGAGGTGCGGTCAGTACCAACCGTTCCCATCTTCATGAACAACGCATCAATACCGATGACATTCTTGCAGCGGCTTGCCAACACCGGCTTCCATACTTTATTGACTGTCTATAATTGGTAAGTAGTATTATAAAATTGTCGAATAGCGTCATATGCGGATGATACTACCCTAACATTTTATGCAGAATCATGGAGTGAACTTTTTGTTGCTCAAATTGGTTTTAATAAAGTATGTCATTAGCTGATGACAAACTCTCTAACACTAAATGATGATAAAACGAAGTATACAGTATTTTCAATTAAAAATCATGCCAATTTACCTGACTTTAATCATTCAATTCAAGCACCTAAATGCAGTTTCCCAATAATATAAAATTGTAATTGTCCCAAAATTAATGCTACTCAATCTATTAAATATCTTGGTGTACATATTGACTCAAATTTATCATTTGAAAAACACATACACACGATCTCACAAAAAAATCGTAAGCTCATTTATGTCTTCAGGCAACTACGCGAGGTCGCAGATATAAAAACAATAAAAACAGTTTATTATGCACTAGTACATTCAATATTAATATACTGCATCACTTCATGGGGTGGATGTGTAAAGACCAAGTTAATAACCTTAGAAAGGGCGCAGAGAATGTTGCTGAAAGTGATGCTCTCTAAACCACGTCTTCACACGACCACAGAGTTGTATGGAGAAGCTGAGATACTTACTGTGCGACAACTATATATACTTCACACAATTATAACTACCCTACTACTACTACTTTAACGCAGAATAGTGCAAAAACCATTTCCAATACTAGAAGGTATCTCCAAGTATGTGAGCACTCAAATGTTAAAACTAAATTTTTCACAACGATTTTACTTATTTCAAAGTAGATTCCTATATAACAGAATAAATAAATTATTGTATATATCTCGAAGTAATTTGGGAGAATGTAAATATAAAGTTACAAAATGGCTTTTAAAACAAAATTACGATGAAACGGAAAAGATATGCAGTGTAATAAAACTATAATATACATAAATTAAATACACACATGTAAATATAAGTAAATATAAATTATAAGTTTATATATAAATTTTACATAGATCACACACACACACACACATACACACACGCACACACACGCACACATACGCACACATAGATGTAGATGTATAACTAATTTATATGAAGGAGAGACCTGGTGTCTAAGGTACAGGCTATGGCTTAGTTTGGGCTCCAGATTTCCCACAAATTATATTTGTGATTTTTATTTGTTAGCATTTATATAATAAAACTAAAATTATGTAATTTGTGGAGATGAAATAAAATTTATTTATTATTATTATAAAGAATTAACCACTCCACGCGTTTCTCCTGAAACTATCGTTATAAATTCCTGGTGAAATTGCCACGATGGGCTAACTGACATGACCTTGTGCTCATCATTCTCCACTGGTGACCCGCCAGCATACTTTGTTAGCGCCGGCGAGTGGAGAATTCCTTTACCACCCATTACAAAAATATGTACATATCTTTTAGTACATTAATGAAATGAAATATTGTAGACTCAAGTTATTTGTATATGTAGGTACTAAGCATAGTGCATTAGGTGTTTGCAATGCAAATATTGTCAATCAGACAGAGGCAATGTGCGGATGGAATAATAAACAGAAGAACGCGAACTATCAATGCCAAGGGGATAACAAAAACGTTTGAGCCGCAGCGTAAGATCTACTTTATATATGAAAACTTAATGACCCAGCAAACGTTGTGTTGCCATATAAATCGTAAAGAATAGGGATTGGTGGTAGAAGGGTGAAAATTTAAGAGAGATGTATTTTTAATAGAATTAGAATAGAAAATCATTTATTCAAATAAACTTAATTTAAGCACTTTTGAATAGTCATAACAATTTGTTTTTTACTACCAAAGCTGTCTCATCACAAGAAGAACGAGCAAGAAACTTGTGTGTAGCTCTTTTAAATAAAAGTTTTCATTTACATGTCGAAACATGTGAATACAAACTACCAAGAAGCACTCATTTTTTGGGTCAAATATAAATATGCAATAAGATTAAATCAGTCGTAGTGATAAGAGCAGATCAGTCCCTACAAGCAGCATCACGAGTATGACGGATGTTCCGAACCTGTTCAGGCCTACCATATAAAATGTCATTAAAACAGTTGTAAAACTATTTGAGTCAAAATGAACATAAGTTTGAAAAATAATATAATCTGTAGTTGTTTAATCTTTTGTGTTTGATGTACATGATTTATATTAATCGGGTCTTAACACGAATAATCTTACGGCAAATAAACGTTGTGATCACCGCTTGGTGCAACCTAGTCGAAACGTCGAAAGAGGTAAATACCTGTATTTGTCATAAAATTATTTACCCGATTAATAATACAGTGAAACCTGGCTAATTGGGATCTCAATATACCAAGAATTATGTACCAATTATTAAGGATTTCCATTAATCCAGTTTTCCAATTAAGCAGGTTTAAGATTATGGTTGTCTCATTTACAGAGGCCCCCGCTTATAGAGGTCGAAATGTACCGTTATTCCACTTTTAGAGGTGGAAATCCTAAATGTGTGAAATCAGTGCAAAGCATGGAAGTCATTCAAATGTTTGTAAACAAACGTGTCAAAACCTGCCCCAATCTGATTAATTTGTCTGACTTATACCGGGAATTGAGCTGCAGAGTTCCAATTATAGAGGTGAACATCGAAAAAATTTTAGAATTCAAATATCATTTCACCAGATTCGAAAAGACCCATTGACAGAGGTAATTCTTATTCTCCCGATACTTTTTCAATGAAAAAGTATCGGGACCTCATTTCAACTCTCAATAATAGAGGTTTCTCACTTACCCAGATCGTATCCTCTTAACCAGGTTTCACTGTAGAAATAGTATAGTCCTGATCACTTTTCAGGTGGGAGCAGTCAGATACAACTGATAGATACAACGCCTTTTTCGCGCCTCTAGCAGTCGCTCGTGGGGTGCAATTGACACCGTATTCAGAAGCAGTGAATGATCTGTCGATACTGTTTGTGAACTCGCATCCATCTTTTGCTCCAGCGCAGCCGGTCCCACCCAATGTAATCAACGTAGCTGGGTATCATATTCCTGAGGATATTGCTCCGCTGCCAAAGGTAAGATTACTGAAGAGTTTTAGAAATATGAAGAAGTAGATTAGATTCTTATGGTATAGATGACATTTATTTAATGAAAAATGGATAAGGGTATAATCAACAAAAATATTGAGATTTATTTATTTATTCATTTGCATTTCATAATGTCGCAATAAGGGTTGATATAGTATTATTATAAGAGCACTATGGACCTTAAGAAATGCAGCAAATTACAATGAAAGTCAGAAGCTTTTTAACAGACTTTCATTATTTACTTTAATGTTTTTACATTCTAGATTCTAATTCTTATTTTATGAGGAACTGTATGTCTCTCAAGCCAGAAACATGTCAATGAAAAATTTCGTCCTGGTTGAAATCTTCTAAAATTCAATTACCTTATTAGTTGATGTTCGCTAGGCTTCATAATACATGAAGCCTAGTGAACATCAGGGTGGGGTGGATTGAGGAATAGGAACCTCTATAGACATAAAAAGGTCTATATCTATAATTCATCCACCCTCGAAAACTTAGTTGACTAATCACTTTAGAAGTTTCCGGCCGAGAGGTAGACTTGAGGGTGCCTGACCACTTTTTACGAAATCTACCTCGCTCTTATTTATAGGATCTGCAAGATATACTGGACGCATCGAATAACGGAGTGGTATACTTCAGTATGGGATCAGTGTTGAAGTCAGCCGGTCTACCGGAGCGCACCCGGCGCGAATTGATCAAACTTCTGGGAGAGTTGCCGTACACGGTCTTGTGGAAGTTCGAGGAACAGATCACAGGATTGCCCAAGAATGTACACGTTAGACCCTGGTTTCCACAGCCGAGTGTCTTAGGTAAGCTGATAATATTTTGGACCTAAAAAAAAATTAAGTAATATTTACCGTGAAAAATTCAGTAAGCGATCGTGTATGGTGTTAGTTGGTCAAACGACAAAGGAGGATTTTTTTTTGATATATTATATATATTACAAATATATGGTGCAGCTAACAGTATACGCTGGAGTGGCGATAACCGTTGGAGAATAATATGGTGAGTATGATGTCTAGTCAGTTAGCACATCTCGGTGAATTTGCACACGATTGTTTCCAGTGGACCATGTGAAGATCGACCAAACATGGTACATTAGCATTGGGTCTACATAACATTCCCTCCTGGGATTACTATTATTATTCTTCCGGGTTTATATTATCTTGATTGGGATCGGCTCTCTTAATCATCCGTCTCCAGATCCTTTTTTCTGCATCGTCATTGGGTCTATATTTACAATTGAAGGATCTTCTTTGATGAAGCGACCATGCATGTCAAAGTCAAAGACTTCCACACATTTTCTTCAATATTGATATATAATTAAACATACAAAAAAATATTCTCACGCAGCTCACCCTAACGTGAAGCTGTTCATCACACACGGTGGTCTCCTCAGCACGATGGAGTCCCTTCAGTACGGCATCCCACTCCTGGCCATACCGATGTTTGGGGACCAACCTGGTAATGCGGAGCGAGCTGAACGCAGCGGTTACGCGAGGAAAGTGGTGTTCGGAGACGATGTTGCTGATCAACTCAGAGTGGAGCTGAAGGAGATGCTGAATACTGATAGGTGGGGAATGGCATTTTATTACATACCCTAAGAGCTCGTGAGCTTTTAGAAACATGCGCACGATTCTACCGTTCCTTTCGTAGGCCGCAAACAAGATTAACTTTAGAGAGCGTTGTATCAGTAATTTATGAAACTTTAGCCTCGAAATTATGATTTCAAATCTGTCCGAAATCACAAAATGTTCCAATTTATACATGACTCTCCGGTAATAAACACCCATGTCATAAAGTTATCCGAAAAATTTATAGTCTCGCTGTGCCATTGGATTCAAATAATAATAATAATATTTATTTCAAGAAAAGACACTTCACAGGAGACACAACTTTACAAATATTGATCTTAACTTAACTTAACCTATGACAGTTAAACAGTTGTGTTTATTTTCAACGGTCTCCTTTGCACTAAGCATAGCTTGTATCACAGAGGCCAGACTATGTTTTACCTATTTAGTTTATGTTTTAGAGAGCAGTCGGTTCTAATACAGTATCTGTATAAAATTTTACATTTTAATCTGTGTGTCGAAATATTAAAACTTTTTTTTTTACTTACTTTTTGAATAAATATACTGAGGAAATGTGGGCATGTCAAATGTTGTGTTCACCACAACACGGACAGTTCACAATGCTCTGACTGAACGGAACTGTCCGTGTAATCCAATTTATACGTATTGTTTGTTTAGATACTACAATCGCGCGAAGTACCTGTCCCGTTTGTTCCGCAACCGCCCGGTGACTCCAAGCAAACTGGTCTCACACTACGTAGAGCTGGCCATCGAAACTAAAGGTAAGGGAACAATCTTGTCAGCACAGAGCAATTTTTTTTCTTTTCTCTCCAAAAAAATAAAAATATTTTATTATGTATTACGCATTGTAAAAATGGATACGTGCGGGAAAATGGTCCAACGTCTATTGGTGTATACTCCAAATAGCGATATTTATTTATATGGCAAAACGTTTGCCGGATCAGATAGTATTCCATAAATATGTACAAAATATTTATTCTTTGATGGCCAACATATATTCTTTTAATAATATGCAATAAAATATATTAAAGTATATTAAAACGATAATGGTTTATACAATGCTACCAGAAAAATTGTAGAGATACTTATGTAAGTGATATTTAATATACAAACTGGCGGCAGCAGCTACGACCACTCACCAAAACCAGCAAGAAACTGAGAAACAATAAATTATTATAAGTGATAATATATAATTAATATTAAACTATTTTATATATACTGATTGTTATTATTAATTTCATATTCTAATATTGACCATGGATAAATACATAAAACGTATTCAGTCCCAAGATCGATTCCTAAGAATAGCCAATATTTATTTATGTAGCAATGGCATCAGTAAATATTCTATAAAAGATGCTGAGACAAACGTAAATTTGATCTCATGGTGATGGCAGCATTATTCTCTTTAATAATCGAAATTACGATGAATTAACTCCAGGTGCGAAACCTAGCGGTGCCCTCTCGTCAGTACGCGTGGTACGCGCGCTCAGACAGGAGTTGGCCTTCAAGCCCTGGCGCCGGTACAACATTCAGCACGGTTTACAGGTGCCATCTGTGCTCGACCACTATCGCAAGAAAACCAGCAAGAAACTGAAGAAACAATAAACTATTACAAATTATTTATAATTAAAATTAAATAGTTTTATATAAACTGAATGTTATTATTAATTTAACTCATTTTTTAATAACAACCATGAACAATTTATACAACCCTATCCAGTCTCAAGGGTTCCTGAGAGTTCAACTTATATCTTTAGATGGCGTCAGCGAACATTTTAAAAGGCGCTATTAAGATTTTTTGGAAATTTATATGGACAAACGGAATTTTGGTCACTATCAAAATCGAATGGGGATCAACGGAATTTTGGTCACTATCAAAATCCACCATGGGGAGTTAACACGATGGTTTCTGCAGCCAAGGTTCCCGCTCTAGAAGTCATCCTGATATGGTACATTCTTCATCATTTCATAAGTTTTCCTTTGCTCTGGATTGCATATTTGTCGTTCGGTGAAGAATAGGTCGGCATGCCAATAGCATTTAGTCCGAAATATATATTTTTTCACCAATGAAGGATGATAATATTAGCATGAGGTCAGGTTGGCCAGTATTAGTATACAGGGTGTCCCAAAACTGTACTGTACTGTATTGTACCATTTTACAATCCTGATTAAATGCACGAACTTTTAATGGTACAAGACTCTATAGTACATTTTTTTTAAAGGAAGGCCTTTTAAAGTCAACAAATCTAGAACATTTTAAATTCATCGTTTAACAAATAGTCTTAACTTTAGAAAACTTGGGGCTATTGTGCCATTATTTGACTCTGGTTCTCGAAATGTTATTTAAGTGCCAAAGTTTAAATGAACAAAAATAATCAAAATTAACCACCATAACCGAAAAATTGTTACAGTTTGACCAAATTTTTAGGTTTTTCATATACGCCCACAATTTTCAAACTGCATGGGATAGTTTTTTTCTGATTTTTCTCATGATGGTTACAATCAATACTTTCACTTCGTTTCGACTTGACGTTGAGTTCTGGGACAGCGTGTATATTATAATATTAGATCAAGTAGATGGTTTCCAGAGGTAATCGCGTGGAGGTCAACCTGATATGGTACATTAGTACCCTTCTGTTCATATTTAGTAGGTATAAGAATAGGTCGTATGCTATTTTTTAAACCATGTTATATATGTTATGTAAAGTTAAGATTTTTTATCCTGGTGAAATTTGTGTGTATGTATCTATTAATAACTGGTGTTTATAAGTGTGTGTACATATATGTATACAATCTTCCTAATATTGGGAAACTGTAAAGCTCTGCTATGGCAACAACGTTTACCAGGTCAGCTATAGTTTTTTTAACATATATTTTTTAATACAAAGAGAAACATACTAGTATCTCAATATATCTTAGTACTATCAACTCCGTTATGATGTTACATTGTTAATAATTAAGCAATTTCTTATCGAAATGAGCATCATTTTGTCATCATTACAATTATTTTTTTTTATCTTCTGTACAAGTCATTATTACATTCAATTTTTGTTTATCATCAAATATAAATATATGATAATGTAAATTAATTGCATGTTTGTATTGAAGTTTAACATTACTTTTACCATTAGTAAGTAATGTATGTATGCAACATGTTCAAACCAAAACAGATGCTCTCGGAACTTTAGAAATTAACCGAAGGAAAATATATGTAGATGATGTTTTATAGACGATGGACTGTGTGAAAGATGATATAGTAAGAAAGGAAGTAAATAACGAGATAACTTCGAACAGTAATGAAGATAAAAATATATTACGACGACCACAAATGAATAGGATAAGGAAGAAGTGAATGATGTTGTGTCTATTTAAAACAATGGCTCTGAATTTGTTGAAGATGAGACAGATTCCGAATGAGCGGTAAATTAAAAACTATGACTTTCAAAATACTTCATCATTGCTGTTGCTGACTCGTAAATAAAAGAAGTAGTGGACTGTTAATTATTATATTTACTCAGTAATAGGAGGTGATTAGACTATCAGTAAAAATGAAATACTTAAGAGAAATAACGGACAAAATTGCTACTATCTTGAATGAAGACTGTAATATATTAACGAAGGTGTTACATATTAATGTGGATGGTAATAAGGGCAGAGGAAGGCCGAAAAAGAGATGGATGGACTGTGTGAAAGATGATATGGTAAATCGGGAGTAAATGCGAACAGGGATGAATGGAAGTTGTATCTAAAACATAACGACGGCCCCAAATAAATCCACCACTTCATATTATACACTTTGATAAGGAAATAGCAAATGATGTTTATAACGCAACAGCTAAGTTTCTTGCTCGTAATGGGCTTCCAAATGAACGGTAGACTAAAAAAACTACGACACCAAACTGCTTGCAAATTATGTTTATTTGAATAGGATTTTCTATTCTATTTATTCTATTCATATAATATTTTTATCTCTTATTTATTAAATCTAATTATATAAAAAATCAAATGATATTGCATAAATAAAGTGATTGGACATCATTAGCATTTATCATGTGCTTTTGATAAAATTGACAACAGTTGCTATTTGATAAACTGAAGTGCTATTAATAGCTCATTAGATTTATATAATCATAACTCGTAAGTAACAGTACGGCATGCGTTGCTATATTTGTTTAAATTAAAAACCTACAGGAACATAAATTTACATGTAAGTTGGTGTTATTTTATTATTTAGTTTATTTTATAGTAGTTTCTGTATTTATTTTAATTATAACGTATAAAAACTTAAACTTAAATGTTCCTGAGTTCCTGAGATTATGTTCGCGTGGAGCTTAAATCAATTAATTTTCTAAAATAAAAGTAGCCTCAGAATGCCTATGGAGTAATCCATATAATTACCTGTCTGCGAGTAAAAGTCTGTCAAAATCGGTCCAGCGATTACAGAGGTTAACAGACAAATGATTTGGAAATTACTTTGATATAGGTACCGGATATACCTTCATTTGCATTTAGTGAAAAGCTAAAATTACAAACATTTCTATTTTACGTATTTGTATAGATACAAATACATACATTTGTAAATACATACATATTACACAGAAAATACCCACACCGATACAAACAATGAATACAAATGTGCCAGGAATCGAACCCGCGACTATAATGTTACAGTGTGTGAATTATCCATTCTTTTTTTTTAAAATATCTGATTCTGATGTTTTGGTCGTTGATGGTGTGGTGCTGCACGCAGTTTCTTGTTCGTTCTTCTTGTGATTAGTCTACGTTCCGAATGATCGTGTAGCAAAAAAAATATGACATCTGTTCATTTCTGATGACCAACTTTTTATTTACTATGAAGTATATGATGGTTCTTAATTAATGTATTCTAATTGATTGACTATAAATCATTATCATTGGTAGTATAAAACAACATACTAGGCATGTCTCTCCCCATACCGTCCGTGTCACAGTCCCTATATAGGCATCGTGGACGCACTACTCAAGGCTGGACATCAGGTGAGTTTTTAAATGTTGAGTCAATTTTGATATGTATTATATATATAATATATATGTGTAATATAGGTGTAATATTACACGTAAATAACAAATAAGTAAATACTACATTAAAAGTAGCATTTTTTTATTGAAATTAAAATAATTTTAGCTCTCCTATAAAGTGAAAAATTTTAATTAAATTTTCTCTCGCTAGAGGTATATAATTTTTCCACTAAAACTGCACCCATATTGCATCTGATTTTAATGGCATGTGTAGACAATTTTAGGTTATTTGCGCTGCCATTTTATTATTATATATAATACTAGCTTTTGCCCGCGGCTTCGCTCGCGTTAATTTATCCTCTTAGGGGGGGAATTCATCAAAATCCTTTCTTAGGGGATGCCTACGTCTAAAAGTAGCCGTCATGCAAAGTTCAGGCGATTGGTTTGATATTGACAAAAAGTTTCAAAAAAACTTTCATAGCGTATTTTTTTCCTTGAGGGTAGAATTAATCAAAATCCTTTCTTAGCGGATGCCTACGTCATAACATCTACCTGCATGCCAAATTTCAGTCCGATCCGTCCAGTGGTTTGGGCTATGCTATATGTTGATAGATCACTACGTCGGTCACCTTTGAGTTATATATATTTAGATATATAACTTACTTGTATGGCTTTCAGGTGACATGGATAACTCCGTACCCGTTTGAGAATACAAATAAAAATTTGACGGTAATTCAGGTCGGCACCAATGTAGTTGCCAAAGGTACGTATAATATAATAATAACCCTTTATACAGCATAGAGAAGAAATACAACCAGTAAAACGTAAGCAGAAAAGTAAAAAGAAAAGGCGATCTTATTGCTATAAGCAGTCTCTTACAGACAAAGTAGATGAGATCAGCAGCTGGCATAGGTGGAAATTCAAATGTCACATTTGATGCAGAGGAAATAGGTGGAAATCTATATGTCAGATTTAACGCAGCTGAAATAGGTGGAAATCTATATGGCAGGTTTGACGCAGCTGAAGTAGGTGGAAATCTATATGGCAGTTTTGACGCAGCTGAAATAGGTGAAAATCTATATGGCACGTTTGATACAGATGAAATAGGTAGAAACCTATATCCGACGTTGAACGTAGGTGAAATAGGTAAAACAGAGGTACCTACGCAGATGAATTTATACAATGTCTATTCAATACCTTTAAACATTCCAGCACTCAACATGAACGACCCTGAAGTCGTCGAGAAGGGCATAGCTTTTTTGAGAGAGTGTGCTAAGAACATAACGTCCATTACTGTGAACACGCCGGCCGTGAGAGACGCTGTGATCAACACGCAGTACGACGCCGTCGTATCGGAGTGGTTCTTCTCTGATACTGATGCTGGGTGAGTTCTTTAATCTGCAAATAAAATTTGGCAGGTTACCTTAGAGAAAGTGCCAACTGCCGTCTATACACATGAAAAGCGCTCAGACGTTACATTAATCATTATATATTTATTTGTGAACAATTTTGGATACAGTACAAGATGTTACGTTAATTATTTTTTTCTTTTCTTATGGATATATATTGGAATGCCTATGCTAACAGTTTACGCTGGCTACCAGTGGATGATGATATGATGAGTAGTCAGGTTTAGTTAGTAGTCCACATTACTAACAACAAGAGGAGAGCCTCTTCCTCCGATAATACTGCTATGCTAGGATTTTAGTGAGTAATGTACACACAGACATATTTATACTACGATGACTACAAACAAGCAAAAGACCCATCTGGAGACAAATGGTTACCGTACTCTGAAACACCAGGGCTCCCACGTGCGCGTTGCCGACCCTTAAGAATACCTTAATATACCCTTCTTCAAATGTCCCATGCTGTAGTCTCTTGAGAAAAACTCGGCAGATAGATGGAAAGAACTATCTGCCGAGGTTTTCTGATTTCGAGGAAGCTCTTCTGAAACTGCAGAGTCCTAGACCACTTAGTTATGCAAATGTATGTCTTTGTTCAATATCTACCCTATACCCGATGTAAGCACAGATTATTAGAGCTCATTACTTTTATTACCTATGACTGTACGGATCGACGCGCACGTTCCCTATTCTTATTAAAATGAATTACCAAGAATGAAAGATAGTGAAAATATATGCTAAAGAGCTCAGGAAACGTTATTAAAAGCATACAGGTACAAGACAGACGCTTCCACAATAAAGTATTTAACAGTCTTTATATGTCATTACAGATATGCAGCAGTACAGCAAGTACCATGGATAATGATGGCAGGCATAATATATAACTCAATCTTCGAGTTAATGGTGGACGAGGTGCGCTCGGTAGCCACTGTCCCTATCTTCTTGAACAATGCAACGATACCGATGAATTTCGTCGAGAGACTGGCCAACACTTTCTACCATATCGTATTTACTGCGGCCAACTGGTTAGTAATAATTATATTCAAGAACTAGATGTTACCCCTTTCTTCCAAGCGAAAATTACCTTTTTTTGAAATTAAAATTAATAGATTTAAAAAAATAAAAGTAGCCTAAGCTATTTAAAACATTAACTTCCCGGAACTTCTATAATGGTTAAGGTATGGTTAAGATTTTGCCAAGTTGAAGAGGAAACGCCACTACACATCCTATGTGCTTATAGTCGACTAATGCATAAACGAAATGCATAATCTCCTTTGGAAACTATACACTCTATCTTGAGGAGATAAAAATCATGACCCCTAAGAATATTCTTAAATTCTTTTCCATGAAGGATCTAGGTAGGGAACTTTGAAAAAGAGCGAACACAATAGATCTATGTAAGACGTAGTGGTACACGTGTAAAAATTGACAATAGACCAAACTCACCAATAATAAAAATGTAAGGTAGTTGCATTATGACTGAACGTCAGCTACAGTCCAGATGGTGGGATGAGAAACAGAAACCTCGCAAAGAATGTGCCGAGAGGAAATGGCTTTTGGACAACAAGATGGGCCGTTAGTTAATTATTGCTATTCCATTTAGAGAACAATAAGATATATAATGTTCTTTAATGACATTCATCTGCTTCCAGGTGGGAATGGTCATCATTAAATGACATATACAACTCCTATTTCACTCCACTAGCAGCCGCTCGTGGGGTTCCTCTAGTATCATATTCGGATGCACTGAACGATTTGTCTATACTCTTTCTGAACTCCCATCCAGCGTATGCACCAGGGCAGCCTATTCCACCAAATGTGATTAACATCGCTGGATACCATATTCCTGAGGAAGTAGCTGCTCTACCAAAGGTAAGATAACACCAATAGATTATTAATAATATCTCAGGATAATTTGCACAGCACCATCTGGTCCCAATCTAATCAGAGCTTACGGTCTGTATTACACAACTGATATAATTATATAAATACATACATAATATATATAGAATACACACTCGTTTCGGCAACATATTATTTAATTGCAGCTGATGTTATATAGCCTATTTTGTATTAGATAGGTATATAATAAATATAATAAAATAATCATATATAAATATCTAAGCAAATACAATTACAACGAACGAAAGCAACGAAAAATACGAATAATGATTATCTATGAAACTGAATCCACATATATTGATAAATGAGATTTTTTTTTAATGTGGTGATGGAAATACTCTCCTTATACTCTCCTACGTCCCATTTACATTGCACACGAATGGGCGGAAAAAAGCCACGGTTATTCCACAAAACAGCAGCTCTAAAAGAGAACGAATTTTCCATAAAAAGGGTTCTACAGTTGGGAAGCTTCAGCATTCTAGAATGAACTGGCATGTTCATTTTTGACGAGTAGAAAGAGGGAGTAATTAAGAATTGTAATTACAAAATGATTCTATCTCAGGATCTGCAAGAACTATTGGACTCTTCGAAGAACGGAGTGGTATACTTCAGTATGGGATCAGTGTTGAAGTCAGCCGCTCTACCAAAGCGTACCCGGCGCGAACTGATCCAAGTTCTGGGAGAGTTGCCGTACACGGTTCTATGGAAGTTTGAAGAGCAGATCACAGGGTTGCCGAAGAATGTACATGTTAGACCCTGGTTTCCACAGCCAAGTATATTGTGTAAGTTGATATATTTCACAAATTCCCAATAATTAGGACCTTGAATTTGATGGACTGTCCAAAAAATGTGCTACACCAATATCAGTCATTTCCTCTCCAGTTCCTTCTGTTCCACGGGTTGTAGTCCAAACAAATCGCGTTAAACGCTTTTTTTAAGAACTCACATGGCGTCATCTTGTCTAAAATTTAGCAGAGCTTGTGTCATTAGACAACTGATATAAATAAACATATTTTTTTTGTAAATATATTTAACGTCTAAGATGGGGGCAAAATTGTAATTTCTCACAGTATTTACCCATTAATTTGAAGACTATAAGCAAATCTATCATTTCTACAACCCTGTTGTTGCCGATGGCAGCCTTTTTGATAGTTTTTATGTTTTTATATATATTTGAATTTTATATTTTGACGTTCTGTTTTTATATACTATTTGTTTTCTTATGCCATATTGTCTTTATATTTTTGCACCTATTTTTCCTCACCCAGGAACGTGTCTCATTTTTAACCAGCCCTAATACAGTCCATTTACCTTCCGTAACACCTGTAATCTTGAACACAAGCTCACCTACCATCTGAGATATTCGAGCCTCATTATCACGTACCAATAAGCTATATAGGAAAGGTTAATAAAAATCCATGCAATAGTTTTTGTATGAAAGAGTAACAAACATCCATCCATCCACACTCACAAACTTCCACCTTTATAATAGTAGTAAGATTGTAATTATATAAAAAAAACATTTCCTGACCCAGCCCACCCTAACGTGAAGCTGTTCATCACACACGGCGGTCTCCTCAGCACCATGGAGTCCCTCCAGTATGGTATGCCACTCCTGGCCATACCCGTGTATGGAGACCAGCCCTATAATGCGGAGCAAGCGGTTCGTAATGGATATGCGAGGAAGATCAAGTATGGAGATGATATGGCTGATGAGCTCAGGGTGGAGCTGAAGGAGATGTTGAGTACTGACAGGTGAGGAATGGTCTAGTACTAAAAAAAATATTTTTTATACTAATTTAAATGCAGTCTATTTTAATGTTATAAATGCGTGATCGTGGTGCCCCGAATAACGCGTAAAAAATTTTATATAAACATAGACTAAAAATTAGTACAAGGCAACCATAGACAATATAAATGAAACATTAAAAAATTTTCAATAGTAGATTAAGCGCAATCTATATTAATGTTATAAATGCGTGACACCTCAAATAACGCTCCAACCTTATTTTTTACAAGCCGACTTTACTGAGTTGATCATACGTTATTCACATGTCTGTATATCTATCTGTTTGTTACATTTTCTAACGTTTTAACGGATCTTGAAATTTGATACGAAAATTGATGACGTAGTCCTTAAAAAAATTAATGAAGTCGTAGAAAATAACTAGTATATTATCTGATAAAAAAAGTATATCTTTTTTATATAACAGTATGTTGCCACAATTTCAATTCATGACTTGTTCAATTCATTCTCCATTATATTTGCAAGAAGAATAACACAAAGGGAAGCAGTTCGGGCAACCGAAATATGTAAGACCCTATGGCATTCTTTAGATAGGTCTTTTGCCTATCTTTTGCCTATTGTAAAAAAATACAGCATTATTTTTTCTTATTTAGATATTACAAACGCGCGAAACATCTATCTTGGTTGTTCCGCAATTCCCCTGTGAAGCCAAGCAAACTGGTGTCTCACTACGTCGAATTGGCCATCGAAACTAAAGGTAAGAAAATCTTTTATTAGGACATATCTTTAATGCCCATTTTTTTTCTGTTGGTAACGTCAATGAACCTATCATTGACGTTAAAAACTTTGAATTAAGTACTTCGAAGCCATCTGAGAATTACATACTGCTACGAGAAGTATGCGTCGTTGGAAAAAATAAAAGCACTTTAAAAAAAGAATATCTATGTTTTTGTGACTGATTCGAAATTTATTAAGCGGCAACAATGTTTCCCGCCTAACCTAATAAAGTTGTTGTTGTTGTTTTAAAAATCGTCCAATTTGGACAGGCGAAGAGCATTGCCCATACTGCCTAGTCAGTAGTTACATCTAACCTAATAAAGTATAAAAGAAAGCGTCTAATTATTTGAAATTAGAATTGTGTTCTGATACGCATTGATAAAATATACAATATTTTTTGGTATTATCTGTTGGTAAGTTATAAAATATTTACGTTGCCAATTAATAACCTAAATTGTAATTTTGTAGCTTTATTGAAATTTTATAAATGAACAACGGATGAAAATATGAAGTATTGAATGATGCATATAATGGAGTATCATATGAATGAGGCAGAAGGATAATGTCAAAGAGAATGAAAGACATTTCTAATTAAAGTTGTAGAGAAAAAATTCTGCACAAAACAAGTCCTTGACGACATTCAACGAACCAAATTAGTTTTTGATTTTGTGGCTAAACAACAGCTGATAATTAAAAAATGAAAAGGACTTGTTTTGTGGAGAATTTTTTTCTCTACAACTTTTATTTAAAACATTTTTTCATATTTCTTACCGTTATCTAATTATTATGAAAAAAGGCGTTTACCAGCCCTTTTTTTTATTTTTTCATTCCTTTCCTGTTAACTTAAATCATAATTTCTTTCTGAATACTATTATTCACGTATATGCAGTCTTATTTTTATATATTGCGCCAAAATAAGTCATATCATGTTTAATTTTATATTTCACTGGACTAATTTAGTCAGCCGAACATAAGAAAGTTAAGCGACTATGTTGGGGCCGCTACTATTTGTGTTTGTAATATGTTCCATGTATTGTGGCAGCAGCAGGAAAGGAGGAAATGAAGTGATGAGTCCAGATTGTAGCTATATACATATTTATAATAATTAAAAGTATTTTCAATGGATATATATGTATGTACAAGAAAGTGATTCGGTCTCCAATGACAGGCTTGTTATCTTCTTGTTCTGTCGTAGCTAGGCAACGGTGTTGCCGCGCGATAATAGTAAATTCGCCACAAAAGTATCGTTTTAGAATACATATTTTTGGATTTGATTTGATTTGTTTGGTGTACAATTCCAGGCGCGCATCACCTGCGCTCCCCGTCTCGCCAGTACGCGTGGTACGCGCGCTGGATGCTGGACCAGGCGGCGCTGCTGGCGGCCGCGCTCTACATACTGTACAGACTGGCGGCAGCAGCACTACGACCACTCACCAAGAAAACCAGCAAGAAACTGAAGAAACAATAAATTATTATAAGTTATTTATAATTAATATTAAACTATTTTATATAAACTGAATTTTATTATTGATTTAACTCATTTTTTGGTTTTATATTTTATTTCATAAATTTTGTATAGTTCATTATTATTCCATTGTTATTCCGTTCCCACTTTTACTGCAGTGGCCCATTTAGAAATATCTCAAGGAGCCGTCTATAAACACCTCACTTCATTTTTAAGTAGATAGACAGATAGAAAATATTTCAATTATAATATAAAGTCAAGAAAAAGCACAAATAAACCCCTCCGATCGATCCCTCGTCCAATTCAAACGGGGATCGAAATTACGACGCCCTGAGCCGAGGTTCGAACCCCTAGTGGTGCCCTCAGACTAAAGTCGTATCCGTTAGGCAGGAGTTGGCCTTCAGCCGCTCCATAAGTCTTTCCTTTGGTTTGGAGTGCCATCTGCACTCGCCCCCTAACATCCGGTGAAGCTGTAAAGGCCAGCTGCGGCCAACAGCATTAGAGATGTCCGAAAAATAAAGGCATAAATAATATATTAAGTTCTTATTGAGTATAATCGCAATAAGGAGGCGTTATTGCTAAAGGCAATCTTATATTTCATTGAGTACACGTAACACAAGTTCTGCTTACTTTGGGATTAGATGGTATAAATACTTAATTACACTATTACAGGGAATTCATCACACACTTGAACCTAAGTGGTCTCGGACAGTACTTTTAAGGCTAGCTTCATAGGAGCTTCATCCCGTGTACACTTACATTGTGGAATGAACTACCTGCCGAGGTTTTCTCACGAGACTACAGCATGGGGTTTTTCAAGAAGGGTATATTAAGGTTTCTTAAGGGTCGGCAACGCGTACGTGATACTCCTGGTGTTTCAGGCGTCCATAGGCTGCGGATATATTTACCATCAGACGGGCCGTATGCTTGTTTGCCACCTAGGTGGTATAAAAAAATGTTTTGAAAATAATAATCCTTTTTTTTTTTTTTTTTTATCGTGTGGAAAAATCTTCAACAAGACCGTCACCCCGCCGGAGGGATGGCGAGGTGGTGTGTGGGACTCGTACCCACTAAAAAACCACACGGTATACCTCGAGGTGCCGTGGGCCGAAGTCCGGGGTTCGCACTTGGCATTCAACCCAGACTTCGGCGGCTTGGCCTGTCCTGTAGATGTTGTAGGACAGGCCCCCTCTCTCTGGTTATGGCTTAAACCTTTCTCGTGGAGGCGCAACGCGCGCGCCTCCAGGGGCCTGGTTGTGGGGTGGTGCCTCCCTCAAGGCATGCACCCCGGCCCCCGTGGGGGGTAGACTCGGGACGGAGTTGGGCTCGTCCCGACGTCTGCGCCTGGTCCTCCGGCGGCGGATCATTGGGGCGAAAGGATCGTACTCCCGGTCCCTCTCCGCCGCCTCCTTCTGCGAAATAACTTCTTCGCAGAAGGTGAGCATAAGGCGGTCTGCCAGCCACGACCCCTCGCTCCTAACCATTGCCCGAACTAAATTCGGCAGCGAGAGGTCGGCCCCCACTTCCGCGACCAAGACGCGGCGCTCCTCTGCGAATGCAGGGCACTCCTCCAGAACGTGCTGCGCCGTGTCTTGGTCGCATCCGCACTGGTGGCACATTGTTGTCGGCTCCCTCCGTGCGATGTTACACATGAAACACCCATGTCCGGACAGCACCTGCGTAAGTCGATAAGTCAGCGGCCACCGTCGCCTGCCCATCCATTCTTTGAGAACTTTCGACGGTCCTCAGGCCGGCCGTAGGGTTGGCCAGCCTTTCTTCCCACTTTTCCATGAGGACACGTCGGAGGTGGGATTTCCGTTCCCCTAGTTCCACTCCAGAGGGCTCCCTTCCTTGGGCCCTTTCGTCCGCGCGCCACTTGTACAAGGACGCGCGGGAAAAATACGAGATCCCAAGGTGGGGAGCCCGCGAGCAAGCACGCCGCCTCTCTCGAGACGGTGCGGTACGCTCTGATGACCCTTATGGCCATTGCTCGCTGCGGACGCAGGAGCAAGGCCATATTCCCCCTGGACAGGGCTCCATACCATATAGGGGCCCCGTATAGGGCCATCGATTGTACCACACCCATATAGAGGCGGCGACAATTATCCCCCGGCCCCCCGATGTTAGGCAGCAGCCAGCTAGCGCCGGCCGCCGCCATTAGACGAGGAGCCAGGTTCTTGAAGTGGAACCGGAAACCCCAGCGACTATCAAGGTCAAGCCCTAAATATCTAATATGTTTTGACCTCGAGCCTATGACCGCTGACCACGATATGGGCTCCTGGTGGCGGCGCTCGTCGGGGTCCATGGAAACAAAGGACCTCCGACTTCTCGAGCGCCACTTGGAGCCCTAACCTTCTAATCCTGCCGACAACAAGTGCCACACTGTCAGTAGCGAGACGGGCAGCCTCCCTGTAGTCCCGCCCGCGGGACGTTACCAGCGTGTCGTCCGCATAGCAGACTAAGCTGGTCCCGTCGAGCAAGGTGCCCCGCAGATTCCAGTCATACCCGATGTTCCACAGGACCGGACCCAGAACCGATCCCTGTGGAACACCGCGTTGCATCTCCCTCTCAATCACCGCGTCGTTCCGCCCGATACACATCACTTTCCTGTTTTGGAAGTAGGCCCCGATCACCTCCCGAAGGTAGGGAGGCACTTGGTGGAATTTGAGTGCCTCCCTAACACACTCAAAGGGAAGGGTGTTGAAAGCATTTTTGATGTCGAGAGACACCGCCAACAACACCCCTCCCCGGGAGACTGCTTCATCCGAGAGGGCACGAACCTGTGCGATCGCATCGATCGTGGATCGGCCCTCCCGGAACCCGAATTGATTCGGGGATAGGTCGGGACCCACCCGGACCAGGTGCTTGACGAGGCGGCGTACTATGATCCTCTCGAATAGTTTGCCGACCTCGTCAAGAAGGACTATCGGGCGGAACGCCGAGGGGGATATGGAATCCGCAGGGCGCCCCTCCTTGCGGAGCAGGACTACTCTGCCCGCCTTCCACTTCTTGGGAAATCGCCCCGACTCCATGCACTCATTGAAGAGGCTTAGAAGTCGGTCCCCAAGGGCACCAAGGGCCAAATATAGAGTCCGGCCGGGAACACCATCAGGCCCTGGGGCAGTTTTCTTGCCCCGGAGCTTGTCCACGGCCGCGGAGAACTCTTCCGCCGTGATTGACGGAATAACTTCCCTTTGGGTGCCGCCGTCGTCTTCCTCTATTTGACGGCTGCGCGGCACCATAGGAGGGGGTGTGAACTCCGGCTGCTCTGGGAATAGAGCTGTCAACACCCCCTCCAATTGCTGGGGCTGGAGGCTCTCTGCCACGGGGGGCGTCCAGGGGCGTAATTTGCCCGTTACGCTCCTGTATGGGCGCCCCCATGGATCTTTGTTGAGAGTCTCGCTGCAGCTCGTCCTGATGGCGAGCTGCAGCGTCTTCTTCATCTGCGTATATTGCGCGTGCAGCTCGACTTCTATAGCGGCGTCACGGCCCCGCCTGAGACGGCGGTGCCTAATGTACTGGCGTCTAGCGGCCATGCTTTCGACTCGCAAGGCCGCTATCTCTTCGGACCACCAGTACACTTGACGTCTCGGAGGGGGAGGGCGGGCTCGGGGCATGGCCGCATCGCAGATGCGGGTCATGGCCTCCCCAAGCCAATTAGCTTCCTCCTCTACCTGCCTGGATGGAGATGATGACCAGGCCTGCACTATAGAAGCCTCCACCAGCAAGTCTCTATTGAGACGCTTCAGTGCCCATTTGGGGAACGTCGGAGCGTTTCTCTCTGGGCGCTCCGGGTGCGGAGCTCCGGACGGGGGAGAATGTCGAACCTGATATAACGATGATCCGACAGGGTCTCCACCTCGTCCATCACCTGCCACCTCCGCACCCGGCGTGCGATGGATGGAGTGGCAAGGGAGATGTCCACTATGGATTCCCCCTGCCATCGCACGCATGTGGCGACCGACCCCACGTTTAAAACAGCGAGATCGGACGCCACCGCCCAGTCCTCCAGGACCGCGCCTCGCGCGCTAGTACTGGGGGAACCCCAAGCTGTGGATTTAGCATTGAGGTCCCCCATGACAAGTACTGAACGGGTTGAGTGGACACTTATAAAGGTGGCCAACCCGTTCAGGTACTCTTCGAATTCGGCGACGGTCCTGTTGGGAGAGAAGTATACTCCGACGACGACGATTTCCCCCAACTCACTCCTACGTAACCCCGTCCCCTAAATAGGGGAGTACAGGGAGAGGAGGCTGAACTTCCCCCGACTCGGACGACAGCAGCCAGGCCGTCTGAGTCGCCGAACCAATTGTCAGAGGAAGGAACTCTGTATGGTTCGGCGACTACGACCAGGTCCACGAGCCACTCAGCCGCAATTTGAAGGAGAAGGTCCTGTGCAGCGACTGCGTGGTTCGCGTTCGCCTGGAGGAGACGAAGGGGACGGGGAGCCATTAGGAAGGCGTCTCCTCCTCCAACACGTCGTAACTGTTAGAAGTTACGGTGGCGGCGGTCGCGGGAGGTGCTGGTGCCGGCCCCTTCTTAGTTTTTTGCCTGGTCTGGGAACAACTTTTGCTTCCCAGCCAGTGTTCCGCCGGCCTACCTGCCTCACGGCAGATGGCACAATTTGGTGTGGCTGTACAGCCGACGGATTTGTGGCCCTTACTACACCTAAAGCAGAGGCCACTGCGGTCCCCTTCGTGCGGGCACCTTGTCCTTATGTGGCCGTTCTGCAGGCACTTGTAACACCGCAGCGGCCTCTGCTTGAGGAGCTCGGCAGGGGCCGATATCCAGCCGATTCGGATACGGGCTGCTGTGGTTATTTTCTTTACCACCAGGATGGGAGCCCTTACCCAGCAGGTGCCTAAGCCCGAGGCGTTCACTCGAATTTCACCGGTTTTCACGTCCTCAGGCTTACACTCTCCATCTCTGGTAACTGCCTCTACCACGTCCTCTATCGTAACAGAATCATCCAGGCCCATAATTCGCATTTCTGCCGATTTAATGGGTCTGGAGACCTACGGGGTTGCCCACCAGAACTTCACGGAGCCTCGTCGCGAGCGCATCCGCTTTCTGCCCACTCTCCGAGCCTGGGATCTCCAGGATCCTCGCCCCCGTTGCGGCAGACTTGAACCGCACCTCCGATATTCCCAAGGAGAGCAGATCTATTTTCGATTTCGCCTCCCTGAGGATGTCGGAGTAGTTTGCACCTGCCTCTTTCGCATCCGAAGGGAGAGCGAGGATAATCGCTGCAGAGCGAGGGGCCCGGAGTTTACTGGGAGAGGGAGCTCCCTTCTTCCGAGTCCCACCCGCCTGATTGGACTGGGAGCCTGAAGTACCCGCCTTAGCCTGTGGTTGTCCCGTAATGCGTCCACGCCTTTTCACCACGGTTGCCCATGTGTCTCCTGCGGCGGCGGATTTTTCCGGTGCAGGCGCCGGCTCCGGCTTTTGAGAGGTGGCAGGCTTCGTTTGGGCCGCCTTTTTCCCCTTCTTCATTTTCCTAGTCTTATTGTTCTCCGCTACAACTGCGGAAGAAGAAGGGGCAGTTGGCTCCGGCGAAGCAGAACGAGTCCTGGCATCTATTGCTGGCGGGGATATTTCGACCTCTGCCACTCGATGTTTGCGTGTTACAGGGGCATGTCTGGGGAAAGGTTGCCTCGCTTCCCAAGCGTCGAACCTCAGCTGCATGACTCGCGTGACCTCTTCCGCGATTGTACGTTTGAGGTCTTCTGACCCGCTTGTATTTGTTTGTTGCGGCTGATTTTGCAACGCTTGGGATGCCCGCTCGCTGTCCACTTTCAACTGGGCGACTTCCATCTTGAGGTCCTCCACCTGCTTGCGGAGAACTTCTACCTCCTCCTCAAGGCGGGAGTTTTGGGCTTTGAGGTGTTGGTTTTCTTCGTTGGCCGTTCTTTTGGCCAGCACCGAGGCGGCTTCGCTGATGGACGCGGCTGCCTCTTTGAGGGCATTAACGAAGGTGCCCTTCAGGTTCTTTGACTTCGAGGCCACGCTGAGTACCACCTGAATATTTTTAAGAACTTGCCTATTCAGGCCATCCACTGTCACATCATTAGGGTTGGTGTTGGGTCCCTCTAATGTCACCTTGCTCAGCCTGGCCGCCCTCGTTTCCGCCAGTAGCTCCTTTTCAGCCTCGGTTTGGAGCATTTGTCGCTGGACTTCGACCATTTTTGGCACTAGCCAATCCCACATATTCCCCGGTTGTTGGGGGTCTGCCTCTACCTCTGCGCGCTGGTCTTTGCTGTTTAGGCTGCGCTTTATTCGGCGATCCTGGCTCTGATTGAGCGGACGCCATACTGCTGTCGGAATCAACCGATTCCAACTCCACCACTACCTGTTTTTGTGCTTTGATCTTATCCATTTTGTTCCCACGAGTATGGGGGATAGGTTGCACAGACAGCGTTGCCCCCTGCTACTGTCTGCGGTCTAATACGCCGGGAGGGCGACAGGTACTCCCGGGTTGTGCGCTAACGACAGGTTTAACGCCCCTGCCACCTCTAGGCACTCCCTCGGCACGCAAGACCTTGGAATGGACGGATTTTTTATAGAGGTGATCTCCTCATGCGGTTAAGCCGAGGCCCCCGTTCCTGACTAACTAGGCTGATAGACATGACATCAACACCTAGCATCAGGGTTACGGTTTGCGGTCGGTGGTACATAAGTGTGCCCGGCTGCGCAGTGAAGCACCCACTGGGCCCGACCAGGTCTCGCTCAACCGTGTCCCTCTAACTAGTAGAGGGCACGAGGAGGAGACGACACTTCGTCGCAGACGGCGACAAACACAAAGACGACGTCGTCGAGGGACATAACGTAGTACCCTCGAACGAACTACGACGACGACGATACAACACAAGACTATATACAACATGTAACATTGGACATCACAATATGTACAAGCAGAATGTACGAATATGTACATGGGCATGTGCCAGAAGTGACACACACCCCCTGCTCAACGGGTTATTCGGGGCTCCAGTGTCCTCGGCTGAACCGAGGCTTGGGAGTTCCCGAACGACCGACACCTCCGGATGGACGCCGATGGAGGTTGTCCATACCCTACTTGCCGGACTATCGGCCGACATAGTAGCAGTATCCCGAGGGAACGACTACTATCCCGCCCAGGGCGTACCAGAACCAAACCATTGCTCGGCCACCGTTCCCCGCGGACGTATCCACGAGGATGGGGAAGCCTCCCAATGGCAGGAACATACTAGGAGGTTGCCCGACACACGCCCCGAAAATAATAATCCTAGGATATAATGATCTCAGGAAAATTTACACAGCGTATTCTGGTCCTAAGTTAACTAAAGCTTGTGTTATGTGTACTAGACAACTGATATAAATACTTAGATGCAATTTGTTTTGTAAGTAAATACTAATATACATAAAAAACACCTAGACTGATACAAAGAATCTTAATCATGAATGCAAATGTTCGTACAATGTTAGGACCCCGGAATCATCAACCATAAGGCGGTCTGCTAATCTGGTAGACCATTGAGGTCGTCGAAATGAAACACGATGAAGTGTAAAAGTCGTTTATTTATTTTTCCTATAAAAGTGCTACATATTTTGTGAACAATTGTATGTAATTGTCCACACTGCGGTCACCCATCAATTTGTGAAGCTGAACCTCACCATCGGGAGTCAACAGTGCCTGGAAGAAAATATTAGTACATCGTTATTAAATTGTATAAAAAATGTGATGTTAATAAATTATTACATATATTAAAAAAATATTATATTATATACATTATATAATAATAATCTCAGGACAATTCACACAGCGCCATCTAGTCCCAAGTAAAGCTACCTCAAGCTTGAGTTATGGGTACTAGATAACTGACAGATAGATAGATTTTTTTTTCAAAATACATACATATTATACATAGAAAACACCCAGACAGACACAAACAAACATACTCATGAATACAGAAGTTTGCGCTGTGCAAGGAATCAAACCCGCGACCATCGGAAGTATAGCGGTGTGCTAAACCGCTAGACCACCGAGGCCGTCATATACATATTTTTTACGAGAACAATGCGTTCAAACGTTCAAAAATTTATTTATTCATTTATTCTACTGAAGATTGCTTTGAAGTATCTGATCCTTTTGAATAAAAGTATGATACAAATAATCATACTCATGTTACATCGTGCGTGGAATTGAACCTACGACTATTATGAGTAATTTTTTTTAGACTATGCTTATGCTGTCGGCTGCAGCTGATCTTTACGATAGAGGGCGAGTGCAGATGGCACTCCAAACCAAAGGAAGGACTTAAGGCTCCTTAAGTCCTTCTTTTAAGTAAGGCCAACTCCCGCCTGACGGATACGACTTCGAACTTCGAACCTCGAACCTCGATAACGTGATCTCAGTGGTGCTGTTCCTTTATGTAGATGACGGGTACCACTTGGGTTATTAGCTTTTTTATTGTGGGGTTTGGGCTACTGTCAGGTGCTTAGACCTGTAGCACTGTGACCTACATAGATCTATTGTGCTCACCCTTTTTCAGAGTTCACTACCTAGACCCATCAGGGACAAGAATTGAAGGATATTTTTTGGAGCGATGGGTTTTATCTCCTCAGGATATAGTGCAAACGTTTCAAAGGAGATATTTCATATATGCGTGAATATTTAGTGGTGTTTGTACAGATTTCTGTTGAGCGCAGGCCTAGGTTTGCCATATGTTTATTTGTTTTTCAGTGTCCAATGAGGACGCTAGTCATGATGCATATGTTGTTTTTACTCAGTATTAATAATAATAATAATCTCAGGACAATTCACACAGCGCCATCTAGACCCAAGTTAAGCTAGCTAAAGCTTGTGTTATGGGTACTAGATAAAAATAACTGATAAAAATACATAGCTATTTTTTTTTGTAAATACATACATATTATACATAGAAAACATCCAGATCGATACAAACAATCATACTCATGAAAACAAATGTTTGTGCCGTGCGAGGAATCGAACCCGCGACCATCGGGCGTAAAGCGGTATGCTTAACCGCTAGACCAAGGAGGTCGTAATTAGCTAGATTTCCAGTTACATTCAATGATTTCAATACTCACCAAAGTGTCAGCATTCGCCGCGACACCTATTGCGGCGCTCTCGGTGACACTTGCCGCGTAGATGTCACTATGTGTCAACTCCCATGACATTAGTGTCCCTTCTCTCAGTAATGTGTATATAGAACACGGGTTGACTGTCGACCAATATATTGATTTCACTGCTATCTGTAATATAACGAGTCAAAGCATGATGTTAAAAACTTATAACCTTTTTCTAGAATTATGCATTTTCGAACTACGCTTTTTTTTTATACCATGTAGGTGGTAAACAAGCATACGGCCCGTCTCGTCTCGTCACGGTAAACGGTTACCGTAGCCTATAGACGGCTGAAGCACCAGGGGTGTCACATGCGCGTTACCGACCCTTAAGAAACCTTAATATACCCTTCTTGAAAAACCCCATGCTGTACTCTCGAGAAAACCTCGGCAGATAGTGCATTCCACAATCTAAGTGTACCCGGGAGGAAGCTCCTCTGAAGCTAGCCTTTAAAAGTTAAAAATAATAGGTATGACTATTCAAAAGTGCATGAATTTCTTTATTTTTAAGCCAGTTTATCTACATCGTGTACTTATGTAGGTGTCTATGTCTAACATTAAATGAAAATCTTGTGCATGAACAACTATTGCCATGCACGTGTGTTGTAATCGTTTAGTGAGTGATTGTTTGTCATCTAAGCAATTGTTTAGTTTAGTACAAGTATGTAATATTATGTTATATGTGGTACAAGTAAATTTCTTTTTAAAACAAAGCCAGTTTATTTACAATGTATATTTATATAGTTGTCTATGTCTAACGTTAAATGATAATCCATTGCTTGAACAAATATTACTATGCACGTTTGTCATTCAAGTAATAGTTTAGTGAGTAATAATGGCTTTGCTCAATAAATATGATTTAACAGATGTACCAAACCAAGAATAGACTATCCTTTAGGTCAAAATTTAATCTGAAAAGGTTGAAATAGTAGGTGAAAGTTTGTGCAGGTAAAATTGATGGTAACAGAGAAAAGATAAGAGAGGTAAGAGAGAAAAAATATCTTACGCCTGGCATTATTTGTATATCTTTGGTGCTTGGCTGCGAGGTCACTGTGACGCCCATGTACCGACCCTTAGGGTCGCTCTGGTATCTTTCCGTCTCTTTTCGTTCTGGATAATTCCTGTAGCCAACAAAAAGGGATAGATACAAAAAGCTGAGCAATAAATAAATAAATATATATATATATAAACGAACGAATATGCAAGATAATTGGTGCAACTGCTTCCGCTAACAATTCAAGCTGGCGGGGCACTAGTGGAGGACGATAAGTTGAGCATGAGGTTAGGTCAATTTCACACCGTTATTAAATAAACAGAAATTAACCACGATAGTTTCCAGGGGGAACTGTGTGGAGGTCAACTTGACATGGTACATTGCTAGCAATAGGATCATCAGTCCACATCACTAACAATCCGCTTTTCCCCCTATAGATGGCGGTTATCACTTACCATCAGATGGCAAGTTACCATGTTTGCCATTCCAATCATCTTTGTAGTAGTAACAAGTGGGACAGAGATAGGAAGTATGGGGTTAGACAGAGAAGATTGAAAGTCATCTTCAGGTGATTTATTGGTCAGCTGAAATACCTACCTGGAGTCCAGTGTAAGTAGAACCCTCGCGTCTACCACTGAACATAAGTTGACGGTACCAACATCGGTGCCCGCCAAGAAATATGACAGTCCATGCTGTGACACTTCCAAACAGGTTACTGTTGTTGCATCATCTGAAAATTTCCTTGAGTTAAATTACATAATATAAAACAAAGTCGCTGTCGCTATCTGTCCCTATGTATCTTTAAAACTACGCAACGGATTTTGAAGCGTTTTTTTTTAATAGATATAGAGATTCAAGAGGAAGGTTTATATATATAATACATTACACACGTGAGAAGCCGGGGCGAGTAGCTAGTCTAATATATAAAATTCTCGTGACATAGGTTTCGTGTTTATACTCCTCCGAAACAGCTTGACCGATTTTGATGAAATATGTATATTCAATAGATCTGAAAATATGTTTATAACTATTTTTATATCCCTAACTGTTAAGACACACTCCAAAAAAATTTTATTTTATAGCGATAGTAATAACAGAAATATTTTTTTTTAGCTTTGAATTAAATTTTATACTTACTGGCAACACACATTCTATTCACTTTAACAGCAGCTCCAGTCTTCGTACAACACAGCACCTCCCCACAATTTTTTGCAATCAACACATAATCTGCATTGTCATATTTCATTATTTTCAAATCGCTACAAACTATACCATTCTCCCAATTATTTTCTACTGGCAACACTTTCTTCTTTATACTGACAGCACTGACGGGTCTGTCAAAACTGACAGACGATTTCGGGCGGGAAATCTTCTTGTCTTTGGTCCTTTCTTTTTTTCTTAATAGCACTCGTTTTTTGGCTGCGTTCAGATTGAAATTTACATTACTTGTTGATGGTTCGACGCCATTTATGTGTTCAATGAGAGATATGGCTTGAGTTTTTTCTAACTTCATCTTCGACCAGAATGCTTTGCCCATGTCTGTATTAGTTTTTAGCTTCTCTTGTATTATGGACCAGATCGTTAATATTCCTATTCGTTGTAATACATACACCTGTGGAGAAGCAGACTGTTAGTACTGTCAAATAACCCCATTGCTATGCTATAATGTACAATATCAGATTGACCTCCATGCTGGAAAATCGGTAACTGACCTGACTTCATGTTCATTTTATCACCCGCAGGCGGGCCATTCCATCAAAAAAACCATTGTCCATCCATCATCCATGAAAAAAAACCATTGTCCATGTGACCTTGACATTCAATAATCTAATCTAATTCTATCTTTAAATCTAATCAAAAAAGAAAAAAGTTTCATCGTTCTAGCTTCAAAAATGACGATTTTTCATACAAACTATTATCCCCAATTATATTTTAACCCCTTAAGAGTAACATTTTTACAAACTTTGAATGTCACATTCATCAAACTTTCATCTCCCCTGTCAACCCCTTACCACCCCTTTTTACGCATTAAAAAGTAGCCTATGTAAAGGACATAGATTCAGCGTTTGAACTATCTTTGTACCAAATTTTATTAATCGATTCAGTAATTTTGGGGTGAAAGCGAACCAAACAGACAGACGGACAGAATGCAAGACAAACAGACTTACTTTCGCATTTATAATATTAATAAGGATATTCTAGTTCTTCACAACAAACCTGCCCCATGAGTTTCCTTCCTGCATCGTGACTGGTCTGCTTGCATTCCATTTCTAGACCGACCACATGGTCTACTGCAGTATTATCCAGTACATTACTAGCACTGCTCGTGTAGGCGCAAGTTTGCATGGCATATGGTATAGTCTTCTGGAATTACAATAATAATATATCTGATCATGTTCATGAAAGAGGACTAGGGGAGCGTGGTCACAGTGGATAGATCGTTGTAGCTTTGCATGCGGTGCACACAAACACTTGGGTTTCAGCGACGTCATCGTTCTTACATTTCTTCCGCGTCCTAACTAGTCGCTATCTGAATTTCAGAGATATAGTTTGCGTTGCAGCACAATAGTCGTGTTGCCTTTCTGTGTGCAAAGATTTTGCAAGATTTAATTATTTGTTATGGTCTATGGTTAATGTTGTTTGATTGAATGATGTCCAAGAACTTACAATGTTATTGTAATCATCTTTTATTGGGGTCCAAATATCGTTTATCCATAGTGGCTCTGCTCTGTATCCATTGTGACCCCTAAATGGGTCACAGTGGATACCCATTTATGGGGCAGTGTAAGGCTATTTTGCAATGTTGTTTTAAACTTAAATGTATCTTCTAGATTTTCATTAAACATCTGATCAATCTGAGGTAGAAAATGTGAAGTTCTAGCAGTTGTAAAAAAAAGTAACCACTGTACCCCACGCTCCCCTACTGGCCGAAAAGGTTCTTTCATCCCCTATTTTATCCCCTTGGGGGTAGAATTAATCAAAATCCTTTCTTAGCGAATGCCTACGTCATAACATCTACCTGCATGCCAAATTTCAGCCTGATCCGTCCAGTGGTTTGGGCTGTGCGTTGATAGATCACTATGTCAGTCACTTTTGAGTTATATATATTTAGATATAAGAAGAATAATATAATAGTAATATCTCAGGACAATTCTAAGTCATTTAGTGCCAAGCTAAGAAGTTGTTATGGGTACTAAACAACGGATACAAGTACATAAATACATATGTTTTTTAAATATTAGTATTTATCAATACATGTATGTATTACAGTATTATTACACTAATACAAAAAAAAAAGAGTATTACTATCAGTCTTAGTATTTGTCTAGTACCCATAACACAAGCTCTGCTTAGCTTGGGACTAGATTATGTTGTGTGAATTGTCTAGGATTATTATTAATATTGCCATATTTCACGCATCAACAAAAACATTTATCAGTTAAAATAGGTAAGAAAGTTGTATCCACGCAGACTCGTTTATCTTCCTCTACTAAAATAACTATAATAAATAGATTTTCAATACAAACCTCATTATAGATTACGTGACTATTTTTCAAATTCCATTCTCTGTCTTCCTCTATTTGTGTTGTTGAGGACCCAACATTAACTTCTACTAAATTGGTAGTTTTCTCGTCGCTGACAACATTGTTATGCCATGTCGGCTTCTCCGATAGGTCCCAAAGATGAAGTGAGCTGTTTATTAAAGAATTATCGTAATCTTATTATCATTACATAGTATAAAATAAAATCGCTGTCGCTGTCTGTCCGTCCCTATGTATGCTTAAATCTTTAAAACTACGCAACGAATTTTGAAGAGATTTTTTTTAACAGATAGAGTGATTCTAGAGGAAGGTTTATATATATAACACATGTACATCCGGGCGATGCCGGGGCAAATAGCTAATAATATTATAAATGCGAAATTTTGTGAGTATAGATCGATGTTTGTTATTCTTTCACGCAGAAACTACTGAATGGGTTTTATTGAAACTTTACAGTAATATAGCTTACTAGCTGTGCCAGGCTGGTTTCACTCGCGTGAAATGTATAGCCTATATATTATTCTGATGTATAAGCTATATATAAGCTAGTACCCCATAAATTAACGTCCATATCTACCTTTTTAAACCAAAGATTAGCTTACAAAGCGAGGTGCTATTAGAAAAATAGATGACATAGAATACTCAGTTCAAAATCTCTTTCTGATCAATAATTTCATAAATATGTCTACTTTTAACAACTTACCCGTCCTCCAATGCAGCGACAAAAATACCATCAGTGTTGCCTCTAAATCTACCAACAACAATATTATCTATTACTGTTAAAATTTTCACAGGTTCCCGTCTGGCAATACTTAAATTCCATAAGCAAACAGTACATCTATCAGCTGTTGCGTTTGATGCTTTATGCACAGTCATAATAAGGTTGTTTTTGTTTTCAGAATATATGATGCCAATAATTTTGGTGTCCCTTACGAAAGAAAGGTTTTCATCTGTGATATCTTTATTCGACAATGTTATAAAACCTTTGCTAAAAACATATTTAGAACTTTTTACTATATCAGGCAATTCTTTACTACCAGTGTTAACAGTCAAAACATAACTGACTTTACTTTCGACTTTTTTCAGGAACCTTTTTAGTCTGTGCACATTAAATTCGTTATTTTTCAATTTAGAATCGTAACTGTCATATTGCAACATATTTCCGTTACCGACGCCATCTTTCTGCTCTAAGTAAATTCTCATTGGATTCAATTTGTAACTTACATCCGAGTTAATCTCATCGTTGACATTTTTAATTGAAGTATCTTTTATTAAAATTGTAAACTTTGTTAAGTAATCTTCAAAATTTTGACTATATTTTCTATTTCTAATATCTTGCATTAAATGAATATCATGATTGGAAAAATCTACTGGGTATTGGGTCCATTTTACATCGCATTCGATCTCTTCAGTTTGCACCTCCTCAGTGATACCATCGTCAAAAGTCTGCGCAGCAGTTTGCATGTAATTTGATCTGCCAAATGTTGCCATATACACGTCGTATGGAATAGGTTTCATTTCAAAGAGTGAGTATGACATTTCATGCAATGTTACCATGCTGAGTATATCTTGAGCGCGCTGCTTTAACCTTTCGAATATTAGCCGTTTTCGTTTATTTTGTTTGGCCTTCGTGAAGTCTATAAAAAGAGGCCTGAAAAAGTAAAATTATAACAATAAAGAATAAAATATTTAAGGAAATTATGTCTACTTTTAGACGTACCAAAATCTACGTAATATTTTCTGAGATATCTAAGGAATAGTGAACCTGTTTTAAATTTCTCGTTAATAGCTTAAATTCCGTTTTATAACTTAAATATATAAAATTTATAAATGTGATTCATTAATAAGACCCTCTGCTACAACCAAATCATTTCAAAGTGCAACACGCAAGTTTCTTGCTCGTTGTTCTTGTAATGAGACAGCTTTCCGAATGAGCGATAGAAAAAATAAATAATTCACTATTCAAGAGTGCTTTAATGTAAGTTTGAGTAAATAATTTTCTATTCTATTCTATTCCATTCCTTGTCATATAATGTCACACTTTGGCATTCATGTACCTATCAAGTACATCAACGTGAAGCGTCCTCATGCTGGAAACAGCACTGGAACTGCTCATATCCTGGAATCCCTCATCCGTGAGAGAAACCTTCACATCAACTTCCGTGTCTTCTACTATGAAATCCATGACGCCATGTTTCGCGCGATTAGCCGAGCGTTGTGACTCGCGCAAATCAAAATTACCTGTGAGTTTTGAAATTAAATATTTAACCTCATATTTATAAATTTTTAATTCTTTAACATCCCACAAATTATTTATTGTAAGCAAATGACATATTGTAGATTTAAGTAAGGAAATTTTAGATCTTTGATATCATAAATTTCCAGTGTCTGATGATCGCAACAAAATTGCAATATAGTTGTTAGTAGAGGATTACTGATACTCAGGTTTATATATATAAAGGTAGTATAACGTATTAAAAGTTAATTACAGATATAAAATTTCTAGTACCCTTAGCATAAGCTATGCTTTGAACTAGGTGTAAAATAAACCGGAATAAATGTTACTCACCAGAGTCCAGCATTCTTTCCTCGTCTTTAATTTCTTTTAAACCATCATCAGATTCTATATGGCCATTACTTCCACTTATATCTTTTTCACCTTTACTTCTACGTTCAAATGAATCTTTTTCGATATATCTCTTATCATTGTCATCAGCGTCTTGATTTTGTACATTATTTTCTGGATCGCTTTGATTGTCCAATTGATCGTTCGAACTTGAATTAGATTCACTATGATAGGATTCAAAGTCAGACTCATAACTTTCGAAGTCGTCTTCATAACTTACGTCATCGTCGCTCGATTTGTTGTTTTGTACCTGTTGGATTATTTTTAATATATTTTTTAAACTAAAATAATAATTTTTATATTCCTAAATTCACACAGCGTCATCTAGTCGCATAGTAATAATCAAAGCTTGTATTATGGATACTAGACAACTGATATACAAATAATTAGCTAACATATATAGAAAACATCCAGACCGATAATAACAATCATAATAGTAATCATGAATATAAATGTTCGTACCGTGAGAGGAATCGAACCTGTCACAATCGGAAGTAAAGTGATTTGTTATACCGCTAGACCATCGAGTCCGACAAATAGGCGGGATAATAGTACCGAAGCCGATGCCTTTCTATAAAATATGGTCATTATTTTACCTTAGATTGTCTTTTTTCATCTTCAAAATCAACAAAAAACGCCTTCGGTTGTGCTCCCAGTCGTCTCGTCAAATTAATCATCTCAGCATTATTATCAACTACGTCTGGAGTCAACACTTTGACTTCGTCATCTTTAAGAGTCCTCGTCTTTGTCCGTTGTCGATCACCATCAGATCGATCCAAATTCAATTTTGCCGTTTCTGAATTCAAATCTAACTTTTTCTTTGTCCCCGGCGAATTCACAGTTACATTCGCGTATGGTAACTCTTTCGCCAACCGCGGTTTTTGTTTTATTTTGCTTTCCGATTTCGTTTCTATTTTCTTCGATATCCTTTTTTCCGAACTTCTACTGCTCTGAGTTACAGATGAAGGCGACGATTTCAAAATATCCTTCGCAGATACATTTGTTTTGTTTGTTGTACCAATTGATTTACTTGGTGCTTTGGATTGTAATGTCTTTTGACCATAAATATCTGCGGAAGTAGATTTCTGTACGTAATTCCGTGGCGTAGATAGAGTATATCTTGGTGTTGCTGGAGTATTTTGTGACTTGGATGGAGTATTTCGTGTAGTAGATACATTAGTCTTAAGGGCTGTAGATTTTTCTTTCTCATCTCTTTTGGATGATGCTGTACTGTCGTCTTTAGTTGTTTTTACTTTGCTTTTGACTTTGTTATCACTGGTTTTTCTTATTGTAGTCTTCATATTACTTTAAGGACAAGATGAGTCTATAACAAATGTGTAAAATTATTAATACAAAATTAAAACTAATTTCAGGAAAACGAAAATATGTTTGTTACCTTGTCACTACAAGACTGAACATATCTTAATGAAATTTGAAGAGAGAATAGATTATATTATGAGATCGACGATAGGTTACTTTTTATCTCGGAAAAAGTATATGTAAGTGAAGTCGCTATTACTAGTCTTATATGACATATGTAAAATATGGTTGAGCGCAATGACGACTGGCTCACCCATTATACTTGTGAACGGGTGCTGCTTGTAGGGACTGGTCGGCTCTGATGACTCTGATGATTTATTTTTATTTATGTTAACTTTGTTAATAGGCAGTTTAAAATTAAATAAATCTCAAAAAAAAAGCTGAAAAGCTATCTAAAAGAGCTGTGTTCCGAATGAGTGGTAGATTAAAAAATGTTACTATTTAAATGTGCTTATATTAATTTTATTTGAATAAAGATTTTTTATATTATTATTATTATTATTACTATTCTATAGCTATTCTATATCTATTAGCATTTGCTGGTTTTTATATATTTTAATTGTAGGTATATTATATTTATATATCTATTATAGTTTTTGTCACAGTTTTTCGCCACTACTGCCCTACAACGCTTTCGATTTGTACGTAAAAGGTTAGATGATAGAGAATTACATATGGCATTAAGCTCGCCTTTTGTACACGTGTTTTTGTATAATAAAGAATCAAAATATATATCTTATAAACGTGGAAGTTTGTGAGTATAGATGGATGTTTGTTTTTGTCACGAAAAAACTGAACGGATTTCGTTGAAACTTTACGGTAATATAACATATACATCGTATAACATATCTTTATATATAAAATTACGTGTCGCGTTGTTTGTCCGTGATGGACTCCTAAACTACTAAAGCGATTGCAAATTTGATTTGCACATTGTGTGTAATTTGATCCAACATGAAAGGTAGGAGAGCTTACATCTCAATTTATAGTCGCAATATTATTTTATTCAAGAGCTTTAAGCACAGCAACGCGTGGCCGGTCTGTTAGTAGGCTATAATTTTCACGCAGGTGAAACCGCGAGCACAGCTAGTCTAAATATATATAACTCAAAGGTGACTGACATAGTGATCTATCAACGCACAGCCCAAACCACTGGACGGATCGGGCTGAAATTTGGAATGCAGGTAGATGTTATGACGTAGGCATCAGCTAAGAAAGGATTTTGATTAATTCTACCCCCAAGGGGATAAAATAGGGGATGGTTTGTATGAAACTTTGTCAATTTTAAACCGATCGGGCTGAGACTTTGCATGCATAAAGCTACTATGACGTAGGCATGCCCTAAGAAAGGATTTTGATAAATTCCACCCCTAAGGATATAAATTAACGCGAGCGAAGCCGCGGGCAAAAGCTATAATAGTATATATATATATATAAATGGTAAACAATGTCATTAATCATTTCTGAATCAATACGTCTTTATTCTAACAACGCAAGTGTCCTAATCGATTAGGACACGTCACCGAAATCGTTAAAGTAATTGTTTTGACACTAGGCTATTTAATATGTAGATAATAATAATAATAATAAGATGACCCACAATGACAAGTTTAACACCCCATCAAAGGGAGATTTATAAAATATATATAAAATATAGATTTTATAAATCTATATTTTATATTTATTTCATATATATGTATGTACATAATCATAATCTCAGGACATCAACAAAATCCGTTCAGTAGTTTTTGCATTAAAGAGTAACAAACATCCATCCATACTCATAAAATTTCGCGTTTATAATATTAGTCACATTTTCTATACAAAACTATCTATCTATACATATAAATAAAATTGGAGTGTCTGTTTGTAATATTGAAATACCGATTTATACTACATGCATATATATATATTCATATGAATATAAATACGGTACATACACCAATTTTGACGGCACTTTTTTTGGCAGGTAGCTGATGTAATAAGGACTTGAAGTAACTTGGGCTACATTTACTTTATAAAAAATCTTTTATTTTAGAAAAATGAAGTTAAAGTCGCGGGAATAGCTAATTGACAATAAATTACTGATCTATCCTAAAACCTGTTGGGATATATAATTTATAACTCTGGAAAAGTGCAAATATAGTAGATAATATCTATATTAACATCATCCAAAGGGCCGAAAATATTATACTGAGGACAGTATCGGGTGTCTCTTGGCTCGTCAACAACGTCGATTCATAAAGAATTTGGCATACTTACATTTATTAAGTCTATGGTGAATAGATTTCTTCTAGATAACCGCTCTACATCCTAGGTTTCGCCATCATTTCCCACCAGATGAGTTAAGATCACGAGCAAACCAATTAATAATAAATAAAAAAAATTTTAGGTACAAAGGTTATAGAGATATATAGTTACTCTTTAACAAAAGAAATAACATTTAAACTGAAAATTAAGTATGATCGAATTTTGATCTACAATATCAAAGAATTATTATGAATATGAGCTCATTATTTATTATAATAATTGTTAATATAGGCCCATAAAAGTCGTAGATTTCCTTAACAATTACGTGTAGAATTAAGTAAGTAAAAATGATCAATTATTCAATTATAATTATAATTACTTACCTTGACATACTTTTAAATATAGGTCAAGATGATACAAATAACAAAATCAAGTTACAATCAAACAAAATCCTTTTAAACTATTTACAAAATCATTTACAAATTATCACTTAATTTAAACATTAAAATTCACGATTTTCTTTAGATTGTTATAAATTTTTTGTGCGTTTATGTTGGAGCATTCCGTTGCTATGGTTACGCATTTACAAACTTTGCAAGAAGTTTCAGAGTCATATTTTTTTCATTGTCACACCGTGTGTCGCCATCTAGCGGATTTATCAAAAACACGTTCGCGTATTTTTTTATTGTGGTTTTTTCGGTTATTGTCAGCTTTAGACCTGTAGCACTCAACGGCGGATCCAGGGGGAGTCATGGGGGTCATGACCCCCCCCCCCCCTACCCCTCTCCCCCGAGCTGGTTCCAGGTCTTAGGTGTTTAATTGAACATAATGATTTTATTTATATAATTTGACACCATTTTATTACTAGCTTCAATATTTAATTAATTTAATATAATGTAATAACTTTCTACATTAATAAAATACCTACTTTTTACTTGTATCTATTGTTATCAAAATTAAATAATAAGTTCTTGACCACGACTATGTGACCCCTCGTGGCGCTAAAACTGGATCCGCCCTTAGTAGCACTGCGATCTACATAAATCTATTGTGCTCGCAGATTTTTAAAGTCATGGACAAGAATTGAAGGATTTTCTTAGTAGTGATGGTTTTTATCTCCTAGGATAGTGTATACATTCCAAAGGCCGTATTTCGCTTATACATGAGCGAACTACAACCACATAGGATGTGTAGTGCGTTTCTTGCTTGTAAGTTTGTATAACATATTTAAATTATTACAATTGAAAGCGGATTAAGGATAATAAAATGGCTATTTTGGTTGTAGCTGTTAAAGATTCTGTTAATATCTGTATTAATACACATAACATATATTAATATCATAAATAGAATATTAATTTATAAAAAGACAATTATAAATCTTTCTATTTGCTATCTGATTGTAAAAAAAAACTAAAATAAAAGAACTTATTTAAAAAAAATCACAAAATAAAGAACGACTAATGACTGTATTGCAAATCTTTTTATTGTATTTAACAGACTTGAATACTCGTCGGTATATAAATTCATATTTTTATGGTGCGTGAAAGCACACTAAGCTGTGACTACTGAGTGTAGCAATTCGTCAAGAGATGGCGCTGTACGAAGTTAATTTTAACAGATTAATAAAATCTCGTCTCTTTCAGTAGTTTCACTGTCTTATCTTACCTTACAAGCTAAGTATATTGCAATCTCCAACATTTCGAACCGTAATTTCTATTTAAAATCTCTTCTAATTCAATGATAACTTCACAAGTCGAAGTGTGATAGATATATAAATATCAAACAGCGCCATCTAGTCAAACTAAGCTGAGTTTGTGTTATCTGGACTTCTGATTGATATACGAGAATATAAATATATTTTTTTATAAATACCTACACAGTACACATTGAAAATCCAGACAATGATAACAATTGATACAACAATCATACTCATGAATACAAAATGTACCGTACTAGGAATCGAACCCGCGAACGTCCAAAGCAAAGCGATCTACTGAACCGCTGGATCACCGAGGCCCTCACATGGTGATATAGAAGTTCTGATAGATTAATTTCATAAAAAAAATTCGAAAACAACTCAATGATCATTGACTATAAACCTTGAACTTTGTTCATACGATAAAAAAAACCATAAAAACATACTACGTAACTTTATGGGCCATTATCTGGTTTGAATTGAGTCTGTTTTTCATAATGAAAGTACCTATCAGCGGCGGCCTTACCCATTGCGATGCTTCGGGGATTGCGAGGCCCTCAAGCTAGGGAGGTCCGTAACCGTAAACGAAACTATCGGATATTCTATGTAAAAAAAGACATTCGTAACCGTAACCGAATCCGAAATAAAAGTTTCGGATAATATCGGAGGCTAATTGAGACACGTTACGTAACTATTTTACGTAGTTATTTGTGTTATATAATAAACATTCCTATATCCGAAACCTATCCGTATCCGAAATTTCATATCTATTACATCCCTGCTGTAAAATAATTGATGCGAACGATTATGCAACGTTTTCCATTCTATTCTTTTTTATCTGTATATTTTAGTGTTGGTAATTTTGTTAATTTTCTATTAAATGCCTAAATTGGTAAGTGTTTTCAACTTGCCACTAAGCAAATAGACACTAGTTTTCTAAAATTTACTTTGGTAGTTACGTGAGGACCCGGTAGATTGCCTTGTTCGCCACTTCTACCTATAGTGTAACTACATCATGAGCGAACTATTCCCAGGGCCATCTCTACCCGAGGGTTCAAGGAGTGCAGCCGCACCCGGTAGCGAGTTTCTAGGGGACGCCGAGTTCTATAAATGATGTTTTATTAAAAAAATAATAAAAGTGTATAATAATTAAAAATCATATATACTAAAATGTTGATATTTGTTTGTTTTGTTTACGGAAATAATTTTTAGAAATTAAATGTAAGATCAAAATGTAGTGCACATTTTTTACAACAGTAGAGGCGCGGGTTGATCACCCGCACCCCGGCACCGAATATGCTTAAGATTTATACTTAACAACTGACCATACCAGCTAACTATAGTACACACAAATTTACTAAATAAATTTACAAATAAGTTTTTTAAGTTACCAGCTTAACTTAAAAAAACTTATTTTACGATTAAAGTTCGAAATTCTCCAGTAAATGAAACTAACAACAAATCAAATCAATTTGAGAGACTGTCTCCTGCCACATCGGGCTAAAATATTCTCTGAATAACGGCTATATTGTGTTTACGATGCAATGCCAATAAGATTTTACGAATAACTAACTACCCATCCCGGCTTCGTACGGGTGTACATGTATTATACACATAAACCTTCCTCTTGAATCATTCTATCTGTTGCTGAAAACTGCATTAAAATCCGTTGCGTAGTTTAAAAGATATAAGCGTACAGACAGCGGCGACTTCATTTTATACTATGTAATGCTGGTAATAAATTATCAATGTATAATCATTAAAACGGATGTTTTTAAGTAAAAATCATTATATTGTACTTTAATTTATTGTTTATTTTAAACTAATCGAAGCGAATCATAAATTAACGTCACGTTATCTATAAATAAGTAACGAATACGACAGAAAACAAATAAAATGAAACAAGTTGCGAATCGTTAGGGCGGCGTGCTCGTTTCATATTATTATTCATTAACACTTACAAACGAAAAATAATACATAATAGATAACAAACGAATGTTACAATAAATATTAAAAAAAAATATTAAAAGATCTGATAATATCTAGTTCGCTACTAAATTAATAGTGAAATAATTTACAATGATCAAATTGCTCAATCAGCGCCAAAAAGATACGGCACTCACGGCCGCCATTAAAAGTTTTTGAATATCGAACGTATTTATTTTAATTTGCACACAGCTTGCAGTCGAGCAAAAGTCGCACGACCATACAGCCTGTATGTGTAATAAGATCTCTCAGCACTGACTCTTAAAAATGGAATTATGCTTTAATTGGTAACCTCCTGCATTGGCAGTTGCGCGCCGGAAGCGCCGTATTTCTTTATCTAATTACAATCCAGCGATGATCGTGGCCGGGTCTTCTACTCCCTCTTTGATCTTTCTAAGGAACAGGACAGCTTCACGACCGTCGATCAGCCTGTGGTCGTAAGTCAAAGCGATGTACATCATTGGTCGGATCACCACCTGACCATTAATTGCGATGGGGCGTTCGAATATCCCGTGCATACCCAAAATGGCCGATTGTGGCGGGTTGATAATAGGGGTGCCCATCAAAGAACCAAAAACTCCACCGTTGCTTATCGTAAAGGTACCTCCATCCATCTCCTCTATGGTCAACTTCCCGCCTTTCGCTTTCTCCGCCAACCCGGCGACCGTCAATTCAATATCAGCATACGTCATATTCTGGACGTTCCTAATGACTGGTACCACTAAACCTTTAGGTGTTGCGACCGCTACGGAAATATCTACGTAATCGCGGTATATGATCTCATTCTCTTCTATAACAGCGTTCACTACTGGCTGGTCGAGTAAAGCGTTTGCTGCTGCCTTCACGAACGGCGACATGAGACCTAGTTTCACGCTGTGTTTCTTGGTAAAGGAGTCGAGGTACTTCTTCCTGAATGCCATGATGTGGGACATGTCGATTTCGTTGAACGTTGTCAGCATGGCGTTCGTGTTCTGCGCGTCCTTCAGACGCTGAGCGATGCGTTGTCGCATCCGGTTCATTTTGACGCGCTGCTCCGTTCGCGTGCCCGCAATCTCTTTGCTGTAATCCGACGGTGGAACTTTCACTGTGGCCGTTTCAATGGACTGCGCGTGTCGGATCGCTGCCACGGGGATGGATGAAGCTGGTGCAGAGGGAGGAGGAGTTGAGGGTTTCGGTGGTGGTGGCGGCGGTGGGGCGGCTGCCTGGGGTGGTGGCGATGGGGGTGCCGAGGAAGGCTGAGGCGGGGGCGGCGGAGGGGGCTCCGCGGCGGCTTTAGGAGGCTCGGGAGCAGCCGGCGCCTCTTTCTTCGGCGCTTCACCAGTTATATCTATCCTGAACAACTTCTGCCCAGCTTTGACGGTATCACCGTCTTTCACGTACAACTCCTTGATGACACCGTTCCCTGGCGACATGACTGGGATAGCTGTCTTGTCAGTTTCAATTTCGAGGACCACCTCATCAGCCGCTACAGCGTCGCCGACCTTCTTGTCCAGCTTCACGTCTCCTTCAGAGACAGAGTCGGGGAAGCTTGGGGTCTTGACATCCTGTTCTTCGAAGAGCGGATTGGTGAAGTGTATGGAGGCTATTTGGTTGTGGGCAGTTAGGACCCTGGGCTTGTTGAGTTTGGCTTGAAGGGTTCCAAGGACTTTGGGCACCTCAGTGGAACGGTACCGGAGAGCCTGCCCCTGCCTCCGGTATAACGTCTGTAAATGCTTCGAGCAGCGTCGTAACATCGTAACTATTTAGTGGAGACTGGATTACCCTGGAAAGAAAAGTTTTGAGTATTAATAATCAAAGTATATCTCAAAAGATAATCCAGAAGACTGTCTAGGTACTGGATTCACGCGGGTCCTCATAATAACGTTTTATATATATATATTATACTATAACACTAGTATATATATACATTATATCAAATCACTTCAATCCTTGACTGAGTGGCATTTTAACATACTGTATCATAATATATATAACTAGCCCTTATTACTGTAAAGTTTCATTAAAATTTGTTCAGTAGTTTTTGCGTGAAAGAGTAACAAACATCCATTCACTCATCCATCCATACTCACTAACTTTCGCGTTTATAATATTAATCAGAGAATGATATAGTATGACATAATACCATTCAGTCATAGTCCAAAACAAAACGTGATATTAAAACAGTGGATGTGTTAATGGAATGTAATTAGGTTAGAGCTAGTTTGTAAGTAATTTGTGAATAATTTTATAGCATATGACATAGCATTGTAATAGTTAAAGTGAATCCACAGAAGACTAGTCACAATTTTCTACCCTAAAACACCTTTCATCCCTTATTTCACCCCTTCTCACCATTCATACAGTAAGTATGTCACATGTCTCTCCAGTTCTTGTCATACCTGGTCAAATATGTGGAATCTTCCCTAGTTAGTGGGAAGGGGGTAGTTAGTAATGTTTTTGTGGTGGGGTGTCTCAAGAAGGGGTTTCTTAAGGGTCAGCAACAAGCAACATGGTCGTGGGTTTAACATGTATGACGAAGTGTGACAAGGATGGGAGTGTTTCCCCTAATTTATGGCTGGCGGGAAGGGGTGAAATAGGGGATGAAAGGTGTTTCAGGGTAGAAAATTGTGGCTAATCTTCTGTGGACTCACTTTAACGATTAAATACCACTGGTGTTTCAGGCATACACAGGTTACGGAAACCATTTATCAACAGATGAGCCATGTTTGTTTGCCATTTACATAGTAAAAAAATATGTGGACTAATAACCCCATTCCTAGCAACTGTTCCCCTGGAAACCATCATGTGAATAATTCATGTATGATGAATCCCTTCTAGTTTTATTTTGAAAATATGATTTTAACGGCTTATGAAAGAATCTATCTTAAAATTTTTCATGTACAATAAAAAGTAACAGACATAAAGACATTATTAGTACTGATAAATATCTGTTTCAATGATAATAAGTTATATGATAATGTAATAAATACCTAACACTTGTCTAAAGAATCTTTATGTAATGCAGATTGCATTAAATATTCAAGTGGAGATAAAATTAATGTATTAATTGACCTTTCACATTGTTTTCTCAATTAAAAATACATTAAAGTGTCATATAAAAGGGGGTAAACACTAAAATAAGTTGTTTTCTGTCTCACTCACACTTCAGTATGGTACACATAAGTAAAGCTAGTATGACCATTCATATTGTTTTGTTAATTAAAACTATATCAGATGTCTAATAAAAAGCAAACACTAAATTTGACATAGTGAGTGTGGTAACCAGAGACAATATTATTTCATTTTATGTTTCATTTCTAGCTGTGCACGCTACTTCATATGTGTGGAATTTATCTTTCTTTTAAAATAAAATATATTTTCAAATATAAAGGTAGCCTAAGTTATTCCTTATTACATCAGCTACCTACAATAAAAGTCGCGTCAAAATCTATCCAGCCATTTCAGAGATTAGCCAGAACAAACAGACAGACAAAAATCTTTAAAAATGTTATTTTGGTGTATGTACCATACTTATATTCATATGCATGTAGTAAAAAATGGTTATTTCAATATTACAAACAGACTCCAATTTTATTTATATGTATAGATTATATAAAAAAAAATAAGTAGCCTTCTTTCTCACTCACACTTCACTATATAATACATCCGTAAAGCATTATTTGCCAATCACTATTGCATATTACAATATTCTATACAGAAGTACACTTCTCTATAGAATATTATATACATATTAATATTAATAACAAAATCATACAAATAACAATTAGTTCCACTAACTAGTGTTTAATGGATTAGTCACAATTTGTGTTATGGGTACGAGATAACTAATACTAAAACATAGTTTTTTTTTTCATAAATACATACATATTATACATAGAAAACACCCAGACCGATACCAACAATCATACTCATGAATACAAATGTTTGTGCTGTGCAAGGAATTGAACCCGCAATCATTGTACTTAAGTGTGCTAAACTCTGAAACACTGAGATTGGGGAAAGAGTAATATTTAATATAACTAGACTACTGTAGTAATCTGACACTAATTCCACTATCAATAATAATATGTGTAGTCACCAAAAAAAAAAAGCTAATTATAAATATCCAAATTTTCAAAAAGAAGTAATAGTTACTATTTTTTTTAAACAAATTCACTTTTATCCACTATAAATTTTTTTTGGTGAATAAATAAATAAATCTTCCATGAAAATTCAATTTATGCTAGTCAATTTACAGCCTAATTGGCAATAATTTTTTTGTGAAGGTATTGAGATAATAAATGCTATTAAATGTTAGTCAGATTATTAAGTAACAAAAAAAACATGCAGGTAAAAACTACATACTCTTGACAGTCCGTAGTAAAAAAAAATATTCTTCTTTAAAAATCACAAAAATTCATTAAAATATTTGAAGAAATTTGTATAAATATACAGACTATAAATATAGCAATTACTACAATCCACTAAATTATTTTTTCAAATCATGGCATAAAAGAATAAATACTATCTCAAAAAAAAAAACTAAGTTTCATTCAACAGCCACCTTACAACACAAACATAACAATTATTTTTAAAATAGATATAATAAAGCAAAATTAAAGGTGAAAGTTGGCTTCATGTGGTTGGATTTAGTCTCTGATTATCATAGATTAAAAGGGGGGGTGAGTTAATAATATAACAGTATCTTGAGTGTTCTTATCAGTTTATTTGATTGCAGATACATATTGCAGATTCTTGTCTTGTTACTATAATTAAGATATGATAAATATTTTCCTTGCTTTCTATTTAAAAAAAACTCAATAAACAGAAACTATATGATATAAAAATTATTGAGCTATGCATATACATAAAAATAATATGATGTAACTCAATGTAAGCTAAATCAATAAATTAAATTTTAGAATATAAAATTCTTAATTTAAAAAGAAATATTGGCTGACATTCACTTTAGAATATTGCAAAATCTTTGAACACGTTTGAAATTGGAACAATTGTCAAATCTATCAAGACTGACAGCTTTTTGGTTAGAGTGAAAGTTAAATAAAAAAATGCAACTTAATTTGCTGTTTAACCAAAGCATATGAATAATTATTGCAATATTAAATGAAAAATATTATTTTTAAGCTTCATAAACGGCAGGAAAGGGCCGGCTTACGCCTACACGAGAGAATTTTTCAAGGTTATTACGATTTCTCATTACATATATAGAATTTATGTTAATAACAATAAAATGATAATCCTTACCTTCTGCAGTAGGTAAACAAACGGTTATCAGTGATTAATTCTAATTCACATACAAAATGTTACATAAGTGTGGACCTCATGACAGTTTCGATCGCGACCAATGTTAGTAAAACCTCTTTTCTGAAGCGTTACTCAATGCATAGTTGCAGTTTGGCGTGCGTATAATAAAGAGAACGGATACTTCACTTTAATTTGACGCTGCTTTACAAATTTTTTACAGATGCTGTGGCCCAAAGACCTACATTTATTTCGATTTGGCTGTTCTTCGCCCGAGTATCAATGGCAACTGTCAGAATTGAAGACTGCGTTTTATTCACTTGATCTGTTAATTAAATAAAAAATCTTGACTATTATTTTATTATAGTTTTTAATATAAGTAAAGCTTTTTACACATGTAATTATGAATAAAATATTGAATTTGATAAATGAAATTTCACTTTTATAATACCATACATATCTTATTTTGCGTTTAGTTATGGCAATAAATATATAGATGTCAATATTGTAGACGACGGTTTAAGAACGAGAACCACAGGTAATAAAGTCATGTGTTTCTACTTTCACAGATTCATTATTTTTCTATTCAATGTTTTCTATTACGAATCCATTTGTGCTCACATTGTCTTTTAATTAATAATTATAATTGCATATAGTTACTGACACACAGCCAGTCTAAGAACAATAAAGTTTATGTTATAATTGCAGTTCCCTTATACCTTCACAACTATTACTGCATATAGGGCAGTCAGAGGTATCATCAAGTTTCGTGGCATAGTGAATCCAACACTCCACATAGCTAGTATGCCTACATTTAGAGCAAATTTGAGTTTACCGCAGCTTCTCGCTTTATGTTTAAATGTCAATGTTCCCTTCAGTGGAGAGTCAGTTACAAATATAAATTCATAAACAGTTTTGACTAGACCACATTCGAACACAGGATTAAGGTGTAAAGGGATTGTTAGTAATAATGAAATAATTGTGGACTATGGGTCATATTGCTAGTAATCTTCTACTATAGTTGCAATGTATAATATCAGATTGTCTGCACGCGGGTCTCCCTACAAACCATCATAATTTCCTGGCGATTTTGTCACTATGACCTACTCATATAGTCATCTTTTCATGCTCCACTGGTGCCCACTACCGTAATTTTTTAAACTACTGCCATATCTTCATTAGATTGAGTTCAGATAGTGGGAGCGAGTGTCCCATAGCATGATATGTCTATATGTGTTAATTTCGATGGACCAGTAAAACCATAAATATTTTAAAAGTTTATTTGACGGTCGGCTGTTTTTATCCAACACAAGAACACATTCGGCTCCGTGAATATAAAAAACAAAATATATTACTACAATATAAATAATACAATAATTTGTGCACAGTTTCATGTTCAAGATTATTTGGTAATTATAATATTTGGAATCAAATATATACTATCGAATGAATTTACTGTCCATTGAATGTTTAATGATTTTTGTAATTTATATATGTACTAGCGACCCACCGATGGATTACAAATCTTTCAAATTCTCAGCTTGTACTTGTACTATAACATGCATGTATTATATACATATAAATTCTTCTTTAACCACTCTATTGCTGAAATTGTATTAAAATTCATTGCGCAGTTTAAAAGATTTAAGCGAACAAATAGTGGCGGCGACATGTTTTATACTATGTAAATACAATGTATTAAACATCCTGGTACAAAATTTCGTTGAACACGAAAATTTTTCTAAAGATGTACGGATAAACTTACTTCATAGAAAAACGTATTAAAATTTCTGGTAGAAAACCTCAAAATTGAGAATTTCGTAAAATTCGAGAAAAAATCATAATTGAGTCTCAAAAAATTTTTTATATTTAAAATTTCTGGTAGATTAAAATAGAAAATTTCATAAATTCAAGAAAAGGTAAGAAATTTACAAAACTCTCAATTTTATCGAAGAATTTTCCAACTGAATTTTTTTAATTGGAATTCAGACGTGGATCTCTTGAATTTTTGGGAAAAAATAGCAGTAAAAAACATGTCTAGAAAAAAGAAATACAAATATAACGTTCAACAAATAGTAAATTCTATTCGTTACAGACGGGCAAGTATTACGCAATTATATATTACTATATCATATAAAAAACAAAGACTTACTCGTAAAGGATATTCTAAGCCAACAGCCAGTGTTTTTTTTATTTAGGGGTTTGGGTTCTTGCTGTTTACATCATTGTGCTCGCAGTAACGTCAGCCAGTATAATAAAAATTAACAAAAAAAAAGCTGTCAAAGAGCAAATTGGAAATCTATTATTATAAAACTGGAGTATTTGTTTGTTTGTTGTCAGATTTTCCGTGGGTCTAATATGAAGAGATTTTCATAGAAACAGCGCGATCACGTAATCAATTTTGAATGAAAAATTCACAATTTATTTTTTTATGTCCACTTTGTTTCTTGATCATTGTAGTTTAGTTAGTGATTATCGCAACTAACTTTAGTTTAGTGTAACCTTTACAAGTAACTCCATATCTATCGCACATCTAGTTACAACACTGGATTAAATAAAAAATGACAAACATTGTGTAAGCGACGCGTTCTGTGCCTTAAAAAACAAAATAATTAAAATGATGTTTGTCTATGTTATTGTCTCTGCGTGCGGTGTCGTAGTCGTTTTCAAAAAAACTTATAACCGGCGCAACAGACGCCACGCAGTCTGCACCTAGATGCGATCGACACCGCACGTCATATCTCTAATTAACATTATAAAATTTATGTGTCGAAAATAAATCCAATTGTCTTAAAAGTCTTCGTTTGCCATCACCGTGACCTACCATATTTTATACCATACATTTGGTCATTCGGCCGGATTTATGTACCGCACACCACCAGCGCACAAAATGGTAGGCACCCGAAGTACTGCACGCAATAAGGACTGCATGCAGACGGAGCAGCATCCTGGTTCTGAACAGTATCAAGATACGCCACGGCCGAGTAATATGAAGCCTACAGAAGAGAAGACGGTGACCGTTATGAGCACAAATTCAAAAGCGGGTACTTGTAAAGAAGAATGCCAACCGTCGACGCCCGTTACAACGAAGCGTGCAAAGTCCACGAAGTCTTCGTATTCATCTGTACTGGCACGTAAAAAGCAGTTAGAACTCGATGCTGCACAGAAGAAAGCTAAAATTCAAATGGAATTAATTGACAAACAATTGGAAGCAGACCTAGCTGATTTAGAAGCAGAATACAGTCCAGACCTAGAGGATAATCGCACCAACATTAATAGTAATGTGGAGAGGTGGGTCGAGCACAGCCAGCAAGAATTGGAAAACACACAGTTTGCCCACGATCATGGTTTTCAACAGGGTGACACGTGTCCGCCAGCAATAGATTCTGGCACTAATGGTACTACAGTTCAGATGCTAGCAAGCGCTCTAAAGAACATGGCCGCCGCCTCTGCGAATAGCAACTCGAATGCTAAACTATTGTCTCGATTGAGCACGCCGAAGGATTTGCCATACTACTCAGGGGACCCCATGGAATGGCTGCAATTTAAACAGGCCTATGAAGAATCGACTGAAGTCTGCAACTTCAATCCGAAGGAAAATTTATGGCGTTTACGGAAATGTCTACGTGGAGCCGCAAAGGAAGCGGTATCAGCTTTACTCATCAGCGCCGTAACTCCTGATAAATTAATGGCGACACTGGAACTAAGGTTCGGTAATCCAGATATAATTATATCACGCTTGATACAAGAATTAAAAAAGTTACATCCAGTGTCACAAGAATATCAAAAGGACATAGTGTACTTTGCTGTGAAAGTGCAGAATTTCGTGGAAGCAACACGAGCCGTCGGCCGCCAGGAATATTTACAAGGTATAGATGCATTTACATTATTATTATCTAAGATGCCAACTGTTCTTGTATCTAAGTGGTCAGATTATAGTTACACACTGTTACTAGAAAGAAAGAAATCTAGATTAGAATTATTATCCGAATTTCTAACTCAAGAAGCAGTAAAGATTTCCACAACATCTAACTTATGCTTAATAAATGCACGCAGCGATAAATATAAAAATTATGATAATAATATAAGTAGCAGATCACATTCTGTTTTAGTACTGAATGATAAGTGTCAATACTGTCGTGTTTCAAGACACGATTTAACAAAATGTACGCAGTTTAAAAAAGCGCTAAGAAAAGATAGATGGCGATACATTAAGCGTAACAATCTTTGTTACAAGTGTTTACTGTCAAGTCATGAGCGCGAAACATGTCCGGCGCCCGCCTGCGATAAAGATGGCTGCGGCGGAGCGCACCACCGGCTTCTGCACTACCCCGTACCCACCGGGTGCAGGACTAGCAACGTCACCGCCGAACAAGTGAACGAATGTCCACCCGTGAGTGAAACTGTGACCCATATTAACGTAAATAATCAACAAGTGTTATTAAAAGTAGTGCCGGTAAAAATTCGTGGACCATACGGTGTTATTAATACCACCGCCTTACTTGATGACGGTTCAACTGTGTCGCTCATAGCTACCGATCTCGCTAACCGCGCGGGACTGAGCGGCCCCAGCGACACATTACGTATGTGTGGTGCATGGAATAATTCTGTAAATTTATGTAACACTACTGTTGTAACCTTTGATATTTTCTCTGTAAATTCATATGATAATAATGATGTGTATACTGTAAAAGCTCGTACCATAAATAATTTAGATTTGCCTATACAAGATTTATCTACTGTTAATTACAACTTGTATAAAAATTTGCGTAAAATTAAAAATGAATTGTGTATAAAAAAATTGAAACCTGAAATACTATTAGGGCAGGATAATTATCATTTGTTAATTCCTTTGCAAACTAGTTTAGGTAATAAGAATGAACCCGTCGCTACACGCACTCCCTTAGGTTGGTGTATACATGGTTGTTTAGGTATACCGGAACATAAACAATCGTCCCACTCGACCCTCCTTATCTCTGAGTTACACAGCTTACCAGTCGACGAGAGCGAGCGCATGTTACGAGACATCCATGACGAGGTGCGACGGTCATTCACCATCGAGTCCATGGGAGTGTCAGGTAAGCCACGGGAGAATGCTGATGATATCCGTGCCCTGACAGTGATGGAGCAAACTGCTACACTCATCAACGGCAGGTGGGAGGTTGGGCTACCATGGAAAGATGAAAGCTGCAGGATGCCAAATAGCTTCCCTAACGCTGTACGCAGATTAAAAGGTATAGAAAAGAAAATTATGTTAAATACGGAATATGGTAACAGGTATGTCGAACGTGTTAATCATTTATTACAAAATGATTATGCCAGAGAGTTGGAAGATTGCAGTGTCTCGCCACGGACATGGTACTTACCACATTTTGGGGTAGACAACCCAAATAAAAAAAAACTACGTCTGGTCTTCGATGCCGCAGCTAGCACAAATGGTTTGTCATTAAATGACTATCTACTGAAGGGGCCGGACCTACTTACATCTCTGTTCGGCATTATGGTAAGATTTAGGGAGAACAGAGTAGCGGTGACCGGCGATATAAAAGATATGTTTTTAAGGATAAAGGTAAGAGAAGAAGACCAGAACGCACTCAGATTTCTGTGGAGAAGCAGTCCTGCAGAACATGAAAAAACGTACGTGATGACGTCATTAATATTTGGCGCGAAATGTTCACCGTTCATAGCTCAATTTATTAAGAATAAAAACGCACTAAGGTATGAGTCATCGATGCCAAACGCCGTAGCAGCGATATGTAATCAACATTATATGGATGACTACATAGACAGTTTGCCAGACGAGGCCGCCGCCATAACAATGGTACGTAATATTAGTAAAATTCACAAATCAGGTGGTTTTCATATTTGTAATTGGACTAGCAACAGTCCAGCCGTATTGGATAGTATTCCAAAGGAGTCCTTAGGTACTACGGCCGTAAAGTTCAAAATAGATCAAGAATGCGAAGGTGAACGTACGCTCGGATTGATATGGTACCCGCGCGAAGACGAGTTGGGGTTCGATGTGTCTCTCAAGCGCATACCACATGACATAATTAATGGTAAGAATAGACCAACAAAAAGAGTTATGCTCAGAGTCATAATGTCAATATTCGATGTATTTGGATTCTTATCGCCATTTTCTATACAAGGTAAAATAATGTTGCAAGATACCTGGCGCGCTGGAATCAGCTGGGACGACTTAGTAACAGATGACATACATAAAAAATGGTGTCAGTGGGTCAATGTACTAACGAGTGAAATAAAAAATATCCGTCTGCCGAGGTGGTATCAAGCAGCGACGAGTGGGAGCGAGTCAGCGATAAAACGTAGCACATCAGTTCAGGTAAACATAACCTCTCTCACCTCTCTTACATCTACAAGCGTAACCGAACGGGCTATCGGCTACGAAACTGGCGTAGCTAATAGCTGCGCTACGACATCCCGCTGCAATGACGTAGTGACAGGCGCTACGAAACAGGTTTTGGCTGGAAGTGAATATAGTAATTTAGAGTTACACTTGTGTTGCGATGCGTCGACTAAAGCAATGTGCGCAGTCGCATACTGGCGATGGTACGTAAATAAAGATATATGTATGTCATTCATAGCTAGCAAGTGCCGTGTCGCGCCCGTGAGTCATACTACCGTGCCGCGTTTGGAATTGCAAGCTGCTTTATTGGCTGCGAGGTTGGCAGATACAATAATCAGAGAACACAAAATAAATCCAGTAAGGCGTTATTTTTGGTGCGACTCTAGTACCGTGCTACACTGGATATGTAATAATACACGTAGCTATAAAACGTACATAGCAAACCGGCTGGGTGAAATAGACGAGCTAAGCCGCCCTGAGGAGTGGCGGTATGTACCTACAAAATTAAATGTTGCTGATCTCGCTACGAGAGAAAATTACGACGATTCTCTTTTTAAAAATGAATGGTTTAGAGGTCCGTCATTCTTATACAGCGATGAGTCATCGTGGCCGGTGAATATAATCGATAAGATAAATGAAATGAGTTTAGAACGAGTAATGATAATACAACATGAAGATTGTAACTTACCTGTACCTGACCCAGGAAGATTTTCATGCTGGTTACGACTGGTGAGGGCTACGGCATGTATTCTAAAATTTATATACAAGTGTAGAAAGCAGATTGAGACTGTTTGCACAGTCATGAAGAGGGCTGAGCGATTGCTGCTAAAATATACACAAGAACAGTCATTCGGTGATGAAATAGCTGCAATTAAAAATGGTAACTGTTTGTCAAAAGGTAGTAAGTTACTTACGTTATCTCCATTTCTGGATGAGTACGGGATTCTCCGTGTCGGCGGCCGCATAGATGCTGCACCGGATGTTGAACCTGAAATGAAGAGACCTATCATCTTGGACGGGCGTAGTCAGGTATCTCAATTAATTGTTAGATACAACCATGTGAAGACAGCCCACGGGAACCAGGAAACCGTTGTAAACAACCTGAAACAGAAATATTGGATTATTAGAATACGTCCAACCGTAAAACATGTAGCATATAAATGTATGTTTTGTAGAATAAAAAGAGCAAAACCACAGGTACCGAGAATGGGAGAGCTGCCTGAAGCACGACTGGCTCATCATCAGCGTCCTTTCACACACTGTGGTCTGGATTTGTTTGGACCCATGGAGGTCACTGTGGGGAGACATAGAGAGAAAAGGTATGGAGTTTTATTTACTTGTTTGACCGTCCGTGGAATCCACTTAGAACTGGTATCATCACTTACCTCTGACTCCCTCATTATGGCTCTTCGTCGAATGGCAGCAAGACGGGGTTGGCCTCGTATGCTGTACTCTGATAATGGTACAAACTTGAGAGGCGCTGATGCTGAGCTGAAGAAGTCTATAAATGAGGTAGATTTGATAGGCTAACAAATGATGCAGCTAATAATGGAGTGGAATGGACCTTCATCCCGCCTGCCAGTCCCCACTGGGGTGGGGCATGGGAGCGACTTATTAGGAGTGTCAAGACTTCACTTAGGGTAATTTTAAAAGAACGTGCACCACGTGAAGAAGTACTCAATACGCTCCTGACGGAAGTTGAGAATATTGTCAACAGTCGACCCTTGTCACATGTATCGGTAGAAGTAGGTAGTAGTGAGTCTCTAACTCCTAATCATTTTATGTTGGGTTCGTCATCAAATTTGCCAACTGTTGGTGTATTTAATGACTCTGATTTGTACCTACGTAAACAGTGGCGTAAGGCGCAGAGGCTCGCTGACATGTTTTGGAAGCGGTGGGTCAGAGAAGTGCTTCCTGACCTAATACCTAGGCGTAAATGGCAGTACGACCAGACACCGATACAGGTAGGTGATTTTGTACTTATTGTCGATCCTGATGCACCTCGTAATCTCTGGCTGAAAGCTGTGGTTCAGCAGGTGTTTCCAGGAAGGGATGGTCGAGTTAGGGTCGTAGAATTGAAAACTAAGACTGGCATTTTGAAACGGCCGGTGACGCGTGTCGTTCGTATTTCGATGGATAATGAGTGCTGAGCCAGGCTCAACACTGGGGTGGGGTGTGTAAGCGACGCGTTCTGTGCCTTAAAAAACAAAATAATTAAAATGATGTTTGTCTATGTTATTGTCTCTGCGTGCGGTGTCGTAGTCGTTTTCAAAAAACTTATAACCGGCGCAACAGACGCCACGCAGTCTGCACCTAGATGCGATCGACACCGCACGTCATATCTCTAATTAACATTATAAAATTTATGTGTCGAAAATAAATCCAATTGTCTTAAAAGTCTTCGTTTGCCATCACCGTGACCTACCATATTTTATACCATACACATTGAAAAAGCCACTCTAAAGTTTCAATTTTAAAGTCTAATTTAAAAAAATAATTTATTCAGTTAATCCCATATGTTACTAGGTGTGTGATACGTTCTAATGTAACTACATATTACAATTTATATTTTATTATAATTAAAAAAAAACAATGCTACCGTTTTCTTTTACAAACAAATAAATCATTATCAATAAAAAAACAAATCAACTGTTCTCGTTTATAAATATATTGTCTTTGGTAATTAAAATACTATTTAAAATAATATATCGCATATCTAGTACAATACTGGTGTAACTCAGAAAATTAAAAATTTTGAAATTAGACTTTAACATCACAGTTATAAAGCGGACTTTCCAAAATTTGTAATTTTTGAGTTAAGCCAGTATTATAATGCGTGCGATGTGTACAGGCAAATCAGTTTAAGATGTTTTTGTATATTGTATATTTTTTATAAGATGTTGGAACTTGAAACGACGTAAGTCGCGGACTACCTGTATTTATATATCTACCGTTTTTAAATTACAATAAAAATTAAAATACTATTTTATTTAAAATAATTTAAAATAAAATACTAACGTACAGTGCAAATCCAAAAACGTCTTTACGTCGATTTACAGATATTTTAATGGTTATTATTGAATGTGCAATATTTAATGATCAACTTTGGGACTAGATGGCGCTGTGAGATGTTACTATTATTTATATAATTAAATATAATATAATTATATAAACTATTATAATAAGCATCTGCTTTACAGACATATTATATTCAAATCTTATTATTATTAATATTATAAATGAGAAAGTTTGTGAGTATGGATGTATGTTTGTTACACTTTCTCGCGAAAACTACCGAACGGATTTTGATGAAACTTTACAGTAATATAGCTTATACATCAGAATAACATATAGACTATAAATTTGGAGCGGGTGAAACCGAGGGCACAGCTAGTTCTTTATATGTGAAGTACAGGTAACAAGTCTTAGAATAACATGTTTCACTATGTGCTGCAATTTCACGGTGAATCATGGTCTTGGTAAATAAAAAAAAATATAAAAATATATTTCTCTCCTGTCTCCTCAAAATTAAACCTTATACATTGATATGTACGATACATTATTGCTCAAATTGCAGTGTTAAGAATTTGCAAACAAATTTTTATTAAGCACCATTTATATTGACTATAAATTTAGAATCTAGTAACTAATATAATAAATGCAATTGTGAGTTTGTTTATCGATAGATATAGACGGCCTCTGTGGTCTAGCAGTTTAGCACAACGCTTTACTTTCAATGGTCGCGGGTTCGATTCCTCGCACGATGCAAACATTTGTATTTATGAGTATGATTGTTTGTATCGGTATGGGTGTTTTCTATGTATATTATGCATGTATCAGTTGCCTAGCACCCATAACACAAGCTCTGTTTACCGGGACTAGATGGCGCTGTGTGAATCGTCCAGAGTTAATTATTATTATTTATATATATATTAATGATTTTTTTTTTTTAATTTTGCATACATATATTATTTGGATGCAATATTTATTTCATATATTTGTGAGTATATAATAATGATAAATTTAATTAATCTAAAATAATCAAATATAAATATTTAGCCTCTACCAGTATAAAAGATTATATAAATAAGAAACGGGTAACTTTAATTAAATGAAAAAATCTACACATTTTTTTACATTATATTAAATTAAAAAAATATATATTTTTTTTTGCAACTTTTACATGTTATCATCCTCCACTGGTGCCCCGCCAGGTATACCGTTAGAGCAGACGGGTGCACAATTCCACTAATAACCATAATAAAACTACCAAATTTTTTTTTGAGGACTATTTTTAAAAAGTGGCTTTACAAAATACACACAACCCTATATTTTCACCCTTCTATCGCCAACCCCTATTTTTTAATAGCGATTTTAATTGAGTCAGCTAGTTTCATATAAACAATATTTATTTTGAATTAAAGTTACCCAATATTTTACTATAAATTTAAATCTAAGAATATGTTTAGTGCATTTTAGCCTTTTAAATATATAATATTACAAGTCGTAGAAATTCTAAAACATCTATATAGCGTATATTTGCTAATTTATAAAATAAAATACTGCTTTGTTTTTTTGGAACAATGCGTTATGTACATAACAGAATACTAAAAAAAATCTCTCCGCCTTCCTATAATCTGTGGTATAAACTAACCTCTACTCTATGCTCCAACTATGGACTATTCCATCTCTTTCATTCTTGACTTTTCAATATTGGGTCGCTGGTCGTCCATCTACGAAGAAAAAAGTCTTTTCAATTAGAGTAAGGTTTCTATACATTTATAAATATTCATTCTTTTTTTCTGTTTATCAACAAAATCAAAGGGACTGTGCCCATAGAGCCATGTCTGCTTGTATACTCAATCAAAAACTGACAACTGTCACTTGTCAAAATTTCCCGCCAAAATTTGACACTTCCATACGTTACAGATAATTTAATCAGAGATAAATTGTTTATTTCAATTCTGTCCGGATGACATTCGACGTTCTGACTCTAGTATCTTGTCTATGAGTGGTCCGGCAGGTTCCAATGAATCTTTATCTCGCTCCTTGTCTTGATCCCTCTTTTCTACCTGTAAATTGTTCGGAATGAATACATGAATGTAGACATACAGTCGACATCCTTAATAACGATTATATAGTACTGAAGCATATTGTCTATGCCCAGTGTTTCCTAACCTTGTTAGGCCATTCCCCACTTTAGCCTTTCTAAAATTCTTATGCCATAGACAAATATTCGCCATTTTGCAATGATCATTAATTATTACAAAAAGGCGCTAAAGCACGAACGATTGAATGACGCAGATATTCGCGGTAAGACGGCACGTATTATCTGAACCTTCATCCGAAGAACATCTTACAATGCCAGCTGCATAAAAATAGATCATCATCATCATTTCAGCCAGGATGACGTCCACTGATGGACAAAGGAAACATCTCCACGACGATCGGTCCTGCGCTGCTCGCATCTAACGGTTTCTAGCGATCTTGACCAGATAATAATACAGTAAGACCTCGCTTAACGTTGTTTCGGTTTAGCGCTCCTTTACTTAAACCCGGGGAATCCCCGAAATTATACACAGCGCTAGGTTTGCAAATATGTACATAACCCCTGGTGTTTCAGGCGTCCTTACACTACGGTAACCGTTGACCATCAGATGGGCCGTATGCTTGTTTGCCACCTACGTATAAAAAAAAACCTTTTTGACAAAGTCAGAAAATTGGAAACACAGAATATAATGAATGATCTGACTGACTAAGAATTTCATTTGATTTTATAAATATATCTATATTTATTTTTATAATATGTTCATATTGTTTTTATTTTTGTAAGAAAAATGCATTTTTTTTACTAAAAAAACAAATTTATAAAAATTTAATTACCTAATTAATTTTCTATCTATACCTCGTTTAATGCTGGAACTTATTCGAACATATCCATATCATGTTAAGCGTAACCACATATCGTGTTAAGCGAGGTCTTACGAGAAGCTCCATAGTTAACCACACAAATGACTTTATACAAAGTCTGCAATGTCAAAAAGCCGTTTCATTAATCATGTACTTACATCTGGTTCTCCTACGAGCGTGTTGGCCAGGTATGGGGCCCGGAGGACCCCTCTCCAGTAGAGTTTCTCCAGCGGCCGGTTGACGCACCAGCCTGCACACCTCACTCCCAAAGACCTCCAGTACAGCACCTCACTCCTTCAATGTAATGTGAATAAATTATGAATTAAAGGTATAGATCCTTTTCGATGATAATGGAATGGTGGCATAAGTAGAACCAGTAAAGAATGGTGAGCATGGGGATGACCTCATGCTTATACGTAAATTCCTCGTGTATATGTCACGATGGGCTAACAGACATGAGTCTGTTAGCCCATCGTGACATATACACGAGGAATTTACGATGATGATTTCCAGGAGGAAAGGTGTGGAGTAATACTGGCCACATATAAAAACATGTGGCCACTTAAATTTCGAAAAAAGAATAAAAAAAACAATTTAAAATAAGAACTGGAATAAAAAGGACGCTCCGTAATTTTATCTATATAAAACAAGATAATTAATGATTTATTTAACACAATATAATTGTTTTTGATGAAAATATACACTGTAGAGTGCGTGGCCACTAAACAGTACTACACATCGGGACGTTCCTGAGCAAAGGTGAGTAAGTTTGGTGTTACATTGCTTACTTTGGAGTGTTCGGAGTGTGGAAGACGTTCTTCCAGGTCGAAATCGTATTTTTACTTCCTTTTCCATTAATTATTTTCTTTTCAATAAATACAGTCCACTCTCTCTTTTATATATTAATTTATAATGATTTGTAAACCAACATATAGAGAATTGTAAAATATATATACATACGGGCTGACGATATCCTTGTGTAGTAAGACCGCGCTGACGCTGCACCAGCGAGCTGTCCATCTCCACAGCAACGCATGTAGAGCATCAGCAGTACGAAGTACGGCATGAAGTGGCAGATTGTCACCATATCTGACAACAAAAGTTGTACCTGTTTAATAAATCAAATAAAAAATAGGACTGTCATCATATCTGCCCGCAAAACGGGCACCAGTAGAGAATACTGAGATGGGCATGAGGTCAGGTCAGTTGGCCCATTGTGACAAATGCACCAGCAAGTTATCACGATGTTTTCCAGGGGGAACTTGGTGATGGTCAACCTGATATGGTACATTACTAACAATCATTAATACAACAACAACAACATTATTAATATTCAAATCAATTATTCATGTAAGACATTTTAGCCGCTTATGAAAGTAAGTTTTTTGTATTAAACTTTTTCCCTACCGTCCAGTTCAGAATACAGATTCAATTTAGAAGAACTGACAAAAAACCTCAGCTGAATTTCTGTTTTTAAAAAAATCCAGTTTATTTACATTGTGCATTTATATAGGTACCTAGGTCTAATGTCAAATGAAAATCCCGTGCATGAACAACTATTGTCATACACATTTGTCCTTTAAGTAGTTGTTTAGTTAGTAATTGGTTTTGCTCAATCAACATGATTCAACAAAAATTTTTAGTTTTAAATTTATTAAAATGTAATTTCAGTATTTCCTTTGATATCCTTATTGCAAATTTTTATACACATATTTTTATTTTCATAGCATAAGGGAAACAAGCTTGTGGCTAACCTGAAGCTAAGTGACTGGACTGGAGTAACTGGCGCCCATTTTTTTCATTTTTTTTTCTCTAAATCTAAATTTCACCCTTCTACTAGCAACCCTTATTTTTTAATAGCAATTAATTTATATGGCAAAACAGCGTTTGCCGGGACAGCTAGTGTAGTACATGTAAAAGTAAATACCTTGGATTATTGGGACCGTTCTCTGCATCATAATCATGAGCGCTGAAGCAGAACGGCCTGTAGCTCATTGCGCCTACGATTTGCGGATCTTTTTTGCGAATCTAAACAATAAAAAACTCAATTGGTTTACTGTGAAACATTGTCAACTGTCGACGTATCTGAATGGGGTCAACAGTTACATTACCAACTATCCACTTGTAGGGTGAAGGGGCTTAGTAATGTTGACTGTTGACCCCATTGCTACCATGTCAGGTTGATCTCCATGCGGTTCCCACTGGTCATCATCGCTATATATTCCTGGTGAATTAGTCACAATCTGCTAACTGACCTAACCTCATGTTCATCTTATCATCCTCCACTGGTGGTCCGCCAGTAAACCAATAAAGTGCAGGGGCATGCACTATTAAATATATAGCTACTAAGTGTGCCCGCGACTTCGTCCGTGTAGAATAGTGACATTGACCAAAAAAAAGAAAAAATATTTGATATAAAAAGAAAAAAGATTCATCGTTTTTGCTTCAAAAATAACGATATTTCTGTACAACCTTTCATCTCCCCTTTTAGCCCCTTACAACCCTTTTCTCTTTATTTATTATTATCAACAGCCTAAAGAACAAGTATCAAGCTTCTAGTTTTTAAAATGGCGATACTTCCATAGAACCCTTCATCCCCCCTTTCAACCCCTTACAACCCTTTTTCAAATTAAAAAGTAGCAGCTTTCTCAGGATTCTAGACTGTCTGTGATCTGTGTACCAAAATTCCTTTAAATGGTTTTAGTAGTTTTGGCGTGAGAGCGAGACAGACAGTTACTTTCGCATTTAAAATATTAGTAAGGATTATCAAATTTTATACTACCCTTACCTGATAAAGGACATATGGGTTGAAACAGGTTACCGCCGCATACTGGTACAGCGCTGGTCTACTCGCGAACGTCTTCAGTATGCCACTTATAACCTGAAATATTTTAAAATATAATGTCAAAGGAAAAGTGACGTCAAAGTCCCCATATAATTTAGCCCGTATTTTGCATAGTGGTCTACTGTGAAATTATTGGTTTTGGGATGTTCATAATTAGTAGGATCGTTTGTCAAATGGGGTTCTGGGTCCCAGTTCTGGGGGTCTTTGTCTTTGTCTTTTATTAAAAAGAGCAACACACAAGTTTCTTGCTAAATTTTTCTTGTGATGAATCTGCATTCCGAATGAGTGGTAGAATCAAAATATGACTATTCAAAAGTGCTTGTAATGAGTTTATTTGAATAAAGATTATTTCTATTTCTATTTCCAGGTTTTGGCACCAATTTTGTTTCCATTTGTATCCGTTATCAATTTTTTATGTATTTCAAATTAATAAAATTAATTTATAATTTAAGTAGCTGTTCCCGCGACTTCGTTCGCGTGGAATTTAACTTTATTTTCTAAAATAAAAGTATCCTAAGTTACTCCTTATTACATTGGCTACCTGGCATAAAAAGTTCCGTCAAAATCAGTCCAACTATTTCAGAGATTTGCCGGAACAAACAAACAGACAGACAGACTGTTTAATCGTCTTTAGTTTACATAGTTGTCACTAGATGGCGCTGTTCAATTTCTACAACGCGATATTGTTTCGTTTTGTAGTTACTGACGCGTTGTAAGATTGATAATTGGTTGGCGGCTTTTGATCAGATCACATTAATGTATATATTGTTGTTTTATTGTGGTAATTACGATCCCATTACACTTTTGTTTAAAAGTAAAGTGTTTCAATTCTCCTGACTTTCATTAAAGTAATGGAAGTGTACTTGTGAAGCATCGGCGAGTATACATATGGTCTCTTCGTGTCGGATCTAGCATTTGGAATATAATACGTCACGAGTTACTCGTTCACACCCAAGGGCGCAGTGGATTGTTGTCAAGGACGAGGCACATTGTGCAGTTAATAAGGAATACATGTACATATGTTGGAGTTTGTGTAACGTTGGAGTAACAGTGCAACCTGACGGCGTCCTGCAGATGCAAAGCGGAGCGCTAATCTATGGATGGAGCAATGAACGGAGCGGCAAGCAAAAATATATCTAAGTAGAAGTGTTAAGTGAGTGTTTTACCGGATAATCTGTGAGTACATTTAATTATATTCAGTGTTAGTAATTTTCAACCTTATATGTTCATGTGAAATAACTTTGAAAAAATATTAGATTTTGCAAAATAGTTCAAGTTAAATCAGAGACTGAATAATTACGAAAAAAAAGGGTTACTACGGGCGATCCATGCTGGATGTCACATTAATAAATAGTGAACTAAAACATTTGAAAAAATTCAAGAAATTTCTACTGGGACTTGTAAAATCGTCATATTTAAACTATTTAGTATTCAAAACTTGTCATAATTATTGCAGTTGCAATTTACAATTATATATTATAAGAATAATAGTAAGGTTATTTGTGTGAAATAAATTTGTAACAATTTGTTAGTTAAAATATACTGAATTTTCTATGCATTGTTAAAGTAATTTGAACTTTTCATATTGCAATTTGGATTTAGAGCATAAATTTATAACGAGTACCTATATTTTGTACATACACAAAATATTCTAATTATAGTGCATAAAATATTATTATAGACTAATTACAAGGTATTGATCATAAATTTACATAATGGATTCTTTGATAAAGGTTCAGATTAACTCTAACAAAACAATAAGTAAGGCCAGAAGTAACTTTAAAAAGTCATCCAAAGATCGTTTGACTGTATCATACATAGAAACGCGGCTTGAAGCTTTAGAATCACAGTGGTCTTCATTTGTAGATATTCATAATAAACTTATAGCTAATTATGATGAGGAGGAATTAGAAATTAGTAAGTATGTCACCTGTAATATTTATGAAGTTACCCAAGAATTATTTTTTGATTACAAGTCTGAACTTAAAGATAAATTAAATGAAATTAAACCTAATATATCCATAATTTCTAAAATAAATAATAGTTCTAATGAACAAGCTCATAGTGTCAGATTAGCTAAAATTACTATCCCCATGTTTTCAGGCAGTTATTCAGATTGGACTAGCTTCAGAGATCTGTTTATGTCTCTTGTACACACTAATAGTGCATTGGATAATGTACAAAAATTACATTATTTAAAAACCCATCTATCAGGAGAAGCTGAACAACTATTAAGACATGTTCCTGTAACTAGTGATAATTATCTTGTTTGTTGGAATCAGTTGGAAGCTAGGTACAATAATAAACGATATATTGCAAATTCAATCTTAAAAAGATTTATGAGTCAAAAGAACATTACATATGAGTCATCAAATACATTAAAGGAACTATTAGATACAAGTAATGAATGTATAAATGCTTTAACTAATTTAGGCCTTCAAACTGAAACTTGGGATATTATTATAATTCATATTTTGTCTCTTAAGTTGGATACAGAATCTCGAAAATTGTGGGAATCGAGATTAAGCGATAGTACTGAATCTTTACCAACTTATAAACAATTTTCTGAGTTTTTAAATCAAAGATTTAGATCACTTGAATTTTTGGATACTAGGTTAACTAAAAGTATTATTAAAACAAAAGCGCTGCATGTTACTGAAATAATGAAATGTCCATTTTGCTCAGATAATCACAGATTATCTAATTGTAAGAAATTTGTAAAGGAAGAGCCAGAAGCACGTCGTAGTTTCGTGCAAACTCAGGGATTTTGCTTTAATTGTTTTGGCTCTAACCATTCTGTATATTCGTGTCGTGTACCATCCAAGTGTAAAATTTGTCAAAGAAAACACCATTCGTTGCTACACATGAATTCTATGTCTAAAACAAGAGACAGTGTCAATCCACAGAATTCACCAGGAGAAGAAGAACAAAATATTGTTAAACCAGAAATTATAGAAGAAGATGAAACAACCGAACGTATTACCACATGCCACATCAATATGCAAGGCCACATTTTACTGCCTACTGCATTAGTGGGGGCAATGACAAAATCAGGTACATATCTAACACTACGGTCATTATTGGACCAAGGATCGCAGGCTTCGTTCATAACGGAGTCAGCAGTTCAACTTCTTGGACTGCAGAAGAAAGCAAGTAAAAGTTATGTATCTGGATTAGGAAGTGATCGGGATTCCGTTGTGACCTCACAATGTGTGGTCAATATTAACATACAATCACTAATTAATCCAAAATTTGTTACGCAGGTCAAAGCCCATGTTTTGAAAGAAATTACCACATTGCTGCCGGATAAGGAAGTTCCTGTGCAGAGGTGGTCAAGTATACCAGATGTAAGGTTAGCAGATCCTACTTATAATATGCCTAATAAGATTGATATACTTCTAGGCTCAGATGTATATTATCAAGTTATTCAAGAAGGTTTAATTAGATGCGGACCAGATATGCCAGTGGCCCAAAATACTAAACTGGGATGGATATTATCTGGTAAGGTACAATCTGGTATTAAAAGAATAAAAAACTTTCATAGTTCTGTCATATGCATGCATGCTATAGTTAAGGAAACAAGTATGCTACAAAAAGTCGAAAAACAGCAAGTTAAACAAAAAATAAAAGTAAAAGAAATAATTGAAGTTAAAAAATATAAGGGAATCGAAGCAAGCAAGATAAAAAGAAATAATAAGGGAAAATATATTGTAAAAAATCCTTTTTGTGACCAAGGTTTTCATAGTCAATATACTAAACCATTGGAAAAGAGATTACCAACATTATCTAAGTTAATACATCAATATGGAAATGAAGTCAAGGAGTATAGTAAAATTAAAAACCTCCTAACTCATGTAGAAAGTAGAATGATGAACATTACTGTAATATATCTTAGGTTGACAGGTTATACTCTCTATGATCAGTTAAGTACTGGAAATCTGGAAAGAAAAAGATTTTGTGTTAATATAAAAAATTCATTAGAAATAAAGAGTTTTAAAGATAAAAAATGGAAAGTTAACAGTAGTTCTGTGCAGATGATGGATGATAATAACAAAAAACCAATGTATGGGTTAAAAATTGATATGTTAAGTCTTACCTGTAATCAGGGTGATTTAATAATTACTATACAGATGTTGGTTATAACTAATTCAGTAATAAACTGTAAAATAACTAAATTAATAAAATTGTTGAAATGGTTTGTCTATAGAAATGTATGCAGTACTGCACTACCTGAAAAATTATATAAAAAATGGATTACTTACCAAAATGATGTGTTGATGCTGCAAATCACCAAGGCTGAAAGATTAAATACTTACCAGAATAATATTCGAGGATTTATCTGTGACTTTATATTCTTAACTGGTCCTGGATGGCTGAAAAAGAAAAGGATTAAATTAAACAGAGAAATGATGCATGAAATGAAAATATGAGATTTCATTATACTGATGCTAGTAATTGCAGTGAACGTTAAATATAAATTTATATAAGTTTAGTAATTAATAAATAAAAGTGATTGAAGAAATACTTACCCTTTTAAATATTACTTGTTCCTTTGAATAAAGAGTCTTGAAGATTTAATTACACATGTTGGCATCTTGAGAAATGTTGTTGGCTAACTGTACTGAGACAAGCAGTACTCAGTAGTACATTGACATACACAAGTTTATGGATGGTATAGAACCTTTATATGTTGTTAAAAAAGAAAAAGGGAAATTCATGGGGTTGCATGAAATTACATGTGTAGTAAGTTTGAAATGTAATGGTTTTGTTATAAAAGATTATCAGTTACAAGCAGTTGTGTTGTACAATGTACATGTTTAATTAATAAGTTTGTTTCAATTGTATTTTCTTTGTTTTCATGAAAACATTTCACTTGAAAACTTAGTATAATTGTTTAGTTTTTTCAATAAGTTTGATCTAAAGAAGGATGATATTGAATCAATTAATGAGTGTTTTTTGTTATTAAAGAAGTTTAAGTATAGATTAAGTTTTAGAGGGATTATAGTTATAATATGTTGTGTGTATGTTCTCTCTAAAGAATTTATGTAATTGTTGTGTTTTTTGTTTCTTTTCTCACCATGAAGCATTAAAGATTTGTTTACAGTCCACTAAGTATTTGTATAGAAGTTCATGGTGGCCGGGATGATGGACATTCTGTCCATGGTGGGCGGTATGTTTAATCGTCTTTAGTTTACATAGTTGTCACTAGATGGCGCTGTTCAATTTCTACAACGCGATATTGTTTCGTTTTGTAGTTACTGACGCGTTGTAAGATTGATAATTGGTTGGCGGCTTTTGATCAGATCACATTAATGTATATATTGTTGTTTTATTGTGGTAATTACGATCCCATTACACTTTTGTTTAAAAGTAAAGTGTTTCAATTCTCCTGACTTTCATTAAAGTAATGGAAGTGTACTTGTGAAGCATCGGCGAGTATACACAGACAAAAATTGTAAAAAATGTTATCTTGGTGTATGTACCATATTTATATTCTTATGCATGTAGTAAAAAACGGTTATTTCAATATTACAAACAGACACTCCAATTTTATTTACATGCATAGATAATAGACTTTGTTGACAGATAGAAAATAAGTTTTTTATTTATTCTTAAACAATATCGTTATATTGCTTTTATACAGAAAGAGTTTTCCTAGCTTTTGCGCAGCTGGCCTTTACAGCTTCACCGAACGGTAGGGGGCGAGTACAGATGGCACTCCAAACCCGCGGAAGGTCTTATGGAGCGGCTCAAGGCCAACTGCCACCCGCGAACCTAGGCTAGTCATAATATCGATCCCTGTTTGAATTGGACGGGGGATCGGAGGGGGACCATTAAGTAATGTCTCGCAAAATAACCCCTAATTCTAAAAAAATATTAGAGAGTATCATCACCTGCTTATCCTCCCCCTTAACGTCGATGATGATTCTCACTTTGTTCATCAGTAAATAATCAAGTGCCTCATCAAGTAAACACAGGTGCACCTCCTTGAACTGGTGTCTGAAATAGTACGTTAATTTGATTACAACCTCGGTTGTCTAGTAGAACACCACACCCTTTCCTTCTGATGATCACAGCTTCGATACCTCACATAGTACAAACATTTGTATTCAAGGGTATGATTGTTTGTATCAGTCTGAATCTGACTGTCCAGCCAGGGTGCCATAATTGACGGCAAGCAGAAGAGAAGAGAAGAGAACAAGATCTTTTTGTACCTATAATAATGCTATCTGAAGCATCATTTATACCTGTTAGGATGTCGAGCTCCAACATCAATATTTTTCATCTTCTCCCAATCCAAGGCACGAACATCAGATATATTTGAGCCGGCCAGTCGCTCCAAACCGGGATCATGCAGCAATACGAGTTTCCCATCTTTCGAAGACCTCACATCTAATTCTACGAAGCTGCACTCATGTTCAACACACTGGAAACAATTTTTAAAAAATGTGATGTAAGAATATAAAAACAAAATGTCCAGACACCACTAAGCTAGTAGTAGATATACACTACTTAACGACCTCAGTGGTATAGTGGTTCAAAACACCCCATTAAACCCAATGATTGCAGATTCAATTCCTCGCACTGTACAAACATTTGTATTCACAGGTATGATTGTATCAGCCTGAGTGTTACCCATGTTATACTTGTATTATGTATGTATTTACAAAATAAAATGTATCTATGTATTTGAATCATTATTTTTGGAAAGATATCTCAGAGATTCTTAAATCACTATATTATTAGTAATTAAATTGAAAAATTATGGAATGAGTTATCTATGAAATTGCTATACTCTTTAAACAGAATCCATGTATGTATTGTTGATAAATTATATGTAAATTTATATATGCATGTGCAATTATAAATAAATAAATACATAAGTTTCATCATTCTAGCTTCAAAAATGATGAATTTTCATACAAACTTTCATCCTCTATTTTATTTTACCTCTTTATGGGTAAAATTTTACAAATTTTGAATGTCATATTTATGTGTATTATTATTATATCAACAGCGTTTCAAGCTTCTAGTTTAAAAAAAACAATACCTCTATACAAACCATCAATACCTTACAACACTTTTTTCATATTAAAAAGTAGCATATCCTTTCTCAGGATAAATCCTGAGATCCTGTCTAAAGACAATCTGTGTACCAGATTTCATTTAAATCAGTTCAGTAGTTATAGCATGAAAGCAAGGCAGACACACAGTTCTTTTTGCATTTATAATACTAGTAAGGATATAATATAGAAATGTCATCGTAATGAAACCATGGTACTGTTTATACATATAGGCATTAATTACCACATACCAGCAAGTATGGTATAAGATTGTTTGCCATTCAAATGACAAAAGAATATACAGAGTACTATCAAATCTATAAATTCTGATAGAATTTGTATAGGATCAACAAACATTATAATATTTGCTACCCACCCCAGCTTGGGAGTATGGGTGTACATGTATTAGACATATAAACCTTCCTCTTGAATCACTATCTATTTAAAAAAACGCTTCAAAATCCGTTGCGTAGTTTTAAAGATTGCGTAGTTTAAGCATACATAAGGACGGACAGATAGCAACTTTGTTTTATACTAATTAATGATTATGATTATTTGTAGTAGTTAACTATAAAATTAAAGCTTAAGGATTCCTGTCACAAATACCAGAATTCATTGCTAGAGTATACAATATTATTTTGTATAATAGTATTTACAAATTAAAATAATGTTATATACAACCTCTGAGGTCTCAATTGACTATTTATCAAAACAACCAAATTTTATGGGCAGTATTTTCTTTAATTACTATAAAAACTACTGGCCACAAATTGCACTTATTGCAATATTCAATAAAAAAAAACTTACATATTTAAATGCTTCTAGAGTATTTTCTGGCGCGTCGAATCCGGCGCCTCTGTGGGCTATACAGCGGACCACTTTTTCCGGGCTATCCTCACTTTCTTTACTCCCAGGCTCCGGTCCGAATATACTCATAACATTATTATGATTCGGCTTCTTCAACCTCGTCAAATAATAGGCAGCAACTCCCAATATTCCCACATCGATACCGAAAGGCAGTACTGTATGTAATAAGGACATTATGACATAAAACACAGATATTATATAATAAAAACCATTTATCAGGAAGGACAAGGTCGTTAAAAACATTTTGTCGGATTATTCGTTCGTTCGGTTTGTTATTTACTTGTTAATTGAGGTTAGAATTTCGAAAATAAATATTATCAGTGGGAGGGGCCCATTGCCAGTTGCGTTTTGTTGTACCATTATTTTGTCAGCAGTTTACTGTAATGTTTGCGTTTTATTTACTCATGGGTTGTTTTATTGCAACTTGTCTGTTTTTAATTTTATGTAGTAAATAATTATACTGATTGCAATGCATGATTTTATTTCGTATGTTTACTAATAATTACTCCTATAATAACCGACAATAATGACCATAATTTTTACCATTTTTGTAGTATTATAAAGATGAGTTTGTTTCTACTTCTGTTTTCTGTGATAAATGATAATGTAATACATATAGTACATCCGATGCATTAAAGGTATACACAACAGGATCGTCAGGAGAATTAGTGCAAGATAATTATTTTATTTTAAGCTGATTTAATGTCACACGGCTCTGGATACATGTTCTTTTGAGCTCTTATTTAACAAGTTTTTAGTTTTATTTTCAATGTCCAACAAACGTTAATTATAGTTCCCTGGTTTTGTAGTGTTATTAACATTTCGTTTCTTTTTACCTCAAACTTTAGATAGTCTTCATCTACTGTCAATTGAATAAATAAAGATGCATATTTTTAGGTGGATTTTTTAATAATAAAATTAACGTTACATTACACTACATGAACATAACTACGAGATCACGTTATCATACGCCCATGATACCACTGATGCATTGTATTGTGTAGGACTAGGATGTTATACTTCTCACCCTGTAATTTCACTGTCATGTCTCACCTTACAACCGAATCACATCTTACTAAGAATCTGTTTGGTGGGAGTGGAAGTGGAAATGGGTGAGATTAGGTAATTGGTACTCATGCAAACTATATATTGTAGGTACTGCATTCTGAAGTAATAACTTAACATTGGAAGTAATAAATATAGCAGAAAGGTTTTACATATATTTTAATGACGTAATTATTTACTAATAATCGTTCGTTTTTATTTTAAAATCAATTTTTTGTACTAGTTTAACAATACTTACAGAAATAAAGTATCCAATACATATTTATGTAATAATACTCTATTGTAGGTACTAACCAAAACTGTTTATTTTTATCTAACATAAGAGACACAGCTCATTTACTATTGTTTTAATGGATGACAATGGAATGGCTCTCCTTCTCTACTTCTCTCCTTCCTTCGCTAACATCCACCACTGAGACGTGAGTATGAGGAAAGTCAGGTCAGTTAGTGTATGAGTTCAAATGTAATTAACCACGATGGTGTATAGTAAGACCGATTGGAGATCGGAGGTTGCACTATTCCACTATCGCCCATTAAAAAGAACGATGAACTGACTATCATATAACGTGACTATATTATGAAGTTAGTCCAACACCCTAAGATTTCTGACGGTCCATTTGAAGACTACGAAGTCTACAATATGCCTGATGAAGAACAGGACTGTCTCCACAACGGTGAACACGCTGGCACCAACGAACAGAGCTGTTGTACCACCGAATGATGCTGAAACATAGAAGTGCTCGATATTCATCGATATTTAATCGAGAACATCGACAAATAAATAAAAACAGAAAAGATGAAAAATAACAGAAAAAAAAACACTGTCAGTCTAAAAACAAGCAATGTATTAAGCGGGTATTAAACTCAAGAACAATAAGAATGTTGAAATGTTGAGGTTTTTGATCGATACCATCGATTTCAATCGATATAAATATTATTTTATTATGTCGATTAATTATTCCTAAGCATTTTTTTTTAATATGGCAGTGGCAGACGCCCCTACAATAAGTTACGAAATCAAGTAATAGTTGCGTCCTAAGAGAAAGACAATACTTAAGCATTGGGAGTGTACTTCAGAACCTGTACTTATTTGCAAGAAAATTTTGTGATATATAAAATAAATCTTGATCAAGAGAACAGAAATCGAAACCATTGGAGATTGACATAACAAAATAATCAACACACATCCACTAAATTTATATTTACTACAATAAAATATAGTGTAAATATACTTACATACAGATTTACAATTTACAACGACTAAACAAAAAACTGCAATTGAGAACGGCTTACAAATAAAAACAAAAACTTCACAATGAATCTATGTAAACGGTGCTTGCAAATATATGCCATGCTAAAATAAAAACGTCAAGCTACATAGTTTGCAAAATTTTAAATTGTATAAAAGTATAAGTGAATTGATAAAAACATACAACACATTAAAAAGAAATTAAATTGACAGCCATCTACGCGGGAAACACGACACAGATAAGTTACCAAACAGATCCTCCAGTGTAAATATGACGTCTCTGTGCAGACGAAATTTTGGCGGCATCATGTTGATGCGCAACGCCGAGACCGTCCCGTTGGTTTCCTCGTCCGTGCCATTCATGTTGGCGGAATATTATTGTTATTTTTTTTTATATATATATAGTACAAACAGCATATAACACAACTATTAGTAAAAGAATTTAAGCGCATATGCGCTTAAATAGTTATATAACTCCTAGTCTATTTTTTTTTAATTATAATTGCGTACGGGGCAAAGATAATCGTTTCAACTGAAAGAAATGGCAACGCATGAGTGCTATTGCGGGTATCTCATGATAAAGTAATATCCGTAGTGCTGTTTATGTATATAAGCGATGGTTACCGCTTACAATTAAGCAGTTAATCCGAATTAGTTCGAAAAAAAATACCATCAAGTGGGGGGTCAAATTGTTTGTCATTTCAATTACATAAAAAAATGATTGCCAGACCAGACCAAGTGTTGCCAGTTTTATAAGACGGTATATGCTCTTTTCTGAAAGTTTCATGTCGTATCGTTTATGAAATATTATTCTTTTTTACTTAGTCGGCAAATTAATCGTAAGCATGTGTCTAAACATTACCTTCCTTATTTTGAAAGAAAGACAAAGACAAAACACTAATGTTAATTTTATTTTTATTTTTTTTTAGGTTTGAGGTCACTTTTTTGCCGTTGACATCGAAAATAGTCATTTCCAGGCGCAAATACTCGAACAACTTAACTAGAAACTATAAATACCTGACTATAATATTTGATTTGATTTGATTTCCCTTCGGTGATGATCCACACATTTACATAAGATATTTCATGTAGTTAGTTGTATGTAGGTAGAAAGATAATAAGAATACTAACCGAATAAGGACCTTCTTTGTATGTGAGTAGTAATTGAGTTCGGTACATTGAGGTAGACAGGAACATTTGGCGAGGTTTTTTGGCAAATTGATGAGTATCTCAACGTTCCTGCCGATGCATGCCATGCCTTGCGCATCACACCTGTCGCCATCTTGTGTCACCGCAACGAAAACGCGGGAAAAATATATTAATTGTTAAAAATGAACTGTGAACACAAATGTAAAAACCGAATAATTGTAAATTTTGCTTTGGAAATATAATTTCCATGACAATTCTTCGTGAAGTTTGTATTTGTTTCGTGTCAGTAATATTCGATTATTTTTATTTCTTTTTCCTGCCAGTATTTATTCATTTATAATAATTTTGTAGCGTGAATATAAAATACACTTGTAATCTATACTCATAGGTGAAATGCAATATGTATATCATTTAATATTCTATATTTTTAATGAATTAATAGTATACGAGCTGAGTTTCTTGTCAGTTCCTCTCATCTCGAAATCATTCCGAACTGACGGTAGATTTGACATATCATAAGAGTCTGTAGTAGACCTATACATGTATACAGATATTTTGAATATGAATTTGAATTTGAATGCATACACTTTCAGAACGCAGGCGGATAAAATTTTTAATCAAAAATCAAAGTTTGTATAAAAAAAATATTTTTATGGAGCAAATAATACAAAATCATTCAAAATATAAGATGCGCCAAATTTCCAGTCGGTCCCAGGTGAAGAAGAACCTCTGTCTTCCACTGGGCTGGCTCTTCCATATTTTATCTCCAAAAAAAGTCACGTATAATTTCCTATATTAACTTTATCATAAGCAATACTCACCTCCTTTGACGTGGAAGAAAGGTCTACATCCACAGAACATCATCGCCATACGATTGCGACAGTGCATTTGACATAAACCGAAACTATACGCCTGGAAAGGTAACAATATTTACAAAATATCACAGTTAAATGTTGGAATTTCAAAATTATCTTATTTCTATAGTATTGTGTAGACTTTAAAAACATAAATATGAAATGATAGCCTTTATGAAAAGATGTGTTTAATATATGCAATAGATATATGTTGTCTTGTAATAAAATATATTCAGAATAACTACGACAATGGAGATGATCCATTCGTAAATGGTTGTTCTGGCGTTCAATGGTCTGTCAACAGCCTGGATGTAAATGTATTTATAATATATATTTTTGTGTAAAATAATCATTTCTTCTTATTATGTGGACCGATTTATGATTCTTTTTTATTGTTTTTATATTCTTAAAAAAAAGTGGCTGAAAATGGTTTATATAAAATATACACACGGAAATTGCTGCGCTCATTTATCGTAATAAGTTTGCGTTCCTAATTGCCGGTAGAATAAAAAAGACTATTTAAAAGACTTTAAAATAGATAAACTATGTTTATGGTTGTGGGTTACGTTCTCTTTATGAAAAGTATGTGTTTACATATATGCAATAGTTCATAATATTGTTGTCTTGTAATAAAATATATTCAGAATAACTACCCTTATGGAGTTACTGATCCATTCGTCAGGATATCGACACCTTCGTTGTTCTGGCGTTAGCTTCTTCACGCCAGGCGCTGCCCGAATTTCAACAGCCTGGATGTAAATTAATCTATAATATATATTTTTGTGTGAAAAATAATCCCCATTTCCCCTGATCACGGTATCACGTATGAATAACTGGACCGATTTCGCTAATTCTTTTTTATTGTTTTTATATTCTTAAAAAAGTAATTCTGAATAATATTTATATAAAAGAACAACAGGGAAATTTCTCTTGCTGGCTATTTTAATAGTCTCGGCTCTTGCAGAACAGTCTAAATGAGAAGCTAAAATCGGACAATAGAGTCCAATTTACATTACATTACTCCCCATGTCTCAAGAATTATTTTCTGCTCATCCTTAGTCGTTAAATCTATCAAGTTTACCTTAAAATCTATGATCAGCTCCTCCCCGGACGATACCTCCCCGGTAGGGTTGGAGATAGCCGTCGATATATCGTATGGTGAATGAATAAAAAACTGGAAGAAAAGAAAAAAATATGTATTTGGTGCATACAGTTTCGGCCAATGTTGCCGAAACTTTCGGCCCCACCGCAACTCGAGTGTTCGTGAAATTGTTATTAATACATAATCTTATATATAAAATTCTCGTGTCACAATGTTAGTTACCATTGTGAAACGGTTTGACCGATTTTTATGAAATTTTATATGCATATTCAGTAGGTCTGAGTATCTACTATCTATTTTCCATACCCCTAAGAGTTGTCCACCCCTAACATTATTTTTTGGGCAAATTTTTTTAGCATTAACAGTGACAGAAACAATCTTTATTTACCCATATTCGATACTAACCCTTACTGTTCTACTCATAGCGTCGATTCTCACAAAACACTGTCCGCTATGGTAGTGGCACTTGAGTAATTCATGTGGCTCCCATTCTATATCCTGAAGCGAGAACTGATACTCTGAATACTTGGAGTTAAACGTCATGCACAGACCCACCTCCGTGATAACTGGAGTCCAATAGACCTAGAGAAAAAGTCATGGCAATAATAGGCACGATAGCAAATAATATATAACCTTAATAAACCTGGACAATTAACGCAGCGCCATTTAGTCCAGAACTAAGCACAGCTTGTGTTATGGGGTACTAGACAAGTGATAGAAATACTAAATCGATTAATATTATTTTGTCTAATCCCGCTAACATTAGCATAGACCACAAAAATTTGTGCGGAAACCGGACCAGCGCTACTGGAAGCGTTACTACCTTCTCTATTGGTGATCAAATTCCGGTCGTTATTGAGTCTACACCTATATTGCGAACGTGTTTCGCCTCTGAAAAAGGCACCATCAGGCATTGAATAAAGGCTTCCAAGCTATATGCTTGGAAGCCTAGTGCTGACTGTTCAGGGCCGCAGTTTGGTCGCTGAACAGACAATACTACGGCGGTAAATTTTCCATACTGACCATTTGTGGTCTCACACGTGCTAATTCGTAGCGGAATTAAACAAAATAATAAAAAAATCATTAAGTAATGAAATTTCGCAAAATAACACTTAAGTAATGGATGAAATGTATTTATTTGATTTGTATAAGGCTTTTAAGCTACATTGCTTCAAAAAGCTCACCGCAGTGGTAGCATCAGATGTCATAATCTTGAGGAGTAGAGTCGGATGCACGTGGATTGCCAATTGCAGCAGATCAATATCGTTAAGAGTCTCATCGTCCTGGTACTTCCAGAAATTCTGCAGATTTGTCCGGAATGACACTTCTGAGAGGAGCTCTATGAACTCGTAGTAATACTGGTACCTATCAGGGTCTGACTCCTCAGTCACGTTCCAGAACCTGATGATAGAATTTCTTTACATGAAAATATATCTTTTGAAGAGTCATATTTTTATATTCTACCACTCATTCGGTACGCAGAGTTGTCACAAGAAGAATGAGCAAGAAACTTGCGTTGCTCTTTTAAATTGTTGGTGTTCAGAATTACATTTCTCTACGTATTTTTTTTATTGAACGTAATGAAACAGTGGAAGATGATCGGATGAGAATGAAGATCAGAACAGTTACCCCACCGTGACGAATTTACTAAAAATTGACCACGATCGTTTTTTTTTTCTTTTCTCATGCGCTATCTAGACCCAAGTTAAGCTACCTAAAGCTTGTATTATGGATACTAGATAACTGATACAAGTACATAGATATTTTTTCTTTTCGTAAATACATACATATTATACATAGAAAACACCCAGATCGATACAATCATACGCATGAATACAAATGTTTGTGCCGTGCGAGGAATCGAACCCGCGACCATCGGTCGTAAAGCGGTGCGGTGCTAGACCGCTAGACCACCAAGGTCGTCAGTTTTTTTATACTACGATAGTAGCAAAAAACGGTATAAATAAGGTTATTGAAGCATATGGACGCCTACCGCAGTCGATGAAATACCAGGAATGTCACGTGCATCGTGCATCTTGCTGACCCTTAAGAAACCTTATTATACCCTTCTTGAAAATCCCCTCGCTGTAGTCTCCTAAGAAAAATCAGTTTCCAAGAGGCACCGTGTGGAAGTAGACTCTTCTAGATATTTCTGACTTCCCATCAGGCTGGCTATTTGTTTGTTTCCCAGTTACATAAAAATATTAAATTTAGAATAATATATAGTGTACGCACAGATCAATAGCAGTCCTTGCTTTGACCGGGTCCAGTCGATCTATAAAACAAGCTGTGACCGCCGGGAAGGTTGTCCAGAAGCTTCTATAATCCCTCTGAAGAGATACCACCACTGGCTCTGAGTTGTACCTCGCTAGTTGACTCAATGCGCAGTAGACTGCACCAGCGAATGCGCAAAACGTCAGTATGAGCCATAAAATTCTGCAAGGTATAATGGTTCTTGAAAGAGATATCTTTTAGGTGCATATTTAGGTTTGATTAATTTGTAATCTACTAAATTAATTTAATATTAATCATAAAACCGAAACCTGTTTAAATAATACTAATAAATAAATAAATAACCCAGGACAATTAACACAGCGCTATCTAGTCTCACGGTAAGCAGCGTCTGTGTTTTCTTTTTGTAAATACATACATAATGTAAACACTCAGATCGATACAAACAATCATACTCATGTTTGCAATGTGCGAGAAATTCAATCTGCGACCAGCGGAAGTAGAGCTATGTGCTAAACCACTAGACCACTGAAGCCGTCGTCAAAGATAGACAATAACAAATAAAACAATGCAAAAGCTTATCATCTGCCAATGAAGCATGGAAAGGAGCGTACCTACTAGACTCTACATACGAGTAAAGGATATAAGAAGCCTTGGCTCTGTACGAACAACGGTTCAAACGAGAAGCTGAATGCAGAAATAGGGTCATACATACAATACAATAAAATATCTAAACAATTTTATTACTCGTAAAAAAATTATATACTGTAATTGCAGCAAAGGATGCAAATTAAGTAACACAATCATACTGGCAGTTGTATACACAGAAGAAAAAAAGAATAATTCGCAAAAAGAACTGCCAACATTGTCAACTGTCAAAACATGGTGTGAAATTCAGTCTTGTGCGAAAACTTATATAAATTTTTAGTGTTTAACAAATTACCTTTCAAACCAATGTACTGAAGGCTCCACAGTATGCCTGAGTCCATGTAAGGTGGTCTCCTCGCAGAAGGCCGCGTAAAATTTGTACACTGGAGTAATGGAGGCTTGGGTGAACTCGATTGCTGCATTTGTGCGCGCGAGGCAGTTGAACATAGCGGTAGGTTTGTTGCGATTCCTTTGCCTCTTTTTTGTTTTTGGCGCCATAATGAATCTTAAATCGGTTCACTTACTATCCACTGATTAACTGACTGTATGGTTTAGATACCTTTGCCTGCTTATATGGCTTAAATGGCTAATAAAAAAACAATAACTATACGTGCTCTTAAGCTGGCATCACTAGAAAGAAAATATTTTTTGTATGAATCCGTGATACCATTTTTTTTTGTTCGGAATATTTGCAAGCAAATTATAATAGAATAAATTTATTACATACAATACTTGTACTATTTACACATATAATAACTTGAATATATTAATTTTGAAGGCTTTTTCAGCACGTGTAAGCTCGCCTAACTTAACATTAAACTTTTATTGTATGAAACTGTGTAAGCTCTTCTTTTTTAGAAGTATTAAAGTAAAACCTCATAAAAGCGGTGCTGACTCTGTAAAACGTTGTGGTAATTGCTCTGTGCATTTTCTATTATCCTTGCCATCTAAAGCCTTAAAAAAAGTATACAATATTAATCTTCCTCCTTATTTCATTCGTTTGGGGTCGTTAGACATAGACACCTATATAAAAATACTTTGTAAATAAACTGGCTTTAAAAAAAAAAGTAATTCAATTGAGTTTCTTGCCAGTTCTTCTCAATTGGATATATATACCGAACTGGACGGTAGGGAAAAAATAAAATTATAATGTAAAAATGTGACGTTCATAAGCGGCTAAAATGTCCTACATGAATAAATGATTTTTGAATTTGAATTTGAATTTGAATATTACTATTATTTACGTGGTACTGCGTTTCTTGCCATATTATCTTTCACTCTGTCCATCTACCTCTTATTCTCTTTTAAAAAGAACCTTACTGTCTGACAGGGAAGTTAAACAAATATTGGGCTCGTACGAAGACGGGAAGTAGGTTGCTAGTTTATAATATTAGTGTCAATTAGCCGCCTTACTCACAATAGGCAGTATGTACTTAAACAGTGGTTCAATGCAATAAATTTTATTGAATTTAAGCTTCTTTATTCCAACAAAAAAAATCTGTCAAAACTCTTATGAAACGATCGGCTATGTAATGATTTAAATGGAACAACAAAACGCATTTATATTAAATTATTATAATACAACACACACAATAGTAAAATGTATTAACTCGGAAATTACAAATTTTAGAAAATATACTTTCATTACGTAGATTTAGAATTGATATTCCAAACGTAGAATTTTTAGAGTTAGTACAGTATATTATAAATATAACACGCACAATAATAAAATGAATTATATCGAAAATTATAAATATTGGAAAATAATCTTTAATGCTCTAACTTTAGAGTCAATTATCCAAACTTTGTCATTTTTAAGTTAATACAATTTATTATTAAGCCTGCGATACTGATCAACTGGCAATACCTATAGCTTGCTTAATAATAAAATTGACTAACACAAATTTCGAATGGTGGAAAATAACATTTAAAATTAGACCATTCGAGTTGATTTTCCAAACTTTGTGATATTTGAGTTATTACAGTTTATATAATATAGATCTACTGGATTTGTTCAATTGTATTCGTAATGGCTGAGATTCATTAACGAAACGAAATAATATTGCAGTTGACTTCAATTAGATTTAATGGATTCTTTACAAAAAACAAATATAACCTCGCACTAAAAGCATATTTTTCAGAGAATAATATATACAAATAAATAAAATTGACGTGTCTGTTTGTAATTTCCAATTATAGTTTGGGGGGGTTGTTAGTACGTTGACCTCCGCGTGGTTCCCCCTGGAAACTATTGTGATAGTTCTTGGTGAATTTGTCACGATGTGCTAACTGACCTGACCTCATCTTATCATCCTCCACTGGTGCCCCGTCAACGTAAACCGTTAGCGCAGGCGGGTGCACCATACCATTATCATCCGTAAAAAAAATAGTTTTTGGGGGAATGAGATTAATAGTAATGTGGATTGAGGATTAGAAATAGAAAATAATCTTTATTAAAATAAAATAAACTTATTACAAGCACTTTTGATTAGTCATATTTTTGATTCAGAATGCAGATTCATTACAAGAAGAATTAGCAAGAAACTTGTGTGTTGCTTTTTGATTGCTAGCAATGTACCGTCAAGTGGACCTTCACGATGGTTCCCCTTAGAAACCATCGTGATAAGTTCCTTGTAATTTGTCACGAAAGGCTAACTGACCTGACCTCATGCTCATCTTATCATCCTCCACGATGGTTCCCCTTAGAAACCATCGTGATAAGTTCCTTGTAATTTGTCACGAAGTGCTAACAGACCTGACCTCATGTTCATCTTATCATCCTCCACTGGTGCCCTGCCAGTGTATACCGTTAGCGCAGCAGGTGAAATCAATTCTCATCCATTAAAAAATGAAGTTTTACATTAAATGCATATGAAAGTATGGTGCTTACATACTACAAAGAAAATAAAATGTCTCTCTGTCTGTTCTTGGTAATCTCTGTAACAGCGGGACCAATTTTTTTGACAAATGAAAAAACGGAGGAAATATTACGCAGACGTAGACATAGGGTCAACTAGTATTATATATATTTGTAAAATGATAGCTATTAAATGACATACAATAGAAGTTATTAGTAACTAATAAAAACTATTAGCGAGTTACCGCGGTAAATGTGTAATGACGTCACGATATATTAGAACATTGTCTATGGGACTCTTATTATTATTGCAGTAATGGAAAACACAATAGATGAAATACTACGATTTAATACTAGCCACCCACCCCGGCTTCGCACAGGTGTACATGTACTTATTATATATACCTATAAACCTTCCTCTAGAATCACTCTATGTATTAAAAAAAACCGCTTCAAAATCGGTTGCGTAGTTTTAAAGATTTAAGCATAAGGACGGACAGACAGCGACAGCGACTTTGTTTTATACTATGTAATGACTCGCTGTGCATGTACATGAAATTTATAGGCTATATAATATTCTGATGTATATATAAGCTACATTACTGTAAAGTTAAATCAAAATCCGTTCCGTGTCCAATAGTTTTTGTGTGAAAGAGTAACAAAAATCCATCCATAGGTACTCGTAAATCTTATAATATTAATAAGACTTACCTTCTAATATTATATTATAAATGCGAAAGTAACTTTGTCTGTCTTCCTATGTTTTGCGCTTTCACACCAAAATTACTCGACCTATTTGAATGACATTCAGTACACAGATAGTCTGAACCCTAAGAAAAGACATAGGCTACTTTTTAATGCCAAAAAGGGCTGTAATGGGTTGAAAGAGAAGATGAAAGGTTGTATAGAAGTATCGTCACTTTTAAAGCTAGAAGCTAGGAACTTATTATTTAGGCTGTTGATTAAATAGATTTAAACATAACATTCAAAGTTTTTACAAACTTACAATGTTTATAAGAACTTTGAAAGTTTACAAAATTGTTACGTATCTGTATTAGTGTCTTATTTATTTTTTTACATGTATTTTTTTTATTTAGCAAACAATAAATATTCTTTTAGTTATTTTGATAATTAATTATAATTCCCATTAAATTAGAAATTTGAAAAAATGTGCATGATTCATTATTTCACATTTCTAAGATTTCTCTGTCTTAGATTGTTTTAGAGCTGAGAGTTATTTTCTGGTAAACATCGAGTTTACACTGTCATTTCACTGCCGAATCTCCACCCTACAACCGTACATCTTACAAAGCGATAGACATTAGATATTGTAATGAGTGAAAACTGTTGTTGTTTTGTTATCTGATTGAACAGAGGTTAAGTGCGACAATCAACATAGAAACCGCTACTTCTATGTTGATTGTCGCATGCCTAATCCTTGTTGTTAATTAAATATAATTAAATCAATATTTATTGAAAACATTGCTGTTTTCAATAAATATTGATTTAATTTTCTTGCTTATTCTTCTTGTGATGTATCTGCATTCCGAATAAGCGGTAGAATAAAAAAACTTGACTATTCAAAAATACTTATATTAAGTTTATTTGAATAAAGATTATTTCTTTCTTTCTGTGATTGTTACAGCCTATGCTGTAAATAATATAAATGACGTTGTGCAGTAAGTTGAAACAGTCATGCTCGCTATAAATTCTATATATGTAAGTTATAAGTTCAAACTTATATATATTCAAGTAATATATTGAATATAAGTTCAAACTTGTGGCGGCGTGGTGGGCCGGGTCGATGTGCTCCCTCTAATATGGTTGAGTGCAATGATGGCTGGCTCATCCGTCATACTCGTGAACGGGTGCTGCTTGTGGGTCTGTTCAGGTTGCGAACACTGATTAGAGTTTTTGTTTTTTTGCAATAGCATATGCTGGTGGTCACTCTTTTCTCTAAAATGACTGTGTGTATTGTAAACATGTACGACATTTATTTGAAAAGAATACGATATGAGTTTCTTGTCAATTCTTCTCATCTCGAAATCATTCCGAAGTGACGGTAGATTTGACATATCACAAGAGACTGTAATAGACCTACATGAATATAGATATTTTGAATTTGAATTTGACCTTTGTGAGATGTTCGGTATTTTTTTTTTAAAGGATGATAATGGAATGGTGCACTCGTCTGCGCTAACGGTATACGCTGGCGGGGCTCCAGTGGAGGATGATAAGATGAACATGAAGTCAGATCAGTTAGCCCAACGTGACAAATTCACCGGGAATGTATCAAAATTGTTTTCCAGGGGGAACCGCGTGGAGGTCGATCTGACATGGTACATTGCTAGCAATGGGATCATTAGTGAACACTATATATATAAATATCCTGGATTGTTCCGAGATGTTCGGTTGATAACTAAGTAATATCTCTCAAGTTATTTTAATATTACAGGTCGCAAATCTACTGACGAAAGCATATTTGGAATAATATATACCAGTAAAACTGGGGGTTACTGTTTAAACGGAAAGAAAATGATAACGACCATTAGCAATGACATGTCCGACGGTCCACGTGGTGTCTCGCTACGATAAATCTAGGTAATTTTATTATATTTATTTACCAGCTGGTGTAACCGCGACGTCGTCCGCGTGGTAGTAACTTTATTTTTCACAATAACAATAGTTTATATCTTTATTAAAATAAAAAAATTAAAGGTCGTGTTTGATTAGTCATATTTTTGATTCAAGATCAGGCGGCTATGCAGACTACAAAAGAAGATAAACTTGTGTGTTGCTTTTTTGACGGCGTGGACGAAGTGGACGCATCGGCGTTGTCCTGATTGCAGTCTTTGCAATTTTGACAACGAAAATTAATGTTATCTTGTTACCAAATATGCCCTAATATATCGCAGCAGGTGCAATCAATCATCCTAGTTTTACATTAAATGCATATGAAAATATGGCGCGAAATATTACAAAGAAAAAAAATGTCTCTCTGTCTGTGCTTAAAAAATTTTTTTTGCAAATGAAAAAAGGACAACGTTTGTTGATAGGGTTGTATTATATATATTTGTAAAATTAGCTATTTGTAATTATATTTATATTATATATTGGTTTAATAAATATGACGTCACGATATATTAGAAATTGTCTATTCATTATTATTATTGCATAATGGAACTTTTTACACAATAGATGAAATACTACGATTTAATACTAGCCAACCCCGGCTTCGCACAGGTGTACATGTACTTATTATATATACCTATAAACCTTCCTCTAGAATCACTCTATGTATTAAAAAAAACCGCTTCAAAATCGGTTGCGTAGTTTTAAAGATATATACATAAGGACGGACAGACAGCGACAGCGACTTTGTTTTATACTATGTAATGATTCAATATGAAATTTATACTATATAATATTCTGATGTATATATTTAAATTATTAAATCAAAATCGTTAACGTGTCCAATAGTTTTTGTGTGCAAATAACAAAAATCCATCCATCTCTCGTAAATCTTATAATATTAATAAACTTAAATAATATTATATTATAAATGCGAAGTAACTTTAAAATTGTCTTCCTATGTTTTGCGCTTTCAAAAAATTAACTGGACCTATTTGAATGACATTGTACACAGATAGTCTGAACCTAAGAAAAGACATAGGCTACTTTTTAATGCCAAAAAGGGCTGTAATGGGTTGAAAGGTTTATTCGTCTATTTTCTAGAAGCTAGGAACTTATTATTTAGAGATTTAAACATAACATTCAAAGTTTTTACAAACTTACAATGTTTATAAGAACTTTGAAAGTTTACAAAAATGTTACGTATCTGCAGTGTCTTATTTATTTTTTTACATGTATTTTTTTTATTTAGCAAACAATAAATATTCTTTTAGTTATTTTGATAATTAATTATAATTCCCATTAAATTAGAAATTTGAAAAAATGTGCATGATTCATTATTTCACATTTCTAAGATTTCTCTGTCTTAGATTGTTTTAGAGCTGAGAGTTATTTTCTGGTAAACATCGAGTTTACACTGTCATTTCACTGCCGAATCTCCACCCTACAACCTACATCTTACAAAGCGATAGACATTAAATATTGTAATGAGTGAAAACTGTTGTTGTTTTGTTATCTGATTGAACAGAAGTAATCACCGCAAGTTTCTATGTTTTTTCGCAGTATGCTGTTGTTAATTAAATATAATTAAATCAATATTTATTTAAAAGAGCAAACACAAGTTTTTGCTTATTCTTCTTGTGATGTATCTGCGTTCAGAATAAGCGGTAGAATAAAAAAACTTCACTATTCAGAAGTGCTTATATTAAGTTTATTTTGAATAAAGATTAGATTTCTGTGATTTTACAGCCTATGCTGTAAATAATATAAATGACGTTGTGCAGTAAGTTGAAACAGTCATGCTCGCTATAAATTCACTTATATATATAAGTAATATATTGAATATAAGTTCAAACTTGTGGCGGCGTGGTGGGCCGGGTCGATGTGCTCCCTCTAATATGGTTGAGTGCAATGATGTATCTAGCTCATCCGTCAAATTCGTGAAAATGGTCTCTAGACTGGTCTGTTAAGGTTGCGAACACTGATTAGAGTTTTTGTTTTTTTGCAATAGCATATGCTGGTGGTCACTCTTTTCTCTAAAATGACTGTGTGTATTGTAAACATGTACGACATTTATTTAAAAAAAAACTGATTTAATGATTGTTTTGTCAATTCTTCTCACGAAATCATTATTTTGAATAGATTTGACATAGAAGGAGACTGTAATAACTACATGAATATAGATATTTTGAATTTGAATTTGACCTTTGTGAGACTATTTTTTTTTTAAAGGATGATAATGGAATGGAAGTCTCTAATACATATTCCAGACGATGATAAGATGAACAAAGTCAGATCAGTTAGCCCAACGTGACAAATTCACCGGGAATGTATCAAAATTGTTTTCCAGGGGGAACCGCGTGGAGGTCGATCTGACATGGTACATTGCTAGCAATGGGATCATTAGTCCACATTACGAACAATACCCTTCCCCCGAGATGTTCGGTTGTAACTAAGTCGATCTCTAAGTTATTTTAATATTACAGGTCGCAGGTCTACTGACGATTGCATATTTGGTGTACCAGTACTGGGGGTTACTGTTTAAACGGAAAGAAAATGATAACGACCTCGACAGCCGACGGTCAACACGGCTGTCTCGCTCACGATCTAGGTAATTTTATTATATTTATTTACCAGCTGTAACCGCGACGTCGTCCGCGTGGTAGTAACTTTATTTTTCACAATAACAATAGTTTATATCCATTGTAAAAATTAAAGGTCGTGTTCGAGGTCAAGGACAAGATCAGGCGGCTACCACGACTACAAATTAGAAGATAAACATGGACGGCGTGGACGAAAGACGCATCGGCGTTGTCCTGATTGCAGTCTTTGCAATTTTGACAACGAAAATTAATGTTATTTGTTACCAAATATACCTAATATATCGCACAGATCACCTAGAATTAGGCGCGAAATATTAAAAAACTGTGCTTAAAAAATTGCAGGCAAAGGACAACGTTTGTTGATTTGTTTTTTTTTCTGTTACGATTTGTAATTATATTTATATTATATATTGGTTTAATAAATATGACATACCTATAAGTATTCATTATTACAATGGATAAACACTTTTTAAGAATAATGAATAATATCGATTTTAATTTACAATTCTGTAATTACGGTAGTTGCATCCAGCGGGTAGGGTATATGTAACCAATGTAGGACAGAAGTATATACAGGAACATAAACAGTGTTTTACAGATTCAATATGATATTAACTATATTCCAGTTATTTAAATTATTAACCGGGTCTTAACGCGAATAATTTTATGGCAAATAAAGGTATTTACCTCTCTCGACAAAAAATAAATAATGTATATTAAACACGAAAATTTAAAATTAACTATATTCCAATTAAAAGTATCTAACTACTATATTGAAATTGTTACAGTGCAACCTCATGAATTCCTAGGCGCATGTAAATTTTGCTCTTCAGCACTTTTGGTTGGGGCTGTGCACTGCAAGTACATAAACTTAAATACGACGACGCAGTCCCATGCCACATACTTCTCAAAATTTTGCAGTCCTGCCGAATTCCTTTCCCCTACTACCTTCCTTTCAGACTCAATTGGCCGTTAGCTTTATCCACTTTAATAGGGGTACGCACCTGCTAACGTGCGTGCGCGGGAACATATGGCGGAAGTAATCACCGCAAGCTTGTTTTTCCAGTATGCTATTAAAAATAGGGAACCAAATAACGACCAATATTTTCTGTGAATAATAAAAAAGTAATCCGAAATAAAGAATATAAGTTTAGATTTTGTATTTTAGTAAGAAGATCACCTGAAAGTGGCTTGAAACCAGCGACTCGGATTTTTTGCTGATTCTGACTCCCGGGTCGCTTCCAAAATCCCGAATCATAAAGTGAGTATCTAGTATTACAAATTAAAATGGTCTCTAGAGCCGTAAAACATAAATTTTATGGTGTGTCAATCAAACTGTCATCAATTGTCAATCTATGTCAAAACTACACATGAAAAAACTGATTTAATGATTGTTTTTAATGTTTACGAATTCTTATTTTGAATTTTTTAGAAGGTATACGTAAAACAAAATAAATTATGGAGGATGACAACGACGTGACTATAACAGGGGTCACCGATATGGAAGCTCTAATACATATTCCAGACGGTAAGTTTAAAAAATCGCAAAACTTGTTTATTTCGCTTAACAATTAGTTTGGTTTCTGACCCGTTTATTGTCGGTTTTCTATAAGACCCTAATCTCCTTGCATTACATTCATTTGTTACAAAACTATTCGGTAATAATGGTTAACAGGGTTATCCTGTAACCTCCAATAGAGGAATTAATTTCTCCAGTTTTTAGCTCCAAATTAAAAGTTTTTGTACATTTACCTTTCTCAAAATTTGAACTGAAAATTCACTCTGCAAGCATTCACTCTCTTGCATATTTCTTTAGTAAAAGCAGAGTTACAAGTACTAATAAACTTTTTCCATGTAAAAACTTTTATGATTTAGTGGAGAAAAACCCACAAATGTTAGATGCTGTTTGGAAACAAAATTAATATAAATGTAAAAATTATTTAATGATTTTCTTTCTCAGCCCAAAAATACTTTTCGGTCAGCCATCTTTTTAACTGGTTTTTGAACAGATTTATCTGCAGTGTTTTCATTTAATTTTAAAGTGATGTTGTATGTTTCAGATAAACCTCTGATGCAGCTCTTCAAACGCTTAATCGGGAATGACACCAAACAAAACACAGTCCTAACCAACGCCCAGATATTAGATATATTAAAGAAAGAACTGAACACAGATGTGGTGTACATACATGATTTAGAATTAGAAATATATCTGAACATTATCAAGAAATTCCTCAAAGACTGGCCGCAATGGGATGACTTTGACAAATCCGTGAGCTCACTAAAATCTAAAGGAGACATAGACGCAATCAAGAAGCTTTTAGATGTTAAATATAACAATTTTAGAGATTATTTAAAAGCAAAGTTAGATGTGGCACAGCCACTCATCAAGAATGTTGTAAAAAAGGCCACGGCAAAGAAGAAAGAAGCGGACGATGACAAAATGAATGTTCTAATGGAGGTGAGCTGCACCAGATCACAATTGAACAAGATATTCTTCCGAAGACCCAATCCGCAGCAACGGAATACAATATTCAACTTCATCGATGGACCTACGAAGATCGTGTTGGACAACATATCCATTGAAGCTTTGATCAACTGGTTTCATATAAAAGTTGAGGTCAATTTACCGTCTTTCGTATATCGGTTTGGTATGACACACAAATTGAAGCATGTGCTGTTGAATAAGAAGATAAACGAGACGGCCGTAGCACCTACAGTGTTAAACCAGCATTTACAGAGGAGTACGAACAGGAAGAACGCATCTCTTCTCAAATTGGAGGACATTCAATACATTTTGAAAGAAATATTAGCTAGTATACCACACGATTACCATAATGGCCAGCTAATAAGAGCTACACTTGCGTATATAGAGACGCATTTGGTTAGGAATCACAAATCGGGAGGTTTATACCTAACTTACTATAGGAAGTACATGAATAAATACGCATATGTAAGATATTTGTATGCAGACGTTCCTAGCGATAGTAATTTTAATAATATTAACAAATACGATCTGCAACTACAGGAAATGATATATCCGAGTTACTATTATGAGATTGGGAAGTTTGTTAAGTCTGAAATCATTAGCAAATTGTTTATTTATACGAATTGGATAAAGTTTGAATGTTTGTTGTGTAATAAGGTGTTCTTGGGCCCGGATATGACTGAGAAACTTAAGCAGCATATATTGGATTATCATTTCGACCAGCCTGATTGGCAATGCACGAATTGCAAGTCCATTTACTCTATGTTATACCTCGCGGAAAATAAATGGGAACATAAATGTTAATTCTACAATAGTTCAATTGTTTTATTTATATCACCTACATAATAATTATCAGGACAATTCATAATCTAGTCCCATACTAAGGAGAGCTGTTACTATGGATACTAAATTAATTGAAATTCAAAGGCTTTACTGACTGCACATAATTATGACAATTTAACAGAAATATTTACCACTAGCTGTGCCCGCGGTTTCATCCGCATTAAATCTATAGCCTATATGTTATTCTGATGTATAAACTATATGTTGTAGTTTATTCATGTAGTAATAAGAAAAAAGACTAGGTAAACGGAGAAAAATATATATTAACTAGCTGTCCCGGAAAACGTTTTGCCTTAAAATAAAAAAAAAATTAGGGGTGGATTACCCCTAACATTTAGTGGGATGAAAAATAGATGTTGGCCGATTCTCAGACCTACTCAATACGCTCACAAAATTTCATGATCGGTCAAGCCGTTTCGGAGGAGTATGGGAACGAAAACTGACACGAGAATTTTATATATAAGATATAGACTACTGACAACAGAATGGAGAGAAGGAATTGAAGTAACAAACAAGAATCTACAAAAGGAACTATAAATTTCAAATACAAATTTAAAATATAAAACATTTCTTCATTAGCCAGTTACAACACTATATAACTGCAGTCTCGTAAAAATCTGTTCAGTCTGTTCTAGTTTTTGGGTGAAAAGTAACAAACACCTATCCATATTCACAATCTCGCGTTTATAATATTAATAGGATTTTCTTTCTTTTGTCAAGGTCACTATTCCACAGACGAAGTCACCGGCACAGCTAGTAATATATACAACTATCTGTGCATATGTTGCCGCTTATTCTGTACATCAGTCGCCGAGTCAACCTGTCCTTTAGACTTCAAGTAACTTAACTATGGAAAGTATACACTCTTCTTAGGAAATAATCATCGCACCTAAGAATATCCTTCAATTCTTGTTCCTCACGGGTCTAGGCTGCGAACTTTGTATAAGGGCGAGCACACTAAATCTATACAGGACTTAGCACCTGACAATAGCCCAAACCCCCCCCTATAGGGGGGAAAGGGGATTGTTAATGTGGAATGATGATCTCATTGCTAGCAATATACCATGTCAGTTTGACCTCCACGCGGTTCCCCCTGGAAACCATCGTCATAAATTCTTCGTGAATTTGTCACGATGGGCTGACTGACCTGACCTCATACTCATCTTATCATCCTCCACCGGTGCTCCATTACATAATCACCCATAAAAAAAAACCTCTATAAAAATAAACCTAACTATGGACTAAACAAATGATAGTGACGAAATTTTCATGACAATATTTCAGTGTCGATCGCCTTCTATTGGTCGTATAATAACGTTATATTCCTCGATAAACGGGCTGAAAGAATGATCAAAATCGGGAATTGACTATTATATTTATACTATTTTTTTATATTAAGTTGTTGTTGTATTATTGAAGTTTCTTTGAATAAAAATACATTGTTAACTTTATAATGTTTAATCATCATTATCAAAGTCTATTATCTCTTCTTCGTAGGAGGGAGGCGCCAGGGGCAGGACAAAGTCAAATGGACAGCACACCTCTTTGGGCTCGCAAGGCCTGAAAATTCAATAATATTGACCCGTGACAATTCATACAGCGCCATCTAAACCCTAACTACATAAGTAGAGCTTGTGTTATGAACTTTGTACATAGACAATTATTACATTGTTTTTTATAAATACACATTTTTGGATACACCCCAGAATAAGGAGGAAAAGGGGATTGTTATATAAACTGTCGACCCCATTGCTAGTACTATGTCAGGTTGTCCTTCACGTACCCTAACCCCTGGAAACCATCATAACAAATTCCTGATAAATTTGTGATGATGTGTTAACTGACCTGACCTCATGTTCATCTTATCATCCTCCACTAAGGCCCGACATCGTATGCTACTAGCACAGACGGGTGCATCATTCCATTATCATAAAATAAAAAAAACATCCAGAACAAGAGGAGGGGGGAGGGAATTTTTAGTGTATAGTTATATTTAATGTCAGGCTGACATCCACGCGGTTCCCCCTGGAAATCATCGTGTTAAATTCCTGGTGAATTTGCCACGATGGTCTAACTGATCTGAACCCATCTTCCTCCACTGGTGCCCCGCCAGCGTATACCGTTGTCGCAGACGGGTGCACAATTCTATTATCTATAAAAAAAACCTGCAACCTTAAGGGGGTGGGGATAACCCGGTTGCTCCTATAACAATACTTATTGTACCCCAACCTGCACACTCTTAAGAGGGTGGGATAGACCTGGTTACCCTTATAACAATACTTATTGTATCTAGGTTTCCTATGGGGTCGAGGCCCCAACTTGCACACTCTTAGGGGGGTGTTGATGACCCGGTTGTTCCTTTAATAACACTTACTGCACTTCGGTTTTGTAAGAGGTCGAGGCCTCAACCTGCACCCTCTTAGGAGGGTGTTAATGATCCGGGTGTTCCATTAATAACACTTACTACACCTCGGTTTCATAAGGGGTCGAAGCCTCAACCTGCACTCTCTTAGGGGGGCGTTAATGACCCGGTTGCACTTTTAAGGGGATGACCCGGTTGTTCCTTTATAAATACTTATTGTACCTTGGTTTCCTATGGGGTCTGTACAGCGTGAAGTCTATGTTGGATGTACTGAAGTCACAACGCTTCCTCTCCACGCACTCGCCACTGAGACCCTTGCCTGTTTTACAATACAAGGGCGTCGTCCTTTCTGGAAATATTTTTCTTTTAATAATAAATATCAATAATATCTTTGGACAATTCACACAGCGCCATCTAGTCCCAAGTGAAGCAGAGTTTATATTACGAGTACTAAACAACTGATTTAAATACATAGATACTTTGTTTTCATCATATTCAGGAATACAGGAGTTTGTAACGTGCGAGGAATCAAACCCGCTGCCACCGGAAGTAAAGCGGTGTGCCACCGGGACCTCTATTTTTACTGTTCATGGTGTTTTTAGGTAACTGTAAGCCTTTCGTTTATATCAAAGAAGTGTAATGTCTTTATTATTATTATTACCTATTATTCGCGTCGCAGCACAACTTTGGCGCCATTTTCTCAAGCACATAGATGTATTATGCTACTCGATAAAAAAGAAGCAATTTTCCGTGTAATTTTTTATTGATCTTGTAAAATAAGGTTTAGTTAGAGTTTTGATATTAGATAGTTTAGAAATTTATGTTGTTGAGTACTGACCTGTTATTAAAGAAGTATCTGATATGGGCAATTCTGTTGGTTCCGATGCCTGTGTTATATTTTCCATCGTGTTGTTCGTTGTCAAAGCCTCCGTTTGGTTACACACTGCCTTATTGTAATCCAAAATTATACTTAGCAGTAATACTCTGAAATATATAATGGTAAAACAATTTTAGTTGGTATTAACTGTGCCGCGGGTTCACCTGCGTTAAATATTGTAATTTGAACATAAAATTCTCGTGTCACAGGTTTCGTGTTTATACTCTCCGAAACGGCTTGACCGATTTTGATTAAATTTTATATACATTAAATATTCAGTAGGTCTGAGAATAGGTTTATAACTAATTTTTATACCCCTAAGTGTTAAGGTGGCTCGCCCCAAAACATTTCTTTTCATTTTTTCGACCTCTTTTTTTATTTTTATATTATGTGGCATTAAAAATACACCCTTAAAATTTCACCCTTCTAGCATCAACCCCTATTTTTTAATATCGTCATTAATACTTAAATTTATATGATAAAACAATGTTTGTCGGGACAGTTAGTTTCAATATAAAATATAGCATATGTGTTATTCTGATGTATAAGCTATATTACTGTAAAGTTTCATCAAAATCCGTTCAATAGTTCTTGGGTGAAAGAGTAACAAACATCCATACTTACAAATTTCGCTTTAATAATATTATTTAAGATTTGGTTTTTGCTTGCTAGCGATAAGAAACAAGGTTTCTCTAGAGACTACAGCATCGGGTTTTTCAAGAAGTGTATATTACCGTTTCTTATGAGTCGGCAACGCGTGTATGTGACACCTCTAGTGTGTAAGGCGTCCATAGGCTACGGTAACCGTTTACCATCAGATGGTCCGCATGATTGTTTGCCACCATCGTAGTGTAAAAATAAGAGATGGATGTACTATGTAACTAAAACCCAATATATTGTACGTAACAAGCCTTGGATGTTATAATCAGTCAGCGAATTAACATCATATTTCTGAACCAACGACCGCGCCCTACCGCATGGTGGTGAAACCTTATTTTCCATATTTTTCCGCAATTTCCCACTAGATGATATGGCAAGAAGGTGAGTAAATAAAGAGATGACTGCGAACAAGGATGAATGGAAGAGAAAACATATTACGCCGACCACAAATAAATGGGATAAGGAAGAAGCAGAAGATCATGTTGACTATGATAACATGGTCTTTTGCGATTTGCAGTCCAATTAGTACCTTGCCGTTTATTATTGTGGCTTTATTAATAGTATTTTTTTCTTTATCTGCCTTGGCACGTTTGTATTATTATTTGCCAATGACAATATCTTCATTTTCAAATGCATTGATCACAATTTACTTGACGTCCGTCTGTCAGTGGTCAAGTTGTCAAAGGTGCATCAAAAATGATGGGTTGTGTATTTTTTTTTTATGAATGATAATGGAATGCACCCGCTTCCGCAAACGGTTTACTCTGGCGGGGACCAATAGAGGGTGATAAGATGAATGTGAGGTCAGGTCAGTTACACCATCGTAGCAATTTACCATGAATTTACCACGATGGTTACCGGCTGGAACCGCGTGGATGTCAACCAGACATGGTACATTGCTAGCAATCAGATCATCAGTCCATATTACTAACAATCATTGTATATTCATCTGACAAGTTTGAATTTCCGCCCCCGTAACTGCGGCGCCCGAGGCACTGGCCCTGCCTGCCTGTTGCCGGCAAGGTCCGGGACTGGACCTAGGATGTAGCGCTCTTACCCAGAAGAAATTTATTCACCATGAACTTGAAGAGTTCGGTGTTTTTTTATCAATATAATTCTTATATTAGATATTTGGTGCAATATAAAGTTAATGAATAAAATAATCAATCAATATCATGTTAGTTGATGTTCTCGGTGGTATAGTGGTTTAGCACATCGTTTTGCTTCCGATGGTCGCGAGTTCGATTACTCGCACGCTAAACATTTGCATGAGTATGATTGTGCGAATTGTTCAACTTGGGAATAGATGGCGCGAGTGAATTCATATTTTACTTTAATTATTTCCACATTTTCAATGGTACTAGATTCAAATCGCGGATAATACAAACATTTGTATAACACACGATTTGTCTAAACTAAGCAGACTAAGTAGAGTTTGCTACAAAAACCTTAAAAACATTTTTTTTTAAATATATACATAATATACATAGAAAAAACACAATCCAATACAAACAATTATAAGTCATGAATACAAATGCATCGTGCGAGGAATCGAATCCGCGGTGTGCTAAACTGATATACCACCGAGGTGGTTAAGCGGTAATATTATTATTAAAATAAGAATGAATATTTAAATGTTTAAATGTAAATTACTCGTGCCTGAATTAAAGGATAAAATCAATATAAAAATTTTACTCACAATATATATAATGGAGCAGCCATATTAAGGAAACAAATCACTTTCACTGCATAAATAGAACTAAAATATAGGTCTCTAGTCACTTATTATTATGCCAGCAAACTATATAATTTTGATCTATCTGAAAAACATGATTTTATATCACAAACATATTTTCCCGTTAGATGATAAATATAATTTCTCCCTAATTGCACTTATAATTAAAATGTAATTACACGATAACCTCGTGGCCTCTATATCAAGTTACCGTTGCCACTCATTGAATAGATGACAAAGTAAAAAAATTAAGGTTAAATTATAATTATTACAAAATATATGAGTAGGCAGTATGAGTCGATTCTCTTCGCCTGTCCGATTTGAACTAATTATAAAACAACAATCAATGCAGGCTTCGGCTCGACTCACTTCGAAAACATTTTTTTATAAAACCATTGTTTATTTGCACGGGATATTTCTAAGCAACGCTTTTGCATATATTAATTTTGAAGGTTATACCCGCATGTGCAAGTGAAGTAAATTATTGCGAGAAAACTTCATTAAATTAAATAGAACATGTTTCTCCATTATAATATAGATAAATCAGACCTATCATTATTTATTGGGGTTATACGAGCAGAAGTAGCACAGTAGCCTCTCAATGTACAGATGTCCAAAAACATTTTTTTGTAAATATATACGTAGAAAACGGTACATACAAATATTTGTACCGTGCGAGGAATCTAACCTGCGACCATTGGAAGTAAGGCGGAGTGCCAAATCGTTAAATCAACGAAACTCGTATTTTTACTACAGATTCTCATATGTACACTATAGGAACAGCAGGACGACCCTGGCTCTGCACGGGTGTTCAAAAAATTTCCAAAATAATAAATTTATAAATCGTATTTATATTTATTAAAATATGTCAATAATATGCATGTATAATACATATAAACCTTCCTCTTGAATCACTCTATCTATTACTGAAAACTGCCTTAAAATCCGTTGCGTAATTTAAAAGATATAAGCGAGCAGACAGCGGTTGCGACTTTGTTTTATACTATGTAAAGATATATATTTTACTTATATAATTCACTATATAATAATAACTAGCTTTTTCCCGCGGCTTCGCTCGCGTTAATTTATCCCCTTAGGGGTGGAATTTATCAAAATCCTTTCTTAGGGGATGCCTACGTCATAGTAGCTTTATGCATGCAGTCGCAGCCCGATCGGTTTAAAATTGACAAAGTTTCATACAAACTTTCATCCCCTATTTTATCTTGTAGAATTATTTTATTTAGCGGAACGTTTATTTATTCAGATCGGTTTAAAATTGACAAAGATAAAATTATTCAAAATTATTCAAAATCCTTTCTTAGCGGATGCCTACGTGCAAAGTCTAGAACGAGTTTAAAATGAAGTTTCATAAAACCTTTCATATTTTCATAGAATTATTCAAAATCCTTTCTTAGGGGATGGCTACGTCATAGTAACTTTATGCATGCAAAGTCTCAGCCCGATCGGTTTAAAATTGAAGCCGCGGGCAAAAGCTAGTTATAAATAATATACATTATCACAGAACTCACAATAGTACTGCGACATACTGTAAATAAACATATTCTGTTTTAATACCATACTATATAAAACGGCAGCTACCTGTATAAATATACAACTACACGGGAATTTATAATGTACATCTATACATATAAATAAAATTGGAGTGTCTGTTTGTAATATTGAAATAACCGTTTTTTACTACATGCATATGAATAACGATACATACCCACACCAAAATAACATTTTTCACAATTTTTGTCTGTCATTCTGTCTGTCTATTTGTTCCGGCTAATCTTTGAAATGGCTGGACCGATTTTGACGGAACTTTTGGCAGGTAGCTGATGTAATAAGGAGTAACTTAGAATACTTTTATTATTGAAAAATTCTTTTATTTTAGAATAATAAAGTTAAAGTCGCGAGTACAGCTAGTAATAGTCTTCAAGCTAAAGTACATAGACAAAAATGTGGCAGATTGTTACGAGGCTCTGAGTATGTCTGTATATTTTAAAAACGAACCCAGCTCGGTCGCGCAGATACTTATTGTAGACAACTGCCTCCTACACCTATGATTTATTTTCCTTAATTTAATAGACCTTTAATAGACCCCCCCTTCCGCTACTCCCGCCGTATAAGGAAAATAGAAACTACGTAACTATACTGCATAGTAATATTTTGATATTTTATGAAATAGACTTTACTGTCTTAATTTTAAAGTAGAATCTTCCAAAATTTCTGTCATTCGCCGTATAAGGTACGTTACCTACGCAACTATACTGTGTTAACGCAAAAAAATATTTTTTTCAAATCCACTTTACTGCGTTAAAGTCGAATTCCGAAATTTGTAAAATATTACTCAATGGACTTAACTTTTTTGTTTTATTTCTTATCAATATAGGAAAGGCAAAGAGTCTAAGCCCATACAGCCGTTGTATGTTGTATCTCTTATCCTATAATTTCACTCCCTAATCTGCGCCCTACAAGAAATACAGCTTTTATACAAAGTAAACTGCTTGGTGCCGATAAGTGTTTAAAGCGAGGATCCTAAAGACTTAAACTAGATTTTGCACCTGTATTACAGATATCAATACCTTCATGAGGAGTATAGTTAGGTAATGCAGTTCATTGTTAGGCGTGGCGCATAGTAATATTTCTTTTACACTATTCATGTATTTAAAAGTCTCTTTTACCATTTACCATCAGATGGCTTGTTTACCATCCAGTTACCAAAATAATGATACCTATAAAGGTTCTTTAAATCAACTCAAAGGCCTTTAAAAATAAGCACAGATTACTATATCAGAACCCGTAGTTTCTGTTCCCCCCTCCTGTTTCTCCTTAGCGAAAACATCACCTGGACGCTAGTACGTGACCCATCCGCTTGATCTCCCGTCCAATTCAAACGGGGATCGAAATTACGAAAGGGTTCGAAACCCTAAAGTGCTCTCAGACTAAAGTCGTATACGTCAGGTGTTATCCTTCAGTCGCTACATAAGTCCTTCCTTTGGTTTGGAGTGCCATCTGCACTCGCCCCTTATCGTCCGATGAAGCTGTAAAGGGCAGCTGCGTTCATCAGTATTAGAGAAGTCCGAAAAAAAAAGCTGGTACGTGTTAAGGAGCCCAGGAAACTCTATCAGGAATCTACTTGGCTGACAAATTTACAATTTTCCCTAACAAAGGTAATAAAATTAAAATAACAAATCATAAGCAATTTATTAAATGCAAATTAAATATTCATAACAATTGAAATTAATTGAATTTTCACATTATTTAAAAACATTATTTTGTATAATATATAATAATATCTCAGGACAATTAACACAGCGCCATCTAGTCCCACGCTAAGCAGCTTAGAGCTTGTGTTATGGGTACTAGACAATTGATATAAAAACTTAGATACATTGTTTTTTTGTAGATACATATATAATATACTTAGATCACACCCAGATCGATACAAAAATCATATTCGTGAATACAAATATTTGCGCCGTGCGAGGATTCGAATCAACAACCACCGGAAGTAAAGCGGTGTGCCAAACCGCTAGAACTCCGAAGTCGTCATATTTTAAAAAATATTAAGCATCTTCATCATTGCCACTATCATTTGAAACCTCACCATCACCTATAAACACATCCTCCTGCACCATTATAGGCATTTTAACTTTATTATTCGTTTGTAACATCGAAGCCATAGCCATTCCTGTTCCGAAACTATACTCTATGGGTCGTAGACTCTCATCTTCCTTGTCTATGGACGCTCTTTTATCCGGATGTTGTTTCTTTCTGACCGCTCTGTGGCGGCGTACATCTTTCAATAATGCCACTTGTCTTTCGTAAAATTCAAAATCACTCTCCGATGACGACGGCGAAAGGTCTAGATCGCGTTTTGTAACTTTATAATGATTTCTAGAACTTTCTGGATTGTCGAAACCGTTAGTTTTGCTGCCAGTACCATTTTCTATTTTATCTGTAGTAGATTCTATTGGCTGTACACGTTTATACCATTTAATAATTATTAATTGTTTATTATTACATTCAATTGTTATGAGATTATTCTTAAAAACTAAATTTAAGTTTGCCTCGTATGGACTAACTATATCACTGACCTTTTCATATGTTCTACTTTTTAAATTGTATTTTTTTAATCTATTACTTTTATGATGTATTTTATAGTTGTGGAATAACCTTCTTCTGCGTTTCTTAGTTTTAATTTTTCGTATAAAACCTTTTTGGTCAATATATTCTTGTAAACTTATTTGTTTAGGAAACTCCGGAACGTTGTCTTTCAATTCGGGCATAGTTTTCACTAACGCTTGCCTCTCCCTTTCGCGCATGACGTCCTCTCGCTTCCCCAATTTCCTTCTCAACTCACTCAGTACAATTTTAGTTGTCTCTCTTTCTTTCTGGCCAGGTGCAGTCAACGAATCCCCGGCGGGCTGTATGGCATCAACGTCATCGTCCGTTCTGACGAAATAGAAAACCTCATCTTTCGCTTCTGGTTCTTTGTCTTCTATTTTCAAAATTCCCGCGCTTTCAATTTCAGGCTCGTTCTCTTCAAAAACATCAGCATCGTATTTATCACATTTGCTTTTAATTTTCTTCAATCTTAACTGCGAGTTTTGCATCGTTGTCAGAGATTTCGTTATAACATCAATAATTTCGTCAATATCATTACTAAGTACATTCAAATCTAATTCCTGATTATTTAGCGCGCACGAATCTAGAAAAACATCTAAAGCATTACACTTATTCATAGACAATTTCAATTCTAAACACGTTCGCGCTATGCCACTGTGAATGTCGCTGTACATCCAATTGTCTATGACCGCTGTGCCTAACTTTTTGTTATCTGTTTCGCTGCTGCCGAAGTTTTTTAGTAATCTGTACATTCTGTTGAGAGCGTCGTGATTCTGCTTGAACTCCTCGGTTAGGTGCGGTATGAGGGTGGTGTGGAGCCAGTATATTCTCTCATTGTGGTTTCTGTAGATGCGTTGTGCTTGCAGTGAGGGTATGTAATGCGCCATCGCAATATGTTTGAGCAACGTCGACTGCACTACTAGGAACGCGTGGTGGATTTTCTGCAATAAATTTAACTGTTTAATAATTCATTTATTACAATTTTAACGCACAAATAAAAGTGCATATGGCGAAGTTAACATCTTAAGGCATTTTCTGCCAGTCAACCATAGCGTAAACATAGATTTATGTGGGCAGTGCATTTAAAAACAACATATCACATATTATTTGTTTTTTTTTCGTTTGTTCTTTATATTGTATTTTTTACATTGCACTGAATAAAATATTTTTCTTTCTTTCTGAGATTTTTTGTTAAATAGACTGTATCTAGTTCCAAGATAATCAGAAGCCAGACCGATAAAACTATCATACTCATGAATTCAAAATGTTTGTACAGTGTGAGGAATCGAACGGGACCACCAGAAGTATTCGGTGATATACCGCTAGACCACAAAGGCTGTGAAATAATTTGTGTTATTGATTTTACCCTGGACAATTAACACAGCGCCATCTTATTAATAATGAATATTGAATGCTAGCTGTTTCCCGCTATTTCATCTATTTTTTAGACAAATATTAGTTATCTCTCAGATTTATCTCTCTGATTAAGATTCGTTCTACGGTTGAATGTATAAAAAGGAAAGGTAAAGGAACATACCGTCAAGTTATCGTCCTGATCGCGTACCACAGCATCCCAGGCCACGTCTGCGACCAGCCAGGGCGCGTTGCCTAGCAACGCGGACGAGGCACGTGACATGAGGACAGACAGCTCGCTCTGCTGCCGCCGCAGCATCGTATGGGTGGAGTCTATCGCGAATGATATGGACCCTCTGGAAAAACATAGTTTTAATATGTTTTTTTTCTTATGTGCAGTCAGTCCTGGAACTATGAGCAGATCTTTTGGGTGTGGGAGCTGAGATGATGTCCACACAGCGAGAGGATCTGCTCCTTAATAATACTGAAAAACATTACATAATGTCGCTTCTTTTTAGGCGCTTATATCCCTCTCCCTCGCTTAAGCCCTCAAATATGAATAATTTTCCCCATTTTTGTATTATTTTTCACTGAAGCTTTGCTCCTATTGGTCGTAGCGTTGTGTTATATAGCTTAAAGCCTCGACGAATGGACACAAAAAGAAATAAATATAAATCATCATCTACTTCTTCCTTATCCCATTTATGTGTGGCTATCGTAATATGTTTTTCTCTTCCATTCATCTCTGTTCGCAGTCATCTCGTTATTTACTCCCTTTCTCACCATATCATCTTTCACACAGTCCATCCAGAAATAAATATAAATGAACTTTTTAATTTTTTTATTACTTCTTTTAGGTTTAATCGTCTACAACGACTCACTGATTCATTTTACGTATAATATTGGTCATTGAGGTGATAGAGCAATTTATTTTACATGTAAAAATCAAATAATAGTAATAATAAGACTTACACATTTTAAAATATCTAAGCTAACAACCGAAATTGGGATTTTTTTGGTAAAAAACAATTAAATTCAAATTTCTCGAAAACGGTTAGTATTCAGATAGGGTGTCTCATAGTGAAATCTTTCAGAAATTATGTAAACTATATGCCCTTAACGGAAATAGGTTAATACAATCACCTGTATAAGTGTAAACAAACTTACAGTTGTGCATGCAACGCGGCGTATTCCTTGAGACAAGCGGCCGCCCGGCGAGCGAGTGCTAGGTAATCGCGCATGCTCGACAGCAGGGCGGCGAGCGAGCCGCCGCACGACGCGCGGTGTACGGCCCGTAGAGCCACCGGTACTGACAAATACGCGAGCATGTTCGCCAACGAGGACTTCTGCAGACTAAATAATATATAAATCAATACATATTGGTATTTATTATATTGGTTTGTATTTATTAGTTGTAATTTTGTTTTAATTATTATCATTAATATTTTAAATAGTGCCCTCTCTCTCACCCCCTTTTATATATATATTTTTGGTGCCACTGAAAACCAGCTGTATGTTCACCTAGGACATACATTAAAGCTGAGTGGAGCCATTTCAGTGCATTATTGGATGTAAAAAAATGTTTATTTTATGTTTATTTTTTAATTATGGTAAATTAAGTTTAATTATATGTACATTTTATTTGCTCTTTTTTTTTCGTTTGTTGTTTATATTGTATTTTTTACATTGCACTGAATAAAATATTTTTCTTTCTTTCTTTCTTTCATATAAATGAAATTGGAGTATCTGTTGAAATAACCGTTTTTTACTGAATACATACTACATATGAATATAGTATATACACCAAAATAACATTTTTTACAATTTTTGTCTGTCTGTCTCTGTTTCTTCAGGCAAATTTCTGAAAAACTTCGCAAAATAGCACCTAATTCCTTATAAGACAAAATTTGCAGAAAAAATTACCTCCTTGGGGGAAATGCCGCTATACAAGCAGAGACAGCTAACAATGTTGCTATCCCCTCCCCTTTAGTAAACCAGCCAGTTTTCCCCCCACCAGCGGTCCGCCACACATCCTCGGGAGAAGGCACCTCCTGTTCCACTGCTATGCTGTCCTCTCTGAACATGAGGCCGCTCTCCAAGATCGATATAATGTGATGTCTACTGTACAGTAACTGAAATATATCATCAGTATTTAATAATAATAATAATCCTGGACAATTAACACAGCGCCATCTAGTTTTACGGTAAGCAGATAGCTTGTGTTGTGGGTACTAGACAACTAATACAAATACTTAGATATATATTTTTTAATAAGTACATAATATACAGAGAAAACACCCAGACCGATACAAACAATCTTACTTATGAAGACAAATTATTGCACCGTGCGAGTAATCGAACCTGCGACTATCGGCAGAAAAGCAGTGTACTATACCGCTAGACCACCGAAGCCTTCAATTTCTAAACGAAATTAAAAAGACTATTATTTTGTTACTTAAGTAACTTCTTATTTACTTATTGTCTACTTTGTTATTTGGCAGTTTGTAGTCACACAAAATTCTTAAATATATAATTCCGAACAATATTTATTTAAAAGAGCAACACACAAGTTTCTTCTCTGCTAAATAAATATGCACAATGCACATGCAGTACCAGTAAACAGGTACTGCCATACCTTTTATTTTTATTTATAGTAATATATGTCGCTTCCTTTTAGTTATCTTGTACATGTGTTCCATTTTTTTTTTCTATTTGTTTCTTTACTGCCAACCTTTACTAGCTATGAACCCCATTGTGTTCACCACTCGCCTTAATATAGCTCACCTTGGTACCTCAATTCATATTAATAGATATAAGGTATAAAATATAGTCTCAGCCTGGAAGAGGTCCAGTGCTGGACATAGGTCCCCAAAGAGCAGGACGATCAGTCCTGCGCTGCTCGCATCCATCGCCTTCCAGCGATCTTAACCAGATCGTTAGTCCACCTTGCTGGAGGCCTTTCTACGCTGCGTCTTCCGGTCCAGATGGTGATAAAATTTAGTATCTTAATTTATACTTTTTTTATTATTATTTAAAGTATATAACATCTATCGCTTCCTTTGTGGCGACATCCTTTTGGCCTATTTCTTAATTTATAATAATAAAGTATAAACAAAATTAGACCTTACCATATTGGGTCTGAATTTTATGGCCAGCCATTTTCTGGATAGTATTGGCGGAGTGAAATCCTGTTTCATATATAACGCCATCTGTAAATTATATTTTTAATATTAAAAATATCTTATCTGTGATATAACTTTTATATATATATATACATATATATATATAATTAAAAGAATGGTCAAATATGTGATTAGTCCCTAACTTAAATTAAGTTGTACATATTGTCCCTTATTAGTGATGTGTCTATTTGTAATCTATGTTAAGTTTCTGGTCATAGGGATTAACTAGTTCCTAAATTAGGTTAAATTATTATTGTCCTAGAGCTTAGAGAAGTCTCTATTTTTAATTTCTATATTAACTTATTGTTCATAAGATTGATACTCTGCTTGTTTGCCACTTTATAATATAATATATATAGTGGTAGAAGAACTAGAAGTAAAAAAATAAAGATTAAAAAATAAAAAAAAAATATATAGTAGCCCCCAAATATGTACTTATATACTATACATAAGTGTAGATTAAAGAAAGTAATTAAATAGAAGATAGGTTGAAAGATGTTAACATGTACAGAAAATAATAATATCACACACATCACATGAAACATAAGTAAGATCATCCGAAATGAACCCGGGGTTAATTGTCCCGGAGGTAATGCCGGGGCAAAGGGGTTCACTCTGATCCTCTAATATCCTCCCATAGAAAGGTACAGAAGACCCAGTCTAACAATAATATTTATAAAAATACTTAATCAATCAGCTGATCAGAGTAATTTCCAATTTACTCTGTGGTTATGACAATCCAATATTACATAAATAATTCAATATTACTTACGTTTGAATAATTTAATTACATCACACACTTATTGAATGAAACAAATATTGTTTCTAAAATTAGATTTCTTGGAAAGTCTTTTCATATCATTCTATCTTAAATATTCACAAAATAGTGAAACATTGTTTTTCGCAGACTCAGAGTAAAAACAAAAATTAATACAACAGATTTGACGTTTAGCAGTAAGACTGACAGTTTGACTGGTGACAATGATGTTTGACAGGTTTGTACATTTTTTTGTGTTCTGTTTATCCTGTAAAGGATAGGCAATGGGGACTGTATCTATACAGCCATGACTTTTTACTATAGTTTGACAACGCTTCAATTATCTCTTAATTATAGTCTCCTTTGCCATTCTTAACGGACAAGCAGGACAAGTTTTTCGTTATCAGTTGCCAACTTCGTATGATTTTTAATGAATAAGTTTTATTTTATGGTTGGTTATGGAATTATCACGATGGTTTCCAGAGGGAACTGTATAGAGGTCGAGCTGACCTGACAGTGTACTAAACACTGCTAGCAATGGGCTCATGAGTCCACATTGCTAACAATCCTCTTCCCTCCAGATAAGGCACTGAAATGACAGAGCATGACATTTTAGTCATCCTTATCACATGTCAATGAGATACCTGGTGCTGTTTATGTCCACAGGCGACAGTTGCCACTTACCATCGAGCGTGCCAATAATTTGCTTGCCTTGCTTGGATGTTGATAAAAGGGTGAAAATTTACAGTTGTATGTATTTTAATGTCAATGGGGGGTAATCTCCTTACCCTTGTAATAACAATAGATGTTAGCAATGTGGACTAAAAATCTATTACTAGCAATGTACCATGTCAGTAGTTAACGTCCACGCGGTTCGCCCTAGAAACCATCGTGATAAAGTCTTGTCACGATGGGTTAACTGACTTGACCTCATATTCAACCTATCATCCTCCACTGGTGCTCCGCCACCGTAAACCATTAGCGCAGGCGTGTGTACCATTCCATTATCATCAATAAAAAAAATTTGGTGTGGTGGGCCGGTTATCACTTAGGGGTGTAAAAAAAATAATAACAACCTGTTCTCAAACCTACAGAGTGTAAAAAATTTCAACAAAATTAAGCCCTTTCGGAGAAGTATGGCAACTCACACTGACCCGAGATATTTATATATATCAGATAATAATAGAGGCTAATAACATCAACGTGAACAAAACAAAACCGGTATAAAGCTGGTATAAAATAAAACAAAATGATTTACTTACAGGGCACTGCTCGAAGTGGACATCCTTGTATATTCAAGCATATTTTTGCATTGAACTGAGGTCTTCCGCGTTATTAATCAGTACATACTGTAAATACAAGGATTTATGTTTTTAATTTTAAAAAGCTTTTGTAAAGAATCCGTGAACTTCTTGGGCATATATATGATGGAAATACCTATATTTTAAAATATTCTATATTGCAAGATGTAGCTATGAATCATTGTAAATTAATAAACAATAAATTGTGTAGCTACTAACTTATTTTTTTATAACTTTTTTGCATGAAATTAATAAACTGGTTAGGCAGTATGTTAATTTATGTTCTATGTTTTTGTCGGCAAACAAACATATGGTCCATATTATCTTCCATATACATATACTTTTCTTTACTAGTACTGGCACGGTACACTCTTTGTTTTTCGATGTTACATTGTTTCTTTTGTTCTTATCATATTGCATTCCTATCATACTCCTTTGTAGACATATACCAAATATTTTTTTATTGAAACTTGCAGTTTTCTACCCAAAAACCCTCACAGATCAGACCGGAGTCCTGAAATATGTAACTGGCCGCTGATAAAGCGAAATACTTTTAAATAAAAAATAAAAAAAAGAATGAACGCCCGCCATCTTTAAATTTTGTTTATTAAAAATGTCATATCAATTAGACATTTCGGTCCGCTTTTTCGCATTAAATCATTATTAATCGCGACATAGAATTCCTAGACGAAGTTACCGTGTGTGTTTAGTGTTGATACAAACTATTTCGCGAGTGTGGTTCGTCATATTCCGCAGGAGACTGCCTCCGTTTCCCTGTCATCCGGACGTGTTCTGCCTGGACCCGGGGTGCGTGTTCTTTAACAGTGCTCTGGATTGGATTGCAGGTCAGTGGGTACCGTTATTTTAGGGGTATTTGTTGCCGGGCAATTAGGGGCTATATAATTTTGTGGAAGGACGCCCTTTCGGTCCGATTAAGTGACTATTTACTCGAACTGTAGTTAGTAATGTTACTTATAGGTTTTAAGCATTGAGTACCTCTGTGGTCTAGCGGTTTAGCACACCGCTTTACTTCCGATGGTCGCGGGTTCGATTCCTCGCACGGTGCAAACATTTGTATTCATGAGTATGGTTGTTTGTATCGGTCTGGGTGTTTTATAGATTTTTGTAAATACATAATATATATAGAATATATTATGTATTTACAAAAATCTATGTATTTATATTAGTTGTCTAGTACCTACCATAACACAAACTCTGCTTACCGTGGGACTAAATGGCGCTGTGTTAATTGCCCAGTTTTATTATTATTACTAGCTGTTCCCGCGACTTTGTCCGCGTGGAATTTAACTTTTCTAAAATAACCGTAGCCTAAACTTAGATGTAAAATAAAAGTTACTCCTTATTACATCAGCTACCTACAAAAAAACGTCCCGTCAAAATCTGTCCAGCCATTTCTGAGATTAGGCGGAACAAACAGACCGACAGACAATAATTGTAAAAAGTGTTAATTTGGTGTATGTACCGTATTTATATGAAAATAGTAAAAACGGTTATTTTAATATTACAAACAGACACTCCAACTTTATATGTATAGATGCATAGATTATAAGCAAATTTCTGAGTACAGAGTACCATAATTGAGGTAGACCAGTCTGTAAAAATTCGTCTACGTATGTACCTCAGTCTCACCTATTTCAGCCGCCAAGCAGTTTTTTAATAGTGATTCAAGAGGAAGGTTTATGTATAATACATGTACACCCGGGCGAAGCCGGGGCGAGTAGGTAGTTATTATATAAACTCTATTTCAGCTAGGCTGCTATGCTTTGTAAGCTGTTTCGGTTGTAGGGTGCAGATTAGACAGTGAAATTACAGAGTAAGAGGCGTGACATCTTAGTACTCTGGAATAGCGACGAATGAGTGATATCACATGATAATGTGATAGAGATTTGTAGCGCGGTGATTATCACCTCATCACTGTAGCATTATATATGTTGTGATGAAGTGTCGCTACATAATATATTTGTTGTAGTATGTAGGTAGTGAGTATACATGTATAAATGAAAATGTGGGTCACTTGTGCAAATGGGTGTACCTCAAGGATCTATTCTCGGTCCTTTTTTATTCCTAGTTTACATTAATGATCTCCCATATGCCATGCAGGATAGATGCGGCATAGTATTATTTGCAGACGATACTTCATTGATTTTTAAAGTTAATAGAATGACTAATAATTATGACGATGTAAATAGTGCTTTGCGGCGTCTCCTGCACTGGTTTACAACTAACAATCTTATGTTAAACGCTAAAAAAACAAAATGTGTTAATTTCTCTCTGTCTAAAAGTTTTAATACTAATTGCAATATTAAATTAAATGACGAATCTCTCGAATTTATAGAATCTACTGTCTTTCTAGGAATCACACTAGATAATAAAACACAATGGGGTGCACAAATTCAAAGCCTTGCAGCGAAACTAAGTTCAGCAGCTTTTGCCGTGCGTAAGGTTAGACAGTACACTGATACTGATACTGCTAGATTAGTCTATTTTAGTTATTTTCATAGTTTACTCTCTTATGGAATATTACTATGGGGAAAAGCGGCAGATATTAAAAATATATTCATATTACAAAAACGTGCCGTTCGAGCGATCTACTGTATGAAGAGTCGTGACTCATTAAGAGAGAAATTCAAAGAGGCAAATATTCTCACCGCTGCTTCTCAATTTATATATTCAAATATCCTATATGTTCATAAAAATCTTGACTTATTTCCAAAAAACAGCAATATTCATAATATTAATACAAGATTTAAAGACAAACTTGCTGTCCCCAAGTATCGTTTAGAAAAAGTTAATAGGTCTTTTATGGGAATAGGTATAAAAATTTACAATAAGATACCAAAGGATATGTTGGAATTACCCTTAAATAAATTCAAAACATCTGTTAAATCATATTTACTGAGCAAAGCCTATTACTCACTAAACGATTACTTGAATGACGAGTGTGCATGGCAATAGTTGTTCATGCACTGAATTTTCATTTAATGTTAGACATAGACACCTATATAAATATACATTGTAACTAAACTGGCTTTAAAAAAAAAGTAATTCAATTGAGTTTCTTGCCAGTTCTTCTCAATTGGATCTATATACCGAACTGGACGGTAGGGAAAAAAATAAAATTATAATGTAAAAATTTGACGTTCATAAGCGGCTAAAATGTCCTACATGAATAAATGATTTTTGAATTTTGAATTTGAATTTGAATTTGAATAATTGTACTATTTATTGTACATTAGTAAGTTTATTATATAATGTGCTACATGACTTATTAGTAACGCGTACATTCGACGCGGAGTCGTAACGTGGACTGACTTTACATTTAAATCTATTTAATTAATGGAGACATAAGCTAATGGAAATATTTCAAGTGTTACAGAAATATTACAAGTGTAAGTACAGGGTCACAAGTGTAGCCGCGTGGTGATCAACCTGACACATGGAAAACTCTTCTGCTTTGTATGTTTCGGTTGTTCGGTGCAGATTACCTACATAGGTAGTGAAATTACAGTATGAGAGGATGGAGGACATCTTCGTCTTCTGGAATGGCAATGGATGAGTGTTATCACATGATAACGTGATATAGTCTCTAGGGGTAGCCGCGTGGAGGCCAACCTGACACGATATATTGCTAGCAATGGAAAACTCGTCTGCGTGTGTACCTCAGTCACACCTATTTCAGCCACCAAGCAGTTTGCTTTGAAGTCTACTTCGGTTATAGGGTGCAGATTAGGCAGTGAAATTACAGGGTAAGAGGCGTGACATCTTGATCTTCAGAAATGGCAACGCGTGAGTGGTATCAACAGCATATGTAGGACTGTTCATGTATATAAAGGACTGTTACTTAACATAATGGTAATTTCAGAGGGGAAACGTGATTGTTAGTTGTTGTTAGCAGTTAAAAGATACGGAATTTATTTAGTAGAAACAAAGAACAAAACATGTCACACAGTACAAGGATTGTACACAAGAGAGAGAGAAAAAGAAAGAGATTTTTTTTTGTGAACAATAGTGGCAGTCGCAGCTGGCCTTTACAGCTTCACCGGACGATAGGGGGCAAGTGCAGATGGCACTCCAAACTAAAGGAAGAACTTATGGAGCGGCTGAGGGTCATCTCCCGCCTGACGGATACGACGCGGGGTTCGAACCTCGGCTCAGGCCGTCGTAATTTCAATCCCCGTTTTGGGGTTTTCAAGAGGAAGGTTTATATCTATTACTATGTGTACTCGGACGAAGTCGGGGCGAGTAGCTAGTCTTTACGAAATTAACTGTCTGTTCGCTTAGATCTTTTAAACTACGCTACAGATTTTAATGTAAATTTTAGCAATGGATAATGTTTTAAAGGGAAGTTTTATGTATATGTACAATACATGTATACCCGTGCGAGGTCGGGGCAGGTCAATAGTCTTTACCATATTATCAAATAAAATCGCTGCTGTTGTCTGTTTTAAATTACTCAACGGATTTTAATGCAGTTTTTAACAATAGAGTGAATCAAGTGGAAGGTTTATATGTATAATTCATGTACACGAAGCCGGAGCGAATAGCTAGTTCAAAATAAACTACGGATGAAACCATAAGACGCGACTAGTAATAAATGTTTCTTAATAAGTTAGTTATGCAGTAGATTAAATGTTTGTAATCGTATTACAAAACTTTTGGCCGAGCTACGTAGAACTAGGAAGGAAAAGTGAAATGGCGACCGGTTGCCGAACGCGACCTCTAAATAGTGATGTGCTGTGGACCTTTATACCTTTTATATCGATAAAAAATACCTGTAGCTTTTCTTTATAATAATAATAATAATAATAACAATATTAATAATCATTATCATTACATAGTATAAAACAAAGTCGCTGTCGCTGTCTGTCCCTATGTATGCTTAAAATTTTAAAACTGTGCGACGGATTTTGAAGCGCTTTTTTATATATAAATATATGTACACCCGTACGAAGCCGAGGCGAGTAGCTAGTAATAATAATAAAAATACAACTAAAGTAAAAAAAAGAAAATTTAATAATAATAATAATGTCAATGGACCATTCACACAGTGCCATTCAGTTCCAAGCCAAGCAGAATTTTGTGTTATGGGTACTAGGTAACTGGTATAAATACAGAGATACATTTTTTATGTATAATATACATAGTAGACACTCAGATGGATACAAACAATCAAACTTATGAATACAAATGTTTGTGCCGTGCGAGGAATAGAACACGCGACTAAAGCTGTGTGAAATGGCTGAACCGATTTTGACAAGATTTTTTTGGCAGGTAGCTGATGTAATGAGTAACTTGGGCTACTTATATTTTAGAAAAATAAAGTTAAATTCCACGCGGACGAAGTCGCGGGAACAGCTAGTGTAATATAAGTAAGTTAAATGGATGAATTCGTATATGATAATGAATAAATTGTTATACTTCTATATGTAGTCAATAGAAGAAAAATATGTAAGGATAAAAATCTGTAAATGTGTTGAAAAAAGACTTAATTGTGTAATATAATATAACTTGACTTTTGTGGTTATGACGTGAATACCTACTATTAATTTTACATAATAATGTTATATAAAAATCGATCATTTCAAATTATCGATATCTCGACGTTCCTCAATAACAGACTCACTCAATAAACACGCATACCCAACAGAATCACGTAGTGTTTGTTTACATTCATATACACAAAGACGCAAACGTGATAACACTGTTGTTATATCTTTTCAATAATAATAAATAATTTACTAAGATTATTTTTTATCGATACCACGATTTGTGAGTTACAACATATTGTTCTCAAAATTTACGAGTTATAAACGATTTATTGCAATTAATATTTGAATTTCGAATGAAATGATTGCATAGTTATTCTATCAACTATGGATGGGCAAAGGAATGATAGTGGTAAGTTTTAAAAATAACTATTATTATATAGTGTAATAATTACCTATCTACTCAAAGATGATAACGGCACTGATATTGTGATTACATGTGTAGAAGGTCTCGGGTTCGAATTCGTTTAACTGACTGGTGATATTGTAATATCAAAATACATAGTTCATATTTACTGTGTAGATTTGTTTTGTTTGTACGTAATAGTAAAGAGACAAAAATAGATTATACTGCAGGGACAGTTGTCTTTTATTGGCGGGAAACTGTTAAGAAATTAATTTCATTAAAAATTCTTTTTCTACTCTCTAATCAAAGTACGATACATAATGCTTTATTTAAACGTAGGAAAAAATCACGGGTTTTTACCAAGTTTTACATATTTTTATTGAGTTCCTTATGTTTGGGCAGTGTTTCTACCGCCATTTACTCGTGATTTTGCAGTTAAAATGCTGGCGAAATAAATTTGAATCGCTTTATTTAAGTCTACTTATTATTATTCTGAGCTAATACCATTACATATTTGTCCAACAAATAAATTGTTTTACAACAGTAATATCTTGAATGGAATGGTTGTGAAAATTTCCCGCGCAAACCGTTCCGTTACCAAGCAGAATGTGGGACGGCCGTCTGCAAACATGCTAAATGTACGTAATAATTGCTCTAAAATTACATACAAATAATAAATAATTGCCTGATCAAGGATCCGCTAATTTGATTCCAATTAAGTAGGTATCTAGTGCCGTAACAAGTATCGAAAAGGTTTTTTTTTGGAACTATTGTAATACTCTCAGACTAAAGTATCTGTTAGACGGGAGTTGCCTTCAGCCGCTCCATAAGTCTTTCCTTTGGTTTGGAGTGCCATCTGCACTCGCCCGCTATCGACCGGTGAAGATGTAAAGGCCAGCTGCGGTCAACAGCATTAGGGTAGGCCGAAAAATGTGTGGTTAAGAATCCCACACACCCTCTCGTCACCCCTCCGTAGGGGGTACGGTCTTTGGATGATTATTCTATACGACAAAAAATGGTATAACTCTGCCCGACAGGTAATACTTGTTCTTGTAAGAGCAATTGTTATAGTTTGCTGGCTCAGACCGAGACATTTGGCCTTTTTCCTTTGACCCAAAAAATTTGTGCTGGTTGGTAGTTTGTATTCACACGTTTCGACTTGTAAATGTAAACTTATAAGGATTATTTAAAACAGCAACACACAAGTTTCTTGTTCGTTCTTCTTGTGATGAGACAGCTTTCCGAACGAGTGGTAGATAAGAAACAAATCGTTATGACTATTCAAAAGTGATTAAATTATGTTTATTTGAATAAATGATTTTCTATTCTATTCTCTTCCTGATGGCTCCGTCCTGGTGATATCAAGCTATCCAACTATGATGGTGATATTCAGTGGATTATATACGGCAGCAAATATATTTTTTTCTCGATCTGATTTAGTTGCACGTTACATATAAACTGTTATTTAGCAACATGATTACTTATTTTAAACATGATGGATTACACTTTATCTTCTAAAATCAATGTGCCTAAGTGTAATGGATTAAAGGACCGTATCCTTTAATCCATTACATTTAAGACACTCTACATCTCTACATTTAAATAACATACATAATATAAAACAATATACAGAAGAGTAAACAATACAACAATAGTATCAAAAATATCCAAAATTAAGTCTGTTAAACTACTAAACACTAATTATGGTTGGACCTATGCTCAGTGGATCATATACAGCAGCAAATATAATTTACATATCAACTGTTACTTAGCAACATGATTGCTTATTTTAAATGTGATGGATTACACTTTTTCTTCTTAAATCAATGTGCTTAATAAGCTAGCCGAGTTAGGGGTCCACTCCGGCCGTGACTCTACCATTAATCAGACACACATGCGAAGCAGATGCGACTCAATATGAGATGAGAAATAATGACCTAAAAATATTGTAAATGTAACATTTCAGGAGTTCCATCGACTGGCCTGCAGGAGTGGTATACTGATTTTGATGGATGGGTGTGCAAACATGCCAATGGTGTCACATCAAGGTAATTAAAATAGCTCATAGATCTTTTTAAAGACATACTATCTGTACTAAAAATTCTAGTATTATTATAAATGCGAAATTTTGTGAGACTGAATGGATGTTTGTTACTCTTTCACGCAAAAACTACTGAACGAATTTTGATGAAACTTTACAGTATTATAGCTTATGCGTCAGAGTAACATGTGTAGAATATGATTTAAAAGTATATTATTTAAATTGGGCGATATATTATTGGTAAGTGTGATGCAGACGAAGTCAGTCAGGTAATCTTAGACAATTTATGCTGCGCCATCTAGTCCCAAGCAAAGCAAAGCTTGTGGTACTAGATAATTGATAGGGATACTACAAAACATATTTTTTACATAGTAAACTCTCAGATCGATAGAAACAATCATGCTCATGAGTACAAATGTTCGTAGGAATCGAATCCGCGACTATCGGAGGTAAGGCGGTGTGCTAACCGCTAGACTACCGAGGTAACTTATAAAGAGTACCTAAAATTTTGTATGTATTTAAGCAAGGTACTTAAATCGTCTACGTGTGTACCTCAGTCTCATCTATTTCAGCCGCCAAACAGCTTGCTTTGTCATGACATGACATGTCCAAATTGCAACACATGAATGATATTACTAGTTTCCCATGATAACGTGATTTGTTGTTTGCCAGTGTCACGTAAATTTAATCATTACAAGACCTAAGAACCAGTTTTGAAGGCATCTCGTGCATATAAATAAAGTCAAAAGTTTACCTGATATTCAAGTCAATAAGTTTCTTATTTAATATCAGCGACAGCCGCAACTTGTTCCGCGTGGAATTTAACTTCATTTTTCTATAATAAAAGTAGGCTAAGTTACTTCTTATTACATCTGCTATCTGCCAATAAAAGTCCCGTCAGAATTGCAACTCATGAATGATATCACTGGTTTCCCATGATAACGTGATGTCCGTAATGCTCTTTATGTGTATAAGCGACAGTTAACGTTTACCATCTGGTTGGCCGTATGTTTCAAAACAATATAACTCTTCAAGATTATTTCTATTACTAATTAAAATTTTGTCAAAAAACGAACAAAGAAATGAATGAGAAATTAAGAATTTATTATTATTATTAGTATGTCTTTCCTATTACATTAAAAAATAACTAACTAACGAAGAAAGATTCATTCGTGAAAGTACTAGGAGAAAAGTGCAGTCCCAAATAATTCCTAAATTCAGAATAGTTACACACAGTACGAAATATCAATTTGTAAAATGGTTTAATAATTTACCAATACATCTAAAAACTGTTTATAACTTCACATTGCTTAAGACCACATTGAGGACATTCAATAAGTGTTACTTTTACTACTCCGTAGATGACTATTATAATGGTGGCCATAAAGACTTACTGCACTATGCCAGCTGACATACCGAGATTTCATATTTAAGTTGCTGTTATGTTGTTGACAAAAATTTACTGTAAAGTTACAATTATGTTATCCTACACAATTTGTATTGTTTTGAATGAATAAATAAAAAAAATATGTGTTACTTCTCATTAATAAAATAATAATATTTATTTACAGATTGATTCAACTGCAGCAAAGGAATTCGGAGATACGGCCAAATACAATCAACTCATTCTATTTACAAAATGCCATGAACGAAGGCATATTCCCCATTATAGATGACACGAAAAAAACAAATGACAATTTATTAAGACATTTAAAAAATAATACACGGTCGTATGTACATTTTAAAAATGGAACGATTACTTTGAATGGTAATGTAGTGAAGTATAGCTGTATATATAGCAGGTCTAAGCTTTTTTATGTTGTTTTATTTCTTCCTCTTGTTTTAATGGCTACTAGTTGACATTGTTTGTCCTGAGGACAATTTTATTTTGTTTTATTATTATGAGTTTTAATTATAATCAGCGCATGCCACTGTTTATTACACAATCGGTTGGGCCGATCTGAAGGATCTTGACAAGTACCCAATTGAGGCCTGTTGGGTTTAGCCGACATAATGGAGTAAAGATGACTTACCTTGGAAGTTCAATGCCCAACTATGTATATTAAAAAAAGGAAGTCAATGCAGCAGATCAATCCAACCGATCTGTATCATAATCGATCATATCATAATTAAATATAAAAAAATATCATCCTTAAACACTTGACAAACGACCCACCTAATGCAAAATGGTTAGTCACTATGAAAAACATATTCTCATCAAGTCTTCAAAGTATAGGTATTAATTGTACAAAGTAACTATACAAATATAAATTGTAGGTTCAATTATAACATAGTGATTACTTGCTAAGTGAGTATACAGGCTTCAAGAACTACGTTACATATTTTCTAAAAAAATAAAAACAAGTTCAAAATTTAAATTGAAAAATATTTTGATTTTGATAATTGGCACACAGAGTAATTTACATTATTTTTAACAAGAGTTGGTACTACCATTATAAGAATTGAATCATAATTGAATATACTTATGTAATGATTAAAAAAAATAAGCAAACACATTTCACACAATTTTTTTTATAATTTCTAACTGGAATAAAAATGTGGACAAAACCTGTGATGTATTAACCTCGTATACATAAATTTGTGACCGGAAGACGCAGCGTGGGAAGGCCTCCAAGGTGGATCGACGATCTGGCCAAGATCGCTGGACGGCATTGGATGTGAGCAGCGCAGGGCCGGTCGTCGTGGAGATCTTTGGGGGATGCCTATTTCCAGCAGTGGACGACTTCCGGGCTGCGATGATGATGATGATGATGATGACATACATAGGCCTATTTCCAGCAGTGGACGACTTCCGGGCTGCGATGATGATGATGATGATGATGTTGACATAAATAGGCCTATTTCCAGCAGTGGACGACTTCCGGGCTGCGATGATGATGATGATGATGATGATGACATACATAGGCCTATTTCCAGCAGCGAACGTCTTCCGGGCTGCGATGATGATGATGATGACACAAATAGGCCTATTTCCAGCAGTGGACGTCTTCCGGGCTGCGATGACGATGATGATAGTGATGATGACATAAATAGGCCTATTTACAGCAGTGGACGTCTTCCGGGCTGCGATGATGATGATGATAATGATGATGACATAAATAGGCCTATTTCCAGCAGTGGACGACTTCCAGGATGCGATGATGATGATGATGATGACATAAATAGGCCTATTTCCAGCAGTGGACGACTTCCGGGCTGCGATGATGATGATGATGATGATGATGACACAAATTCGTAAGCCTACATGGACATCTGTCAATGTAGGCTTACGAAAAAAGTCAGGCTTCGGTAAAATAACTCTCTAAAATATTTTGTTACTCTATGACAATTCTATTTTCAAAATGCATCAAAAACTAAGGGCGTAACTTGCAACATGATATTTTTAGTATGAACCTGTGATGCAAGCATGTTTTAGTAATGATATTTCAACACCACGTGCATACATACATATATAAATATTTAATTTTGGTTGCGTTCTCATAAAGACAGACTGACTCTTACAACGTAGGCAGTATATTTATAAGTTTAATTTTGCATGCTTACGTATGCTTGTTTGTCAGTGTCACATAAATTTAATCATTACAAGACCTAAGAACCAGTTTTTGCCTTTGACAAAAGCATCTTGTGCATATAAATAAAGTCAAATGTTTACCTGATATTTTCAAAGTATTTAATACTAACGTGGAATTTTATTTTATTATTCTAAAATAAAAGTAGCCTAAGTTACTTCTTATTACATCTGCTATCTGCCAATGAAAGTCCCGTCAAAATCGGCCCAGCCATTTCAGAGATTAGTTGGAACAAAGAGACAGACAGACAGACAAAATTTGTAAAAAATGATATTTTGCTGTATGTACCGTATTTATATTCATATGCATGTAGTAAAAAACGGTTATTTCAATATTACAAACAGACACTCTAATTTTATTTATATGTATAGATGATAGGTACCATATCCTAGTCAATTATTTTATAAAAGATGCACTAAGTAGTTGTTCATAGTGTAATATCGTCAATTAAAAAAAAACTAAGTATTTTCATACAAAAACCGTTAAAAATTGTATGTACTTATATTAATTTTAATATTTTATTATTTTGGTGTTAATCCGTTTTAAATATACACCTACACATTATTTCTAAGTGATCTATAAAAATCGGTAATTAACATAAATTACCATTAGTGCCACAACACTATGTAATAATCGTAAAAAGCTGACAACATTGGTTTCGTCGCTTAGATAAAAAAACAGACTGTAGTCTAGTAGATAGAATATTACACTCAACTTTGTCCCCTCCGATCGATCCCCCATCCAAACGGTGATCGAAATTACGACGCCTGAGTCGAAGTTCGAACCTAGCGGTGCCCTTAGAACGACTCAGTTGGCTCCTAATCGTAAGTCCTTCCTTTGGTTTGGAGTGCCAAATGCACTCGCCCCCTATCGTCCGGTGAAGCTGTAAAGGCCAGCTGCGGCCAACAGCATTAGAGTAGCCAGAAAAAAGTGATCTTTCTTACGCATTCACGCAAATATTACTGAACCGATCATTATGAATTTGTACACATGTTCTTGGAGGTATCAAAATTAACATAGGATGCTGTGGGGGATGGAGACCAAGACGACGAGCAAAGAAAACGGCACCGGTGTGGTCGTAGTTGTATTGACTTATCTAAATATATATAACTCAAAGGTGACTGACATAGTGATCTATCAACGCACAGCCCAAACCACTGGACAGATCGGGCTGAAATTTGGCATGCAGGTAGATGTTATGAAGTAGGCATCCGCTAAGAAAGGATTTTGATTAATTCTACCTCCAAAGGGATAAAATAGGGGATGAAAGTTTTTATGAAACATTGTCAATTTTAAACCGATCGGACTGAGACTTTGCATGCATAAAGCTACTATGACGTAGGCATCCCCTAAGAAAGGGTTTTTATAAATTTCACCCCTAAGGGGATAAATTAACGCAAGTGAAGCCGCGGGCAAAAGCTAGTGTTATATAAAAGCAATATAGTGTTTATACAATAAAAAGGGTTTATGAAACAGTTTCTAACAGATACTTTTTATTAATAAAAAAAACATGCGAACGAAGCCGTGGGTAAAAGCTAGTAAATAAATAAAATGAAGTTTGACACCTCTGCATAGATTTGCATTGTATTGTAGAGACATTTCTACACTCGACTTTGTTCCCCGACCTTTGTACTATTTCTGATGTATTTTGTATTAGGTATTATGACGTGTTTATTTAACAATCAGTACTATATTATTACGATTTCTTTATCTAATCTATACATATAAATAAAATCTGAGTGTCTGTTTGTGATATTGAAATAATCGTTTTTTACTACATGCATATGAATAGAAATACGGTACATACACCAAAATAACATTTTTTACAATTTTTGTCTGTTTTTGCAAAATCGGTCTAGCTAAACAGACAAACTGTTTGGCTGGACCGATTTTGACGGGACTTTTACGGGCAGGTAGCTGATGTAATAAGGAGTAACGTAAAAAAAGTAGCCATTTATTTCAAAAAAAATCTTTTATTTTAGAAAAATAAAGTTAAATTCCACGCGCACGAAGTCGCGGGAATAGCTAGTTATTAATATATAACTAGAAACTCAGCACAAGTTCGTCCAGATATACAGTGCAATATAAATATTAAACAGACTCCTTTTTGATGACAAATAATTTGACTAATATTAAACACGAATATTTGTGAGTATCGATGGATGTTTGTTATTCTTTCACGCAAAAACTACTGAACGGATTTTGATGAAACTTTACAGTAATATAGCTTATGCATCAGAATAACACATATGCTATACATATTACGTAAATTAGACAAAATATAATGATAAATGCCAAGTAAGTGTGAAGCAGATGAAGTTCACACAGCGCCATCTAGTCCCAAGTTAAGCAAAGCTTGTGTAGTTGCTAGACAACGGATAGAAATATATGTATAGATATTGTTTTTGTAAATACAAAAACACCCAAACGGATACAAACAATAATACTCATGAATACAAATGTTTGTTCCGTGCACGAGCATCGAATCCGAGACCATAATATGCTAAACCGCTAGACTACCAAAGCCGTAAAATATTTGCAATTTTAATTGCAGAAAAATAAATAAGAAGAAGCAAACAGATGTAAACAGCGACTTTTTTTACACCAATCATAGACACGTATCTACAGAACAATTGGCATTCTGATAGCGTTATCTAGAAATATCTAAGATGGCTTCAGTATTACAATGATGTAATTTCCTTGTGATTCACATTGTTTCATTATTAATCATAAACTGAATGTTAATCACATTTAGGGACCATTCATAAATAAATGTCACACTAATTTCATTAATTACTCCCTTCACCCCTTTTGTCACATTTGGTCACATGTCAATAGTTCAATTTCGTGTTTTGACATCGCTCCTCTTGTTACGGTTGGTCACATATGAATAGTTCAAATTTCGTGTTTTAATAGTAAAATTAAAATGTGACGACATCACCCCTCTTGTTACGGTTGGTCACATGTCAATGGTTCAAATTTCTTGTTTATACTAAAATTAAAATGTGAAATCACCCCTCTTGTCACGGTTGGTCACATATGAATAGTTCAAATTTCGTGTTTTAATAGTAAATTTAAAATGTGACGACATAATCTCTCTTGTCACGGTTAGTCACATGTCAATAGTTCAAATTTAATGTATTAATACTAAAATTAAAATGTGACGACATCACGACCCTCTTGTTACCCGGGCAACAAACGCCTTGAAACTCGCGTTGTGACTTGACTCCAGCTGCGTCACCCTCAATGTCAGGTTACTCGTGGTCCGCATGTAGTCGACAGTGTCCTGCTCCTTGGTGTACTGTATGTGGGACAGGTACATTGCCGTGGTCGGGTGTTACAGCATTTATGAATGGCCCCTTATGGTTTAATTGGATAATTATCACAGCAGGATTTAGAGTATGTAAGAATGAAAAAGTCACTCATTGTGTACTCGGGACATGAATTGCTTTTATATTAATACTAGCTGACCCGTGCAACTTCGTCCGCATCTCACTTACCAGGCATTTATTATTATATTTCGTATAATGATAAATGTCATCTTACTGTAAAGTTTCATTAAAATCTGTTCAGTAGTTTTTGCGTGAAAGAGTAACAAACATCCATCCATACTCACAAACTTTCACATATGTAATATTAACTAGCTGAGCCGCGTAACTTTGTCTGCATCATACTTACTTAACATTCATCATTATATTTCACGCAATTACCATTATATCTTATTGAATTATAGCCTATATGTTATTATGATGTATAAGCTATATTACTGTAAAGTTTCACCAAAATCCGTTTAGTAGTTTTTACGTGAAAGAGTAACAAACATCCATTCATACTCACAAACATTGACGTTTATAATATTAGTAAGATATTGAGATAGGTTTATCTTGCGGCACTGCCCGCGTGGAATATTACTCGCTGATAACGTATCTTTAGATATAGGTTTTTTTAATAATAATAATAATTTATTTGTCATAATATGGAAGTAATTATAAAAAATAGGTTTCATCATAATATACTGCTACCAGTGAACGAATGTACATTATTTTTTTTATTGGGTTCTTTGGGTTAATGTCAGGTGATTAGACTTGTAGCACTGCGACCTACATATATCTATTGTGCTCGCCCTTTTTCAGAGTTCGCTACCTAGACCCGTCAGGGACAAGAATTGAAGGATATTCTTAGGAGCGATGGTTTTTATCTCCTCAGGATAGAGTATACTTTCCAAAGGAGATTTCGTTTATGCATGAGTGGCCTACAACCACATAGGATGTGTAGTGGCGTTTCCTCTTCTGTTTGGCAAAATCTGCAGGTTGTTCAGCTAAGGTCTAAAGGTGAAAATGTTACAAACAGACAGAGAGATAAACATTACCGTTTATAATATAGTACAGACTAGCTGCACCCGCGACTTCGTCCGCATGGAATTTAACTTATTTTTCTAAAATAAAAGTAGCCTAAGTTACTCCTTATTACCTGTCAAAAAAAGTCTCGTCAAAATCGGTCCAGCCGTTTCAGAGATTAGCCGGAAGAAACAGACAGACAAAAATTGTAAAAAATGTCATTTTGGTGTATGTACCGTATTTATATTCATATGCATGTAGTAAAAAACGGTTATTTCAATATTACAAACAGACACTCCGATTTTATTTATATGTATAGATGTTTACATTTATCGCTGTTATACCTAATTAGATAAAAGTTGTATCATTGTTCCGGACAATAATTATTATGGTAAATGATAGTGAACTTTGTTCACGTACAAATTACAGCTCGAATGGTTTTTTTTATGATTTTTTTATTCGTTTCTCGTCTGTTGTGTATCTCATTGTACATATATATTCATAGACTAGCTTACATCGTGAACTTCGTTCAGCCACAAAATTAAATATGTCAAAAGTTTTTTGAAGTTTAGTTACGCAATAAATTTCTGAACGCACCCAGTTTTGACAGGTGTTGTTGTTTGACAGGTGTCAGCTGTTTATATGTGAAAATAAAATTGTAGTTTTTACTATTTTACATGCAATTTCTTCATATTTGATCACCGTTTAAACCTTCTCTGGAGTTGCACGAATATTTCAAGACTAAAATTAGCCAAATCTGTTCAGCCTTTCTCGAGTTTTAGCGCGACTAACGAACAGAAATTTATTTTTATAAATATCTATAGATTTTTGTACTTCAGCCGCGTTGATAAGGAATGGTGCACACGTAAAGTTGACCGGACGGCCATTCTATAGTCGCGGGTTCGATTCCTTGTAAACTTTGTACTGATGAGTATGGGTGGTTAATTTTTTTTATTGGATGATAATTTCAATATATTTTTTCAATTCACACAGCGCCATCTAGACCCAAGTTAAGCTAGCTAAAGCTTGTGTTATGGGTACTAGATAACTGATACATATATAGATATTTTTTTTGTAAATACATACATATTATACATAGAAAACACCCAGACCGATACAAACAATCATACTCATGAATACAAATGTTTGTGCCGTGCGAGGAATCGAACCCGCGACTATCGGTCGTAAAGCGGTGTGCTAGACCACTAGACCACCGAGGTCGTCAAATATGGTAGAGGAGTATGGAAGAGGATGGTAATGGAATGATACAAACGTCCACGCTAACGATTTACAATGTCCAGGCACCAGTGCATGATGATAAGATGAGCATGAGGTCAGGTCAGTTAGACTTTGAAGGCAAATGAAGTGAAAAAAAACCTAAAGTTACAACATTGACGTAAGTTATTGATACAGATATGTAAAAAGATAATTTATCTGTAGACTAAACAATGCAGTTGTCTTATGCTTTTGTTTTTTTCTACATATTCGAAACTAAACAAGCGATCCGTTCCGTTCCCACGGTTTTGTTACAAACCTTTGGATTTCTTTGCTTGTTCTATACTATAATTTATATATATAATACGCATGTATTATATATATAAATTTTCCTCGTCAATTACTCTATCTATTGCTGGAAACAGCATTGAAATCCGTTGCGTAATTTAAAGGGTATAAGTGAACAGACAGCGACGGCGACTCTGTTTTATATTATGTAAAGGTGTACCTAAATCAGTATATGTAAAACAAAGTCGCTGTCGCTGTCTGTCCGTCCCTATGTATGCTTACCTTTAAAACCACGCAATGCATTTTGAAGCGGTTTCTTTTAATAGATAGAGTGATTCAAGAGGAAGGTTTATATATATAATACATGTACACTCGTGCGAAGCCGGGGCGAGTAGCTAGTATTGGTATAAATCAACAACTTTAGAAAACACTACGTTGCTTGTCCAGTCCCAAATTAAGCAATGTTTATATTATAGGAATTAGACGTCTGATAGACAAACTTAAGTGCGTTTTTTTATGAGTATATAGCACAGATAAGATAATATTATGTATATCTCTTGTAAATACAAGCAGATATAATAAAATATACATTTTTTTTTATATAGCACGGACGTCAAATTCATTAAATATCATTAAATTCAAGTCATTGTAGGCCAATGTCAATTACTACCATCTAATGGTAGAATGTAGTACTAGTGGTAGTACGAACATAACATTATTAATACTTATTTCATTATTCTTAATTTTAGTTTATCTTTAATTAAGAACAGCAAAAGGTATCAACTTATACAGCTATAGTCAACGAAGACGAGACTCCTAAATAACTGTACCTATACAGCCATAGTCACACTCGAAACGCGTTATATAATCTATTAAAAGCGCTACAAGTCAGCTGTCATTTAAAACATTCTAGAGCGCGCAGAGTATAATATAACCTCAATCTATAGAGATGACCTTTATTATGCAAATAAATGATTGATATATGATTGATTGACTGTCTGTCAGTCAACGGAGCTCCATGAATGTTAATAACTAAATAAACAGTAAGCCAGACGTTCTGGAATAAGAGTCGCGACTTTTATTTAATATTAATTTGCGTTAATTTTATCTAATCAGTTTTATTGTAACGCGGAAACTTATCTCAAATTCAATATGGCGTTTGCGTCTGATGAGTCGACAAAATTATGTTTGATATTGATAATTATTTCATATGGAATATAACAGTTTACAATTTGTTATCACTGAGAGAACTCGTTTCAGTTTTATATAAACATAAATGTAACGAAATGACGTAAACAATTGTATTACTTATATAATATTTACGAATGAAAATTAATGTGATATTAGAAACTTTATTTCGTTCCGTAATGATATAAAAATATATAGAGTAATAGACAAGTGTAGATATTTGTTCTTTATTTAAATTTCAATTTAAATATAAGTGTGACTTTAATTAAAAAGTGAACTTCTGTGACAGTTTTCTTTTTTAAATCATGACAAATAAACTGACAAAGGAATGGTTCGTGGAAATGCCATGGGGGAAAGTGGCCAGTGAGTAATAATTTATTTTAATAATCGAATGACTTAACACAGACCTTCAAACTTCACTGTTAAATTCAAATTCGACTAACACGGAAATTTATAACTTAATAGTTGCTTATGGCAAAAAGTAGTAAGGAAAATTGATTTTAATGTGGGCTTGTAAATAGGTATAAGACAGGTGATAAAAACTATAATTATAATATAATATCTTGACCAACATTCACAATTTGTTGCTCTGGTTCTCCTCGATTTAAAAAACATAAATCGTCTTTGTTACGTACGCTTGATTCATACTGAATGATCATTCAAATTTTGACGTTCGTTCAAGGGAAGTACGATTTACTCTTCTATTTTGCGTTTCCCTTATGATTAAGGCTGCAATATCCAAATTTACCCACTAAACTTAATATATGAACTATTAATTAATTTTTATTCTTAGCAATTCCTTTTTTTATTATTTTATTTTATTTCATTTTACGAATTATATTAATATATGTATATACGTTGCATTAAGTCTATATATTGTAACTTTAAATAAAATTCAGCGAAACTTCTTTAAAAAAATTGCATGTTTATATAAATTGTCTTTATTAAGTAAAGTAATTAACGTCGTTGTTGATACATTTCAAAATATTTCATCTTATCTCATATTGTAGGTATATATACATAATATATTGTATTACTGTTTGTTAGTACTAATATTTAAAAAAAAATTGAATCAATAGTATCAGTCTTCACCGCCGTCTTAGACTAGGCTGGGGCCCTTGGCCACACTAGAATACTGGGCCCTTTTAGAAAGCAAAAAAAGTTCATTAGGTATAAGAAAAATAACATTATTGATTTGTGAAAAAAGAGTAGTGTGCCCGATAAAAATCTTTTGAGAATAAATGTGTGAGAAAAATTAACAGGCCTTCGGGGGCCCCCTGAGAATGGGGGCCCTGGGCACGGGCCCCGTGTACCCTTATGGTAAAGACGGTATTGTCAGTACTTACGTCACTGAAATACAACACAGCGAAATTAAACCTAATTATGTATGTATAACCGTATAATAATGGCGCGAAAACTAGTTGAAAGTCGGTAAAGATCACTTTTAGATAACCTGCGTTTAAATAATAGAGCAATTAACACATTTTTTTAACAGTTGTCATCGCCTCTTTTTTAGGGAATCTTCTATACTAACAATGAAAACTGTAATCACTAAACATATATCTTTATTTTGTAACCTTAAATATATTTGTACTGTACTTCCAACCATTACATCACTTTAAAAACTGTTATAATGTATTTAAGTCATAAATATGACAATATATATATTTTCACTACAGTTCCCTTCTGATCTCTACAATATTATGTTTTTTTACATTTTAGCGCCAAAGTTATTTCACATTTTTAAAATAGACTACAGGCAACGGAACAAACCCAAACAGTTATAATATTGAGACAATACTCAAAGTGGGATATTTAACATCGCCCTTATAAGAACGAATTCAAAATTGAATCTATGTAACCAGTGATGTCAATCTTTGACTGGGCGGAAAGGGAAGATGGGAAGAGCGACCTGAGTTAATTACTGTATCGCTAGCAATGTTTGGTACATTGCTAATGAGATTATGGAGGGAAGGTGATTCTTAGTAATATGGACTAATAATCCCATTACAATGTACCAAGTCAGGTTGAATTCCACGCGGTTCCACCTAGAAATCATCGTGATAAATTCCAAGTGAATTTGTAACGATGGTCCAACTGACTTGACCTCATGCTCATCCTATCATCCTCCACTGGTGCCCCGCTAGCGTAAACAGTTAGCGCAGGCGCGTGCACGACTCCATAATCTATACATCTATACATATAAATAAAATTGGAATGTCTGTTTGTAATATTGAAATAATCGTTTTTTACTATATGCATATGAATATAAATACGGTACATACACCAAAATAACATTTTTTACAATGTCTGTATGTCCGGAACACTGTCTGTTTGTTCCGGCTAATCTCTGAAATGGCTGGACCGATTTTGACGGGACTTTTATTGGCAGGTATTTAATTTAATAAGGAGTAACTACTTTTATTTTAGAAAAATTAAATTAAATTCCACGCGGACTAAGTCGCGTGTACAGCTAGTTATCCATAAATAACCATCCGTTCAAATAAAGCTTACACAGTTTCATACAGAAAATGTTTTATTCTAAGGATTCTAAATGCGGATGAAACATTCAAAAGGAATCTATACAAACATTTACTTGCAAATACCAAGCTGTTTTAAAATAATTTACACAATATGAAACAAACAATATTTTGTTCTCAGTTACGTATATTTAAACTAATTAATTGACGTATTGTCTCAGACGGTCTGTGCGAAATATAGAAAGCTCATGTCAAAAGTACAATGTACCTACTCTGTAACTCGGATTGCCAACGTTTATTAAAAGAAATAGAGTATATCTAACTTCGAAGGAGGCAAATAAAAGAGTACCTACGGACTTACAGAATAGAGTATCAAATACTTTATATTTTTAAAAATGTATATTTTAATATTTTTGCAACACATAACATGATTGCGCGGGAAAAAAATTGTCAGTGTAAATGCTGCTAATATTGAATGAGTCAATGTAATTCAAATTAATAATTTTCTTCAAAAAAATCAAATCAAATCATCATGAAGATTCAAAGTCGATAATATCATCATCAAATTCAAATTCAAAATCATTTATTCATGTAGGACATTTTAGCCGCTTATGAACGTCAAATTTTTACATTATCAGTTTAAGTATTTCCCTACCGTCCAGTTCGGTATATAGATCCAATTGGCAAGAAAATTGAATTACTTTTTTTTAAAGCCAGTTTATTTACGATGTATATTTATATAGGTGTCTATGTGTAACATTAAATGAAAATCCCGTGCATGAACAACTATTGCCATGCACGCTCGTCATTCAAGTAATCGTTTAGTGAGTAATAGGCTTTGCTCAGTAAATATGATTTAACAGATGTTTTGAATTTATTTAAGGGTAATTCCAACATATCCTTTTGGTATCTAATTGTAAATTTTTATGCCTATTCCCATAAACCTATTGACTTTTTCTAAACAATACTTAGGGACAGCAAGTTTGTCTTTAAATCTAGTATTAATATTATGAATATTGCTGTTTTTTGGAAATAAGTCAAGATTTTTATGAATGTATAGGATATTTGAATATATAAATTGAGAAGCAACGGTGAGAATATTTGCCTCTTTGAATTTCTCTCTTAATGAGTCACGACTCTTCATACAGTAGATCGCTCGAATGGCACGTTTTTGTAATATGAATATATTTTTAATATCTGCCGCTTTTCCCCATAATAATATTCTATAAGAGACCAAAATATGAATATAGATGCATTAAGAAATCAATCAAAATCAATTTTAAATCAGCGCTGCAGTGACACGCTGCGGCATCAGCTGAGTGGAGGCCCTTACAGCTCATAGCGAAATATTAGTTTTTAAGTTTTCTATATTTTTACTCTGTACTATGATACTGAGTAAATTATTATTATTAATTTATCACAATAGTTGGTAATATTTAACATTATATTTGAGCACATTAATATTCTAGTTGTAACAATATTGAATATTTGTTGTACCAACACAAACAAACATGCTTATCACTGATGTGATAGATGGAGAATGCTTGAACTTTGATGATTCAACAGACAGACAGACAGACAAAAAATGTAAAAAATATTATTTATGTATGTACCATATTTATATTCATATGCATGTAGTAAAAAACGGTTATATCAATATTTTTTATTTACTATCATTTATTTCTTCATGAAAATAATAATAATCGTCTGAGGACAATTCACACAGCGCCATCTACACCCAAGTTAAGCTAGCTAAATCTTGTGTTATGAGTACTAGATAACTGATACAAATACATAGATTTTTTTTTCGTAAATACATACATATACGTACACATATTATACATAGAAAACACCCAGACCGATACAAACAATCATACTCATGAATATAATGTTTGTGCCGTGCGAGGAATCGAACCCGCGACCATCGGACGTAAAGCGGCGTGCTAAACCACTAGACCACCGAGGTGGTCATTATAAACAGACATTCCAATTTTATTAATATGTATAGATATTTGTTTCGCGAGTGCATTTTTGAAAACGTAGAATTCACTGGCTTACTGACTAGTACTGACTACTACAAAATGAACGGGTTGCTCGTCGGGTCCGAGTGGGAGGCACCGCCACTATGGTCCTGCCACACTTGGATCCGAGTGGTGAGCAATGAATGTGTTAAAACCTTTACACATGGATACAGAGTACAGCTGGAGTAGAGTCGCCAACCGTCCTGCTGCCAGGACATGTCCTAGTTTTTCAAGTGTCCTGGAAAGTCCTGAATAGTTACGTGGCAGCGTCCTGGGTTTTTAAAATATGCGGCCACTTATTAAAGTATAATTTCATCAAATACTTTTTATTAACAACCTGATTATATTAATTACTTGTATTTTACTACATCTTATATATAAAGTTCTCGTGTCACAATGTTAGTTACCATACTCCTTTGAAACGGGTAGACCGATTTTTATGAAATTTTATATGCATATTCAGTGGGTCTGAGAATCGGCTACTATCTATTTTTCATACCCCCAAGTGATGAGGGTTATCCATCCGTAACATTATATTTTTATTTCTTAGACAATTTTTTTTATTTATATTATTATTAAAAACATAGAACCCTAGTTTTTCACCCTTAAATTTATATGGCAAAACAACATTTGCGGGGTCAGTATTGATATAACTATTGCAACACTATTACTGCGTTCTGTTTTTAAACTGGATAGTCCTGGTTTTTTAAAGTTTCAATCCTTGTTTTTTAATTTTGGGCATGGCAATCCTAAACTGGAGTATTTTATATGTTCTAGTGATATCGTGGGGCCAGAGCAGCAATCCGCCGATGCTGCTGGTCCACGGGTACACAGACACGGCGGCAACGTTCATTCGCCTGGTGGACTTACTGCCTGATAGCTATTATTATGTCAGTTTTGATTTCCCTGGTGAGTACATTAATAGAATAGAAAATAATTTATTCAAATAAACTTACATTGAAGCTCTTTTGAATAGTCATCACATTTTTTTTAATCTACCGCTCATTCGGAAAGCTGTCTCATCACAAGAAGAACGAGCGAGAAACTTGTGTGTTGCTCTTTTAAATAATTTTATTCTTACTTTACAATTTAAGTTTAAGTGTGTGAATACAAACTACCGATTAGCACTAATTCAATTAAATAATCAAATAGAAAAAATATTGAATACAGAACAACTGGTTAAACAGTTAATAAGAGAAAATCAGTCAGTATTAGAGCACAAGCAGCATCCATTTAATTAATTGTTTATCTATGAGAAACATGTTTTTTTTGTGTGGATGATAATGAAATGGTCCCGCCAGCGCTAACGGTTTACGCTGGCACCAGTGGAGGATGATAAGATGAGCATGAGGTCAGGTCAGTTAGCTCATCGTGACAAATTCATCAAGAATTTATCAAGATGGTTTCCAGGGGGAACCGCGTGGAGGTCAACCCGATATGGTACATTGCTAGTAATGGGGTCATGAGTCCACATTACTAACAATTCCCTTCCCCCCTGGGAAACATGTTGGGACACTTTATACGACGACGAATTTATGAATATATATTTTGAAGATCAAGCCACAGTTTTTTTTAATGGATTTTAACAGCTATTTTGGGATCTCTATTATTTATGTATATTGCGTCTTGCTCGCCTTCCCAAATTTGAATTTAAAAATGAATCTGTATTATTGTAAACATGTACAACATTTATTTGATACAAGCTGAGTTTCAGTGATGTCAGTTCTTCTCATCTCGAAATCATTCCGAACTGACGGTAGATTTGACATATCATAGTCTGTAATAGACCTACATGAATAAAGATATTTTGAATTTGAATTTTGAACTTGTATCGTAGCAGGAAAGGAGGAGGTGGAGTGATGAGACCATTTGAAGATGATGGCTATTTACATTATGTACTAGCTGTACCCGCGACTTCGTCCGCGTGGAATTTAACTTTATTGTTCTAAAATAATAGAATTTTTCTAAAATAAAAATAACCTAAGTTACTCCTTATTACATCAGTTACCTGGCAAAAAAAGTCCCGTCAGAATCGGTTCAGCCATTTCAGAGATTAGCCGGAACAAACAGACAGACAGACAGACATGTAGTAAAAAAACGGTTATTTCAATATTACAAACAGACACTCCAATTTTATTTATATGAATATATAGATTTTGATGAAATATTTACAATTGGTACAAGAGTTTTCGGTCCCCAGTGACAGGCCAGTTATCTTCTTGTTCTGTCGTAACTAGGCAACGGTGTTGCCGCGCGATAATAGTAAATTCGCCACAGGATGATAGTGGAATGGTGCACCTGGCTGCGCTAACGGTATACGCTGGCGGGGCACCAGTGGGGCAGCACTTACCTTTTTGATAATGTAAATATTTAAAGCACATTATATATCCCACGGTTTACATCCTCAGTCTCTTTAAGATTTCAGCTGCTTAGAATTGATTATCAAAAAAATATATATATTATTTTTCAGGGCATGGCAAGTCCGAGCACATACCATCGGGCGGGCCTTTAGTGACAATGTCGTTTATGACGGAGGTCGTCCGTCGGATAGTCAATTACATGGAATGGGATACTTTTATATATATGGGACATTCTATGGCGTTTCTTACTGGTAAGTAATTTTTTTTTCGTTTATATCACGTTAGCAAACAAGCATACGGCCCATCTGATGGTAAATGGTTACCGTAGCATATGACGCCTGAAACACCAGGGGTGTCACGTGCGCGTTGGCGACCCTTATATTTTTCGACCCTTCTGAAACACGGTTATCTTCTATACCTACCTCAGAATTCAGGGAAAATATGTGAAAGAAAGAAATAAATAAATTATAAAGCTGAAAAGTTTGTTTGTTTCTTTGAACGCGCTAATCTCAGGAACTACTAGTTCGTAGTGAAATATTATTTTTCTGTTGGATAGTCCATTTGTCGAGGAAGGCTTTAAGCTATATAACGTTATACTACGACCAATAGAAGCGAAGCGTCAGTCACAAACATTGCAAAAACGGGGAAAATTATTCACATTTGAGGGCTTCCGTTGCGTGCGCTGCGTAATTGGTTTAAGTTACCAGTTTGTTGTGTATTCAGAGCCATAAAAATATATGTCTATGGTTATGATTAATTACTTGGTCTATGGTCTGTCTGTGTATCGAGTCGAGTCATATAACAAAGGGTTGTCGTGTTAAATATAAGTAATATAATCATATATAATAAAAGTCATAAATAATACATCTGCAGTATTATCAATCCCATCAAAAACATAAATGTGAAATGATAGCCGAGTTTAATATTATGATATATGGCTTGATTGTTGACTTCTACGACAAAAGAGATGAGATCTAAATGGGTGCCAAGTTCAATGGTCTGTCCTGAAATGTATTTATAACAATATAAAATATCATTTCTTCTTATAACTTAGGATAATATACTGTAGCCTAAAGTCTAACTTGGCTAGTTTTCATATACGAAATATACTGTAGCCTTCGCAAGTTCTAAACATGTTACTTGTCGGTTCCTATTTTAATATTAATAGTAACTAGCAATCGAAAGTAATAATTTAGATCTCATCTCTTTTGTCGTAGAAGTCAACAATCAAGGCATATATCATAATATTAAACTCGGCTATCATTTCACATTTATGTTTTTGATGGGATACATATCACAATGTTCGCGTCATGCATTTTAGTGCAATTATTGTTAACTGTTAGAGTTTTTTTCTACTAAGTTTATAATCTTTTACCGTCCGTGTGGTCACTTATGACATAGACTGAGTAACAGCGCTGTAACCGTAAACTGTTGAATAGGTGGTAAAATCGATACAATGAGCTAATTAACCAATTAGCTCGTTGTGGCGATTTCACCAGGAATTAACCACGATGTTCTCCAGGCGAGAATGCCTGGATGTCAGTAAACTTTATTGCTAACAATAAAGTCTCTATTGAAAATCAAAGTTAAAATCATTTATTCATATAGGACATTTTTATCCATTCTTGCGTTTAATTATTTTTATAAAAATAGTATCTAGAAATAGATGATATTAGTATCGTCTAATTCAGGTAGCTACCTCATACCGTACATTTTTGTATTCCCTATTCTTAACAATTCTTTCCCCATGATAATTATTAGTTTATTGAGTTAGTACATTAATTTATATTGTATAAATCATAGATCAATTGTGAAGATAAATAAAGTCGCATTATGGTGCTTTCACATTTCAGTAATAATAATTTTGTTCATCATCATCATCATCATCTGCTTCTTCCTTATCCTATTTATTTGGGGTCGGCGTAATATGTTTTTCGCTTCCATTCATCCCTGTTCGCAGTCATCGCGTTATTTACTTACTTTCTTACCATATCATCTTTCACACAGTCCATCCATCTCTTTTTCGGCCTTCCTCTGCCCTTATAACCATCCACATTCATTTGTAACACCTTTCTTAAAATATTATCCTCGTTCCTACGAATTACATGTCCATACCATGATAGACGATTACTCTTAATAATAATTTTGTTCATAAAACAAATAAATGCCACTCATTTCATATTGAAAATATGAAAGTGGTTTTATGTCTTGTACAACTTGAATATTAATATATATCCTGGATAACAATTCTTATTATATATATTATAAATAATAATATGGTAAATAATATCTATATTAGTACTAATTATATTATCGTTCGTCATAATGATTTCCGCTTCAAGTGCGATACAACTACCCAAATCAAATTAAAATATCTTTATTCATGTAAGTCTCATGCAGACTTATGATATGTCAAGTCTACCGTCAGTTAGGAGTGCTTTCTAGCTAAGAAGAACTGACAAGAAACTCAGCATGTATTCATTTCAATTGAGCTTGTATGTACAATTACTAAAATACAGAAATATATAAATATAGAATATATCTAATATAAAACTATTTAAAAAATATTATTATTGCCTATTTATGTTATTTGCTTGAGGTTGGAATTGTTTAATAGGTAAATAGGTAGGGTATAATAATAAGATGTACATATATAATTATAATTACTATTTTAATTATTTAAAATATTGTTATGTACATAATCTTAACAAAATACATTTAAAAAATAGGTCTTAGAAAATCCAAAAAAATCATAGATAGGCATAAAATCAAAGGTTAACTGGTAGAGAATGCCATATGGCATTAAATTCGTCTTTTAAGTTTTATTGTACGGTAAAGATTAAAAAAACCTCTCTGTTATGTATGTATCCTTCAATTCTTGTCCCTGACGGGTCTAGATAGCGAACTTTAAAAAAGGACGAGCACAATAGATCTATGTGGATCGCAGTGCTACACGTCAAACCATCTGATAATAACTCAAACCCCCCTATAAAACATACATGTATTTAATAAATGCATACATATTTTTTTCTTGAATAATTGGTTTTTGATTTTGTTGTATATAGTTTGGAGTCATTATCATCATCATCATCATCATTCATTCTTCATTCATTCATCATTCATTCATCATTCATTCATCATTCACTCATCATTCATTCATCATTCATTCATCATTCGTTCATCATTCTTTCATCATTCAGCATTCATTCAGCATACATTCATCATTCATTCATCATTCATTCATCATTCAGCATTCATTCATCATTCATTCATCATTCATTCATCATTCATTCATCATTCATTCGTCATTCATTCATCATTCATTCATCATTCATTCATTCATTCATCATTCATTCATCATTCATACATCATTCATTCATCATTCATTCATCATTCAATCATCATTCATTCATCATACATTCATCATGTATTCATCATTCTTTCATCAATCATTGCTTCATTCAGCATTCATTCATCGTTCATTCATATGATGTATGAACATGAATTATAAATGAATGATGAATGATGAATGAATGATGAATAAAGAATGAATGATGAATGATGAATGAATGATGACTGAAGAATGAATGATGTCTTTTTTTTGTGTTATTTTCTATATTTTCTCGTAACTTTTAAATGTTCAAGTGCAATGCCAATTCAGTATCAGGAATTTTTGGGCAAATCGGGGCGGTATAACGTCCACAGATGGTTGTACTCTACAATAGAGCTCTCGTGACTTGGATCTAAATTGTTAAGACGTACTCCATCTAAGGTTTTAACTCTGGAGAGTCCAACGTAAACCTGCCCTTTATTAAATATAGAGGAGCCTATGTTGAGAAGAGGACTGTCAAAACTAAGGATTTGTGATTTGTGGATAGCATATGTTAAGCAAATACGGAATTGTTCTCTGTCAACATATACATTATTTAATATCTGAAACTTGGTATTGACACGTTATAGTTCATAAAGACGATTATGTAACAAATTGACTGTTATCTACTGAATTCTCAAGAAAACAATTTGTTACCAATGAGTTCTCATTCTCGAGTTAACTATACATTCCTACTTATAACTATACTAAAATTATTATTTACTTTTGGTTTAAACTATTGTCTATACCATACGTATTTACTAAAATAATGTAATAATAATATAACCACAAATATATAAGTATAATTTAAGAAAACTATGAATTTCGTAGCATAAAACGCAACCTTATAGGTTAAATATCGAGAAACAAAACTTTGAGACATATGAGGGCGGTTGCCATTCGCTCCGACAGGTTCTCGTCAACGTTTTATCGCACCGCTCCCACACGGCGCCGCGGCGCCCTATAACGAAATGCCTATTATTTAATAATTATTTATAAAAACAATGTACTTACACTATCGATGTGCGCTAAATATTGAAACAATAATTAATACCAAATCTCAGTTAATAACATAATAAATACGAAATTCGACTATACTCCTAGTTATAAGTACGAGTATATTTTAGACAGAATCTTAATTATAGCAACTAGTGTTTACCGCTCAATGCAATATTTGAAGTTTGCTAGTTATCGACACTGGTGTAAAGGGGTCAACGTAAATTGGTAATGTTCGACGTTTTCATACAATATTACTTTCCGTCCAGTACAAGATGAGCTATTTTGCCAGGGATCAATGTCAATTGGTGGTTATCGACGTTTTCATAGAATTTTAGTATTCGTCCAGTATAAGTTGAAATAAAATCAATTAAAGTGAAAAATTATAGTAAAATGATAACAATGTACCAGTTTCAGATTTTTTCCTTTATATTCACCTATCCGCATGCCAAATTTGAACTTCCTAGGTCATCCATTCATTCATCACTCATTCATCATTCATTCGCCATTCATTTATCATTCATTCATCATTCATTCATCATTCATTCATCATTCATTCATCATTCATTCATCATGCATTCATCATTCATTCATCATTCATTCATCATTCATTCATCATTCATTCATCATTCATTCATCATTCATTCATCATTCATTCATCATTCATTCATCATTCATTCATCATTCATTCATCATCCATTCATCATTCATTCATCATTCATCATTCATTCATCATTCATTCATCATTCATTTATCATTGATTCATCATTCATTCATCATTCTTTCATCATTCATTCATCGTTCATTCATCATTCATTCATCGTTCATTCATCATCTTTCATCATTCATTCATCGTTCATTCATCATTCATTTATCATTCATTCA